TATCAAAATATTAGACACTATTTAAAACACTTCGTCTTCCATTGTTGACACCATTTGGCGGGGGAGTACGAAGGATATCATTATTTGTTTACAATCTGATAAGATTTATCTTAGCTGATGTGAACAAAAGAGTCTTATTGGACAAAACCTTATGATACAGATCTTATATTGCAAATCGAATCGTGTGTACCGACCTTAAAAGTTAGATAATAAACCATATTAGCAGTTTGTCAACAAATTATGAAGGTTTCCGAAATTATCTATTCATAACAAGATGTGATGATGTTCCCTCACTAAATTTAGTAACTATGTTGAACGCATCTATCCCATCGAACTTGAGATAAAGGATACAACAGTTAAGTCTGCCTCATATCTTGACTTACATCTATAAATTGACAATGAGGGTCGTTTGAAAACAAAACTTTACGACAGAAGAGATGATTTCAGCTTCCCAATTGTGAACTTTCCATTTTTATGCAACATTCCAGCAGCGCCTGCATACGGAGTATAGATCTCCCAGTTGATACGATATTTCAGGGCTTGTATTTCCTATCATGATTTCCTTGATAAAGGGTTGATGCTAACAAGGAAGCTATTAAACCAAGAGTTCCAAGTGGTGAAGTTGAAGTCATCACTTCGTAAATTTTAAAGACGCCATCATGGGTTGGTTGACCGTTATGGAATATCCGTTCCACAGATAACAGCGGATATGTTCCAGTTGTCGTAACTACAATCCCGTCCCCTTTTCCCCGAATTTGACCTACCTAATTAGAATTATTACCAGTTTGTACTAACATGAGCAACACGACGGGTGCCACATGTGGTGCAGGATCTGGTTACCCTTCCGGAGCACCTGAGATCACCTCCAGTTTTTGGTGGGGTTCATGTTGCTCAGTTTTTAGTTTTTTTAAATACTGTTTTGTTTTGTGTACTGTTGATTGTCTGTTTGTCTTCTTTTTTTAGCCATGGCGTTGTCAGTTTATTTTCTACTTATGAGTTTGAATGTCCCTTTGGTATCTTTCGCCTTTCTTTTGCAAAGAATTATGAAATGAAAATAACCCTGTATTTCTATTGCGTCTGAATGAGCTTTTCTGGATGTGCGTTTCTCAGGAATACTCAAGACTAAAGATAAGTAAACCGGGAATATACTATACAAATACGTGACCAGCTATAAGACCACTAGTAACATAAACAGGATATCCAAAAACTATATAGGGTCAACGTTGCCTGAGAGAGTTGGATCTATGGTTGTTTAATAATTATTGAAGTTATCAACGGATAGTTTAAGAAATGCATGTTATAAATCATGTCAGTGGCGAGGCACTGGCAACTAATTGGTGATAACATCGGGGAATAACTCATGTAACAGTCCACCAGCGGCTGTTTTGTCACGGAACTAGAAGATTGGAATATTACTTTAGATGTTTGGTGCGTCCGAAGCGTTTTTCTGGATATACCTTTAACAGGAATGATTAAATAAAAAAAATGAAAATCGCAATCCTAAATGTCACTAAACGCATTCAGAATCTTTTCCCATTAAAACATCTGGGAGATAAAATTGAGAATGGAAATGGGGATTGTGTCAAAGAGACAACAATCCGACCATAGAACAGACAACAGCAGAAGGTCACCAACAGGTCTTCAATGCAGCGAGATATTCCCGCACCCGGAGGCGTCCTTCAGCTGGCCCCTAAACAAATATATATACTAGTTCAGTGATAATGAACGCCATACTAAACTCCAAATTGCACACAAGAAACTAAAATTAAAAATAATACAAGACTGACAAAGGCTAGAGGCTCCTGACTTGGGACAGGCGCAAAAATGCGGCGGGGTTAAACATGTTTATGAGATCTCAACCCTCCCCCTATACCTCTAGCCAATGTAGAAAAGTAAACGCATAACAATACGCACATTAAATTCAGTTCAAGAGAAGTCCGAGTCTGATGTCAGAAGATGTAACCAAAGAAAATAAACAAAATGACAATAATACATAAATAACAACAGACTACTAGCAGTTAACTGACATGCCAGCTCCAGACTTCAATTAAACTGATTGAAAGATTATGTCTTCATCATATGAATATCAGGCACAATCCTTCCCGTTAGGGGTATAGTATCATACCATCATAACATATATGAGAAGAACATAACCCGTGTTTTGCCAACAACTGGTTTTTAAATACATGTGTTTAGTACCGATGCAAAGACCCTATAAGTGAATCAATATTAACGCCAAAATATGCAATCTTTAATGACCTGACAACAGTATCGTAACTATATCCCTTCTTAAAAGGTCTATTTAAAGGTTTTGTTAGCTTCAGAGGTGAATACTGACATACTGATGCCTTGCTTTCAACTTTTAAGCCTAAGCTTAGGAAATAAAAGTATTATAAAAAAATCCGATATCAGATATAAATTCACACAAGGGGAAGTCCGTATAAAACCTGACGAAACCAAATGCTCGACTATATCGAATTGAATAGAGCCAATTGCCTTAACCTCAAGAGAGGCAAAATTTTCTGAATTACTATGGTACTTTTTTTTAGTATACATGGATGAATACTTATATAAGAGATATACTGTTAAATAATCACATAATCCAACTAGCTAGACGTATCAAAAACAATTTAATAGATCTTTTTATCTAGAATCCCTCTAATTTTGACTCTTAATCATCATTGAGGGTGTAATCAGCTCAGTAGTCAATGTTTCGGTACTGACATGGATTAATTACATACTTTTTATAAATTCTCCGATGATCAATTGGGAAATTATTCCAATCAAAGCACTCGGTCCATTGATCCTGTAATATATTTAGCTACGGCTAGTCTGACATTTTTCTGACATCTTTTTCAATATTTTTTCTATGTACTGTACCAACCCCTGTAAGACCTTTATTAGACAACCATCACCAATTTGGATAAGTGATTTTCGCCAAAAACAGTTAACTTGTGTTTAAACACTTTTAATGGAGAAGAATCCAAGGCACAATCTAAAATCATAAGTTTAAAAAAAAAAAGACAACAGAAGGATTGAAACATAGAACGTTATTATTTTTATCATTATTTCACTAAAAAATTACCAGTGTTATTTTTCCTATTTAAAATCACCCCTTCAATTCATGAGATTCTCAGGCAAAGGTGTACTTCTTCGAAGGTAATCAATTCAAAGTGTTTGAAATCACTGGTGAAAAGACTGGACGATTTGTGTGCATAATTTCAAATTATATTCTCAGATATTATGGTGAACAAAAAAACCTCGATATATCACTCTTGCATTAAATTCAGAAGGATAAATGTTTTTTGTTGATAAAACAACTTGTCGACCTAAATTTACTTGTAAATGGCTGCGTTTGGAAGTATTTCTATGTTTAAACATAGGTATGCAATTTTTCGAACTTATCTTAGTATCATGTATTGTTTTTTTTATACTATATAATTGTATGTATTGTATGTAGATCAAAAGTGATTAAAAGTATAATATTGAGGTCAATATTGTGTGTATGAAGATCAATATTGAGCTGTATATATTAAAGTGTCTATTCAATTATGTAATACAAGTCAGATATTAAATGTGGTCAATTAAGATTGGCATTAAAGTGGAGGTGATTCCGATTAATACTCCCACCTTTGAGTGGAATTGTTTGTAAAAAATGACAGTTGTCTATCATTGTATTGTAACAGTACTCTAACTTGCCTTAGGAAAGAATTGGAATAATTAGCATTTCAAAAAAAAGTGTGAGAATCAACTTCGATATCAATACACATTTTAACAAAAAGTAGTCAATATCTTATACAAGCATAAGATACTGATAAAATACTTTCATAATTCTTAATAAAATGCTTAAATTTGATATATCACTTTTTCTCATAAATTCATAAATAGTAATTTAATATAAATTTTAATTTACAAAGGCCCTATATGCATGTGTATATCTAAAATAAAGTAGCTGTTCGAACAATAATTTCTTAATCTAAGGGCAAATAACATGTCAAAAGTTGGCAGTAGATGATTAAAATGATGTATAAAGTTTTTGTTACTAGTAAAGCATATAATTAGTTTCATGATATGTCTTCAATTTAGAATTATGCACCATCACAAAATCGGGAATGATCACATAAATCCTGCAAAAAATAAGACTCCAGTTTACCTTGATGAATATGACTAAACTTGTTAAGGTCCCTTTTGGTCATATAGCTCGTAACGTTTTAGATATTTTTGAGAGTTCCTGTGGACGCACGAATTTATGTGATATTTTCATTTACAACCACTGGGTCGATAACACTTCTGATGAAACTAAGGATCCAACTTTCCTAGGCAAAGTTGACCTTAGATGATTTTGGCTATTCTTTTGATGTCCCTTTTGGTACTATAGCTTCCAAAGTTTCTACATATTTATACATCTCCCACTTTCAAATGTTGGGTTTGAACGTTCCTGATTAAAGTAAATACAGAAATGCGTTTCAGACCCAAGAAATTTATACTGCTGTAGGTCCGTTTGTCCCTGCCGGTAAAATCTTCGACGATTGATCAGATATCAATCCTGGGAATTTGCTAGTTGATCATTTATAATAAAAGGTAAGAGGATACCAAAGGGTCAATGAAGACAATTCATTGACAATACCATTGCTAAAAAAAAGGCAAACAAAAATCAACAAAATGCTATGCAACAAAACTGAAACTTAGCTGCATCAAAAGGATAAGCAATTCTTCGCTTACTAATGGCAGTAATCCTTTTGCTCATGAAAAGTACAAATCCAGTGATAAGTTGCATTAGGTGATATCATGAAAAAGAGAATAAGAAGGAAAAGAGTGTGAGCAAAGACAAAAGGAACATATCTGTGTTCATCTGGGACTCACATATATGTCATAACGGTAAAAAAAATTAGTATGCACAATTTATATTTTTAGATGCCAAGATATAAATAGAAGGCTCTGAAAATAAAAAAAAACCAAACTTCTGTGATTATGGACACAGCATGAAAGACATCAATAAATATGATAAAAATTCCTTTATTAAAAATAGGTTAACAATAAACGTTTAACAAAATAACAATTGCACAGACACAATAAAATTTGTCACTTGATTCAATGTAGGTTTCTTTCATTTATGCTGTTCAGTTTAACCCACATTAATTAGGACGTTTGGCTGTCATATGATTTTTTTCCCTATCTATATTAAAAAAATACTCTCTACTGTAATAAGGACACCATTTCTGATGGTGTTACATTCCCCCCTGTCACAAATACAACAATTTTCCTTCCCTCAATATCTGGAACGTGTCCACCTAACAAAGCCGCCATTGCTGCACATCCTGATGGCTCCACCACAAGTCCTCTTTTATGGAACTGTTGCATAGTATCTAAAATTTCTTGATCTGATACAAGTATTACATCTTTCACATATTTCTTACAATGTTGGAAAGCTTTTGTACCTGTAATGATATATTATTGTTTGATTTTTTTTTTTGCATTTTTAACCTAATATGCAACCGAACACTACCTCATATAATTATGGCTAGCAGCATTTTTTCTTAGATATAAAGAGTAATTAAGTCGTTGGTTGCTGTCTGTTATATCTGTTTTTTTGTCTATTATTTGTCATAAATCAGATCGTTGATTTTTTAGTTTGAATTGTTTCACATTCTGTCATGGTGGGGTCTTTATAGTTGACAATACGATTATGGGTTTTCCTAATTGTTGAAGGTCGTCCGTGCCATACATTTGATTAAATCCACGTTATTTGTATTCTTTTTGGATAGTTGTCTGATTGATAATCATGCCACACCTATTTAAACAAAATCAAGTATAAAAATAAGATGATGTTGTATGATTGCCAGTGAAACAACTCTCCACTAGAGGCCAAATGACGTAGAAGTTAACAACTATAGTTCACCGTAGTGCCTTCAACAATGAACAAGACCCATACCGCATAGTAAGCTTTAAAGGTCAATAAAATGAAAAATGTAAAAGAATTCAAACAAGAAAACTAACGGGAAAATTTATGTACAAAACAACTAACGAAAAACAAATATGATAAGGTTCATTTTACTATTATATTCCTGACTTGGTAGAGGCATTTTCAAATGTAGAAAATGGTAGATTGAACCTGGTTTTATAGCGCTAAACCTCTCACTTGTATGACTGTCGCATCAAATTCCGTTATATTTATAACTGTTTCCTAATATCAGATCTAAATGATTCAATTTCAGTATTTTTTTCAAATGAAGTAAATCAATTGTTCTGAGCAATTTCCAATAAAATGATATGAATGTTTTGCTATAGTTTTTAAAGGATTTATATACATTTAATAATTTCCATAATGTACAATTCATGAATTGTATGTAATGCAAGTTTTTATTATACAACAAATTAGAATAACCATTTGAACATCAAACAGCGTTCCTATCAAAACTGACCACGATATAATATTTTCACAATAAGTTAACAAAACAAAGCGGACTTTTTTGTTGTACCTTGCAACAACAAAACAACAATAACACACAACAATAATAAAAACACTGTCAAGTAGTACATATCTACTGCAGATAGTTTTCGACATGTGTAATGTAGTATAAATTGCTGTAGATTAAACATTTGCATTACACTGGCGAGGTTACTGACTTTGGACATGTCACAGGGTTCAACTTCTTTTTTGAGATTTTAAACACATGTTCACTAAGGTAGAGGATTTGCGTTAATACATTGAAAATTATAACCTTACATAATGTAATAGTATCTGCATTATTGATGATATCTCAGAAATATAAGGTAAGTGTAAACATTAATAAATATCATTTCAAAATGTTATCATTTGTGAAAAATAAAACAAATTGAGATAAACAGATAATAATATACCAGCATAAGGTGGTGATAAACCTCCAGCTATCGATTTCACTCTCATGGTAACAGGACTTCCTTTTTTATAACTTTCATACATGGTTGGTGCTGAAATCAAAATTTTGATTTGAAAGGATGATTATTAGTAGAATTTGCACCATATTCTAACCTTCTATAATATGAATTTGCTGATTGTTCTTGTACGTTATAATGAATTAAACAAATAAATGAAATTTCAAATGTTTAGGAAAAATACTGTGAAAAATGTTACTGCTATTCACTACAGATAAAAATAAAACTACTTCATATTATTATATCTCAAGAGATAGAAGACTAATATTTTTCTTACAAAATTCACTTCATATACTGATACATACACCCTTCGGGTTCAACAGCGTATATCCGACAGTCTTTTAATCCTGAAAGTTTGAAACCAGAAGCTACTCCTGACACTAGACCTCCGCCTCCACAACATACCAATACAATATCTGGCTTTACATCCTCTTCCAATATTTCTAGGGATGCACTGTTAAGGAAATTATTACAGTTAATTCATTCATTCTAACGTACATGTATATTTTTCAGTATCTTAAAAAATCATAACAGGAATTGAACATTTTAGCATAGACTTCTTTGATGGAATATTCAGAGAAACAATGTGAAGATATACATATAAATAAATTTTGTAGGTAGCAATAGCAACATATAAACTGTTGACACAGAGATATGTCTCACCTGTCGGCATAAAATTCAGTAAAAGACAATCTGATGGAAATTAACATTGCTAATTAAATAAAAGTCGCTGGACCATGTACTAGTGGACAGAGCCTCGAAATGGTCAACAAACTGAGATGTAGGGACAGTAATGTGACTTTATAGAAAATATAATTGTGGTACAGCCTCAAAATAGTTGTCAAACTGATGTGTACTGATAGTATTACAACTTCATACAAAATATCATTGATCTATCACAAGTAGTTCCTAACAATCTTACTTAAGCAGAAAACATAACATGGAAAATTGCTCATTAATTCAAAATCACTGGACCATCACCTCAGAGGCAGGGCATCAAAATAGTCGTCAAACTGATATGAACTGTAAATAATGCAACTTCATACAAAATATCATTGATCTATCACAATTAGTTCCTACCAAACTACCTTAAGCAGAAAACATAACATTGAAAATTGCTAATTAATTCAAAGTCACTGGACCATGACCTAGGAGGAAGGGCCTCAAAATAGTCATCAAACTGATTTGTACTGATAGTCATGCAACTTCTTACAAAATATCATTGATCTATCACAAGTAGTTCCTATCAAACTAACTTAAACAGAAAACTTAACATTGAAAATTGCTAATTAATACAAAGTCACTTGACCCTGACCTAGGGGGCAGGGCCTCAAAATAGTAATCAAATTGATATATACTGATAGTAATGCAACTTCATAAAAAATATCATTGATCGATTACAAGTAATTTCTATCAAACTAACTTAAGCAGAAAACTTAACAATTGTTGATGCCGTCATCATCGTCGCCGTCACCGTCGCCGAAAAAAGTAATCCCTATGTCTCGCTTTCCGCGACGTTCGTCGCAGTCGAAACAAAAACCAAACAGGGTGGACTATTTCTTTTAATTATTTTCTAAGAAAATAAATACGCCATTTTATAAACTATTACTAAAAGTTCATCATTTGATCATATATCGGTGTGTGGTTGTACTTTTCGCTAGTCATTATTCTTAAAGATTGAATGGGTTATCTTGTCCATTATTGTCTGAAAAATGTTCTATGAGACAAGATTTTCCTTTGTTTCCTAGAACATCTGCATTTCAACTACAGACAATGGAAATTTGATCAATTTCAAAGTGAGCATGATCATTGAAGATTCATGTCTATTTATGCTGATAACCTATTGTAATATGTCTATGGTATATCAGAATTACTTTACATAAAAATTCAAGCAGGAAATCGAAATATTTATAGATAATGTACTTTACCAAAATATTTGAATTTCAAAATAAAAAGAAGTTAATTGAATTTGTTTTCAACAAGATACACAAGTTTTTTATTTTCACATCATTTTTAAATCAAGAATAAATGCAATGTTGCAGCATCATTCATACAACATATACTGCTAACTTAAAGGGAAGATGTATTTGGCTTATGTTAATAAATTGTTCTAACAGTATAAAAGATGCATGAAAACATAGCAAGATAAAAGCGATATACAACTTACAAGACCATGAAATTATAGTCAACTTTTACCTGGCATATCCTGCTATAAGATCTTTATCATCAAATGAATGCAAGACATGGTAACCATGTGTATGTTCATAACGTTTCATGGTATGCCTGATTTCACTGTGTAGGCATGTCTCAACCACACAGCCAAGATTCTGTTGAAAACAAATGGCACTGATATGCAATATCTGGGATTTCCTCCAGACAATATGAACCTAACAGTTGGAATTACATCATCACTAGCAGAAAGGGTGCTATATTTCTATATTCAGTCGGGAATCTCAAGATTTGAAATTTATGGTTTACACAATGAACTTGGCAAAAACACCTTGCTAAGAAGGACAGCAGGACTGAGAGATTGCTTTACAACCCATTGAAAAGTTAAAAAAAGCTTCCAGTACATGTTTAATAACATTCTAAACAACTCATCAATTCATTCATTTTTCAGTTATATCCCGTTTTATCTTCCTTCTTTCTGAACAATGTACATGTCTATCTTTTCTGTTCAAATGAGAGAAGAAGCAACAATGCTTTTCTCAAAAGTTAATAGCTGAGATTCTTTAAAATATTTCATAACATATGCTTGATACTATCGAAATACTATAAATAGGTTTCAAGCCCGTGTTTTGATAATAAAAAGTAAAATAACAAAAAATACCGAACTCCAAGGAAAAATTCCAAACGGAAAGTCCTTTCTTATGTACAGCCAAAATTTACCATGCTTGTCCATCTAGTTGGTCTTTTGACCATATTTGATATCTGAGATTTACCAACTTCAAATCATGTGATTTCAAACTGGTATCAGTAACCATAGCAACTGAGGATTAGAGACAGACATTTATGGATACAAATTTGATAAGAAATAAGCATTTTACAATTGATACTACTTTAGACTAGCAAAATAGAAAGCAATAGATATACAGGGAATTTAGAAGGCTTTACAGCATAACATATTTGTGACCAGACTTGAAAATATCTATACTGCATGGGTGTGCCTGGGGTAATATATTCACAAGAAAACAAAAGCAATGAATTGGTCCATACATAAATTACTTTCTATGCATTACAGATATATTTGACAGATGAAGATATTGTTAAACAACATAGCATATTAAAATCTCAATAATTGATAGAATAAGATTTTCAGGTTTGGATCTTCTCCTTGGATACTGGCAGGTGATTTGGTGACAATATTACCAAAAAACCAATCCTGATCTGGTGTACAAATACCAATCTAAATCAAATTTATATGCAAAATTGTGCAGCACAAACTAAAGCTAAAAACACCATTGAACCATTCAAATCTTTCTTTGGTATAATATGAGATATAAAAAAAAATGAACCATGCACATCAGCATCACTGTCTGTTGAAGAAACCAAGAATGTCAGTCACAGTTTTGCCCTGTTATTTACCTTCCATAGCCTGCAATTAGATCTAAATCATCAAAAGAATGAAGAAAGTTGTAATTTTTCTCCTTGACATACTCATCAACTGAAGCCTGTATCTCGGATGTTGGTGATTGTTCTACTTTAATTCCATATCCCTAAAATCAGAAAATCAGTCTCTTTATCCTTGATATCTGAAATAAAAAGAAAGAAAGAAAGAAAGAAAATAATGTTCATTAATGGCTACACCACTGCTTAAAATTCTTGCCATTTATAGGAAGGATAAGAAAATGTTTAATGACCTCAGTTAAATAGTAAACAGAAGCATTAATTATACTACATGAAAATTATTATGACCACTCTTTTCAAAAAAAAGTCTTAGATAATTATGCAAATTTTAAGAAGAAAAAATGAGATCATGCATAAAATTCATTTAACATATATACCTGAGAGATTAAATGACATCAAAATACTTATTAAAACACTTAACAATCCTTTTTCATTACTGGTATTATCCTTGAGAATATAAAAAGTCAAAAAGTTCTTCGAAGTACATAAAAATTAAATGTATCCTCAAAATGATGTCAAGGTTTTTGGTTTGCTCTAAACAAATCATTTTAAATTTAATTTCAAGACAGCTTACATTAAAGTTATTATAAAGACTGAACACCTGGTAAATTACAAGTTTGAATTCATGCTGTTTTCAACTTTTGAGAATTTCAAAACTATGGAACAAAACAACGATTTTTGGAGGATTGGGAATAAGATCTATGCCTTGGTAAATGACAAACATAATTCCTGGATGCTCCAATCCATTAACAATATACACAATCCAGACAGAGAATTACTAAATATAATAAATAACAAATATTTGACACAACATGTAGGAGGATATAATGCCGGTAGTCTGATCCTTTTTGCAAACACAATGAAAAGATATATATCTTACTAGAAACCATTATACAAACAACACAATACCACACCATCTTTAAAACATCATAAGCTTTATTCTACAATCATTATATCAAGCATTACTGAAGAGACATTTATTGTCCAAAAGCCTGTCTGGTTCAGTAAAATTTGTATCATTCATGTCATGAAAATCAACAATTTTGAAATCTTTCAGCTTTAAAATACATGATTCAGATATCTGCTTAAACATCGTATCTATACAATTTTGGACTAAATTTACTGTCTTGGTAATAATAGCTAAATCTTCAATAAAATAATAGACAAAGTAATGTCTTCTGTTAGATATTATACTGTCATAAATCTATAGATTAAAATGAAATATTGCTTTTATATAAATTACATCTTCATCTTAGCAGATGACTTAAGTTTTCCGTACACTGCATTTAATCAAGAAAGTTATTCAATGATGAAAAATATATGTGCAACGAGACGTTATGTCAATAAAAGATGCTATTCAATAAATTTCATTACCAAGATTGCAGCTAAATAACGAACTGTATTTTGAGCACTGAAAGTTGGTACATGTATTGTTAAAGAGAATTTCATTATCTTTTTAGTATCCTTTTAATTTCCAATGAGTTACTAATCCTTCCAAATGTAAATTTTAATCTATCACCAAATAAAAGAAACAATTTCATGGTATCAGTATGTTAGTGAAATGTAGAGCATTTAAAATGTCATTGAAAATTGTAAAATCTAGCACAAATTATAAAACAAACTTTATCTGCAATGTGTGTATGCTACCATTTTTGTTTGTTTTTAATATGATACATGGAGTTGAACTGAAATCAGTATAATTCAAATTATTGACTAGTGTTTTTATTTAAGTTTTTGCCACTAGATGTTAGCATAATAACAAGCAAACAAGAACCATTCAACAATTTTAATCACATTTTACTCAGTTTTAATTTGTAATAAATTCTGAGTCAACAAATCTTCTTGGCGGATTTTTAAAAAGCAGCAGTGTTTTTTGAAGGAAAAGTATTATCATTCATTATATTAACAATATTTCAACTCGGGTAAAGATAATGCAAATATGAGGGTCTGGATGGGGGTCATTCATTTCTGTATTCTTTAATCATTTAGATCATTTCTCTCTAAATTTAAAAAAAAATCCATTATTCTTTTTTCTTTTTTTTTTTTGGCCCATTTTTTCTCTCTTCTTTAATTTTTGGTCATTTTTTTGTAAAATCTGTTAATTATTCTCTATCCTGTAAACCCTATCCTAACCATCAAATATTACCTTGATTAATTCCACTCTACTTTGTGGTGCTGTAATTGGCATTAAACATAATCCTGATAATTTATGTTTTTGCAAAGCGTAAGCAAAGGCCTTCCCATAATTCCCTGCTGACATTGTTATTAATTTCTTTTCCCCAGTTTTAACATCATCTGGCAAGAATTTCATTTGATTAGCTACTCCTCTTATTTTAAATGACCCTGAAAATGGAAGAATATGTATTCTAATTCACCTCAATCCAAAAGAGTTGTACTCATAGAAGAATATATAAATTGTACTTAATGGAAAAGCTTACGTGTCATGGATCTGCTTACCCTTCCGGAGCACCTGAGATCACCCCAAGTTTTTGGTGGGGTTCGTGTTGCTTAGTCTTTAGTTTTCTATGTTGTGTCATATGTACTATTATTTGTCTGTTTGTCTTTTTATTTTTGGCCATGGCGTTGTCAGTTTGTTTTCGATCTATGAGTTTGACTGTCCCTCTGGTATCTTTCATCCCTCCTTTACGGTAGTTCTTTCATATAACTGATTGACCAAAATATTTTTCACTGTTGCAGATTGAAACTATATCTTCAAACTGATCACCTAATGAACATTTTTCTTTCATTGGCATTGAATATATGTTTATAGTATGAAGCAAATTCAGTGTAATAAAAAAATATTCTTACCATCCAGTTACAGTGATCGATTTTCTGTTCTCTTGAAAAAAGGTTAAAAGAAATGAAAACTTAGTTTTCTGGAACAAGTATGACTTGGATATGCAAATTTCCTTCATAGTGACAATTTATAAGTAATTGAAAGTATTCTTTCATATAACACATAACTTTACTGTAATAAGCCTTAGTAAATTTCATCATCCTGTGTTTCAGGAATATAGACACATAAATGTGATACAGATTTAAGTGGTCATGAGTCACAATCATATGTTCCTGGAAAAACCTCCATCAGGTTAGTTCAGAACCAAAAGTTTGGCAAGCCAATTACATAAAACAGTTGAAGGATCACAACAAAATGGGCATTCCTGTATTTAAAGGACAACTTTGGCATGGAGAATTCGAAATCTTTGAATTTTACCTTCTGAATATATATTTTTGTTTCAGCTTAATTTTCATGTTTTGTACATATTTTATGGTATTAAAAGTAAAAGAATTTTCTGGTACTGATTTTTATGATGAATTATCCTGTTTATCAAAGGACTTATAACCACGTTAGTTTTTTACCTGTTGTCTGTGTATTTTCCAGTTTAAGATATAAATCCACTGATTGAGGCAGCTGTGGAAACATTCCAGTTACATGCTTTAGCAGTGGAGTTTTGATAACACCTAGATCACTTTCTTCTAAGTTCTTCCTTGCACCTTCAATTTCTCTTAAAGTAATAAGTCCATCTTCAGAAGGCATTGTGTTAAAATCCTACTGAAAAAAAAAATGCTTTCTCATCAATAATATCAAAATTTTATTATGAAATGATTTAAAAAGAGGTCGAAGATTAAGGGGTCAATCAAAACTAATAAGTTGAAGAGAACCTGACAAGGCCATGGCAAAATCTGAAGAGAAAGCAAAGACAAACAAGTACACTAAACACTACACAGAAAACTAAAGATTGAGTGAGCAACATAACCCCACCAATAACTAGGAGTGATATCAGGTGCTCTTGAAGGGTAAGCAGATCCTGCTCCGCTAGTGGCTCCATTCTTACAATAATATAAATTTTGGGGTACAAATTAGATTTTACTTGGTGAATATACTTTCTATAAAATGTAAAGTTCTTTTCAAGCCTTATATGGCCCTGTTAATTTTCCAGAGATGAAAATTTGTCCTTTAACAAAAGTATTTTTTAAAACTTTGAAAGAAAAGTTTAAACAAAATGTAAATATCAGCTTAGGCTTGAAGCCACAGGCAGACTACAACATAATTCAAGTGACGTCATAATGGATATTTGTAAGATTTTAGAAAAGTATACTAGTATGATTTTTTTTCAGAAAAATTTTGGCTAAATTATCAGAGCACAGGCATCTTACATTTTGCTAGCAATTGAAGAACTAAATTTATAATAGGAATCCTGGAAAAAAAGTCATTTTGGACCAGAGGCGTCCTCTATATAATTTTTGCATGTGTGTGACTATTTATAAAAATAAATTGTGTATAGTTTTGCTATTTTACCAAATTTATTGTTAACTTAATGGTTGTATGAGTCAACAAAAAAAACAATATTTCGTACAAGACCATATATATATATGTGTGACAACAGTATTTTGCTATCATACCCATGATACTGGTAAGCTAGTTCTGTTTTATTCTATAAAGGCTTTTTTTATTCAATTAATTTGATAGTTGATGATAACTAGATATGATTTATACATGTTATACTATACTTTGATTTTAGTTTTAATTGCATTGCATGCATTGAATTGGTTTATGTTGGAACATGAGCAGGATTGAAATGAATTTGATTTAATTGGATTGATAGCTCAGTTTTAATTTGTTTTGGTTCTGAATTGTGTGATATTGTTGAGATTTTAATGTTGAAATACTTGAATGGGTCATTATTGTTTACTTGAGTAAATTGTTGATGAATCATTATTAATTACTAGTATCTGGCAATAAATTTGACATAGGTCTACCTTGGTGCTTAAAGTATAAAAATTAAATATGACTGCTTGATGATTTTTAGTTGGATTAAACTAATTAAGGTGATTTGAGATGATTTTGTAGAATGGTTTGTAAATAAATTAATTGTATGGATATTGTCAATTTGAATTAGTTGAATTAATTTCATTTGCTGATTGAACTGGACTGAATTTGGTAAAACATAAATTTTTTTTGGATAAAATGAAGCTATACAGGACTGGGTTGGAAGGAGTCATATGTTAATATTATTTGACTTGGGTTAATACTGGTAATGTGATAATGATTTGTTTAGATAACAATTGTTATTTTAGTGGCTAGGATTGATTTCCAAGACCTGTTTCGTTACAATGCCTTTTATGATAGTGGCTTTACAACTTTCTGTATAAAATATCTTAATTTTCATTAATAATTGAACAGAAAAATAATATGTTACGTGTTTTCCGTGCATTTAACTTGATTTTAAGAATCAAACCATTAATACCATGAAATTTCTTAGGATTTACATTAAATTTCATTATTTCCTAAACATATTGAATAATGAAGTTTCTGTTCAAATAGAAAAGGTTGTGAAAAAAATATTTGACAAACCAATTCTAGCTATTTTCAAGTTTCCTACTGGAAACACAACTTTATTCTATATCAGCCTTATTTTCTCGCTGTGTTGAAGACCCATAGGTGGTCTTGGGCTGTTTTCTACTCTTTGGTCGGGTTGTTGTCTCTTTGACACATTCCCCATTTCCATTCTCAATTTTATTTTCATAATATAGTGTTCTGTTGTAAAATACTTATGCTATTTGATTTCACATAATTTGAAACTAAAATAAGATTAGATTCTGTTTAGCTGTGATGGATGAACCTCAATGGGATAGGATACCAGCAATTGATTTCACAAAAATTCTTACGAGAAAAAATACTCTTAAGTCATGAACATTTCAGTGTAACTTACGATCATATTTTGTCGTCAGATTTTTTGAGAAAAGAGCCCCAGGTGAATAAAAGAAAATCTTCATTATTTTTTGCTAATTTTGAAGAAAATATCAAATTCTTTATACTGACAGAATATTCTATATATACAATGTATATTAAATAGATTTAGAAGAAGCAACAGAAAATTATGTACTGCATTACTAAATGTTAAAAAGGGAAATTAGGGAATCAGTTTAGGGAGAATATTTACTGTATCTCATTAGGAATAGGTCAGCTTTTCAAATCCTGATAATAACTTTATAAATCCCTGATAAGGCAATGATTATATACTAAATTCAATTCTAAATGAAATCAAAAACAAATGTTTTGAAAAAAATTGGAAATTTTACAATCAGTTTTGGAAGAATATTTACTGTATTTACTCTCATTAGGAATAGGTCAGCTTTCCAAACCCTAATATTAGTTTCATAAATCTCTGATAATGCTATGATTATTTACATTGAATTCAGTCTGATTTCAGAGCATTTAAAAAAAAATTTAATCAATAATGCTGCAGCTTTAGATGATTTGAATATAAAATGTCTACGCTTTGTTTAAATATCATTTCAATTTAATAAACTAAATCATGCATGAAGTACAATTCTTATTACTAGTAATAAAATATGTAGTCTTTTTCTACATTCATATTTCATTTTCACTATGAATAAAATGGGATGAAAGTATAAAGCAGTGAGATCATGACCAAATAACACAATAAAATTAGTAAAGGCATCTAGAGGTCAACGTACTACAGTCTTATACAATAAACATGTGTCAATTCATAATTAATAATTATCCCATACATGAGGGTGTGGTTGGGGGTTTACAGAATAGAGAATAATGGGCGAAAAATATAAAGAATAGAGAAAAATGGACCAAAAAATAAAGAATAGAGAATAATGAGGTGCTGAAATATACAGAATAGAGAATAATGAGGTGCTAAAATATAAAAAATAGAGAATAATGGGCAAGAAGTATAAAGAATAGAGAAAAATAACCTATAAATTAAAGAATACAGAAATGAATGACCCCCTCCATCCAGAACCTCATACATGTATGATATAATTTACAACAGAGAATATAAATATATACATTGTAACATCTGATTAATTGGTCATCTTGTTATCACGAAAATAATAGGCTTACCTATAGGTATTTAGTACAGGTGTATACAACACCTATAATTTGTTCTTATTAATTAATTATAAATATGACAGGCCATTTGATGTCCTAATAAAGATTTTTTTTTTTTAAAGATTATTATATTTCACAAACAATTGTATTCAATTTTGACACTAATTAACGTTGGTTTCCATTATGATGCTTAAAATCTACAAACGTCAAGTAAGAAATAAACCTAGAATAACATAAAACATGTATAAATATTTGTATACATATTTGTTTAGGGGCCAGCTGAAGGACGCCTCCGGGTGCAGGAGTTTCTCGCTGCATTGAAGACCCATTGGTGGCCTTCGGCTGTTGTCTGCTCTATGGTTGGGTTGTTGTCTCTTTGACACATTCCCCATTTCCATTCTCAATTTTATAAAAAAAACATTACATTCATATACATATATTGAAGATGTGACCCTTGGCACATTTACTTGTTAAAACATGCATTTACCATTAAAGACATTCTTTTGCTATTATCATGTACCTCAAAAATGTGCATAAAAATTTCCAAAATTTATTTTTCCAATTTTGGTTCAACCTATCAAATCAGCTAAAATTAGCCCGTAGTGAAAATAACATGCAATAATGTTATAAACAAAGTGCAGGAAAATTATCATTAAAAAAGAACCTATGACATAGCCATGTGTAGGCATTTTGCATTTTCATTCCAGTTGCAAAGTAAATAATTAAAGTGTTTAAAATTGTGTATATTTTCTGGCATTGAATTCAAAGAAATAAAAGAACACAGGAGCAATATTAATTCAGGTAGATCAGGTGTCTTCTGCCATCTTAATGGATGGATTGTAAAATAGCAGAACACAATCGGTCTAGATCTTTAATAAAAAGTGCAAATTTTGTTAGAAGAATATAATTCATTAGTTAAGTTTTTCATCTAAATAAAGAAAAAAATTGTATTATATTATATTTTTCAACTGTTTTTCACAAATAAAAAATATTTTTCGTTTGATTAAATTTGTTTCAACTTTGGCATGTAAGGGGAGATAACTCTGATAATGTAACTTTTATAAAGGAATGTGTCATGAAATTCCCTATTTTGTTTTATAGCAAGAAAACGAGTCCTGTGACCCCAATTTTTATGTTTATATTCTGTAAGAACATTATAAGAGCTATCTTCTCATATTTTATCTTAAAATTCTATCGTTTGGGGTTTTTTTAACACAAAAAAAATGGGTTTTCCATGCATAAATTTTGCACAACCTGTAGTTTGATAAAAAGCCTAGTGACCCATACCTTTGGTTTTATTACATTTTTGAATAAAGCATACTATAAACTGCATTTTTGCAAATAAATAAAAAAATCTATCGATTTTAATTGATACTCCCATCCCATCTACCTTTAATAAAATTTAATTGTTTATTCAACAATAATTATTTTTTTCTATGTAAATGTCTATGGTTCCTTTGGATAATAGTATGAAAAATTAAATGAAAGAGACCTTTCACCCTCTCATGATAAGAACTCTTGAACTTTAAATTAACATTCGTATTTCAGTACTACGCGCAGTAGTTTTTTTATGTTGTAAACTTTTAAGTTATTCAATTAAATAGCCAACTGCATTTAAAAAAGCTAAGATGTTTTAATTTATATAAACTTACTAAAGATTCTCCACTGTGTACTGGCGCACTGTTTATTGAAATTATCCTATATTTTGAACTGTCTACGTCACTGATTAAAGTTACATGATCGGAATCCTAAGCCACAATTTTTCACCTTCTCTTCATTTCTTCTCTAGACTTTTCATCAATCCTTGAGAATACCGAAAATAACCATGGCCGAATTGTTGCTGGATCCAGACATAAGATTTTGGGTATTTTTACCTATAGTGGTGATCACATTTTTTACAGGAATCATTCGTCATTATGTAACCATATTGTTGACCTCAGAGAAAAAGACTGAACTCCAGCAAGTGACGGATAGGTAGTTTTTTATGCATTTACGGATAGCACATAAAAATAAAATACACCTGGTCCGAGTACACAGTTATTTCGTAGAGCATTTCTTTTAGACAATAAATAAAAATTAAAAAAATCCCACCTGCGCTTTCTCAATAATATTTTTACAGTGTGTTGTACTACTTTTGGGACAAATTATATCAAAATTATAGAAAACTTCATCGGCTCTAACTCAAAATATGGACAATTTTATGTTAAGGGGGTCTTGAAATCTTTTGACAGCTTCCGAAGTGCTTATTTTTAACCTTTTTCAGCTGGACCAAATCACTACTTTACTTTAAAATTCATGACCCAAATTTTTTTACAGTGTCATTTCACCCCCTTACTTGCTATTTGAGGCATAAAACATGGAGAAATAAATTTGGAAGGGGTATAAAAAAAATTGGCAAGTAACACACTGTCCACACTAAGGACTATATTCGTGGACAACGAAAATCAAAGGACGATAACTGTGTACTCGGACCTAATAGGATAGAAAAAGTTGACCAATCTTAATAAAACTTGGTATGACCAAAGCTTAATAAATTATAAGACTGCTTACAAAGTTTCATGGCAACAGGATATATATTATAGACAATATGATTAATTCTATATTCAACTTTGCGTGTTAGATTTAGACGTTAAAATTGAAAAATTTCAACTATCAACATTTGGGGCTTTTAAAATTCAAATTTTGCAAAAAAAATACTTTTAAAATGCCTTAATATATAATATATCATGTATTAAAAGCAATAGAGTACTCATTTGGTATATCAGACTTAGCATAATTATTCAAAAGTCAAATCTATATGAGCCTGTGCCTAAAAATGGAGGTTTTCCAATGAAGGGGAGCCTTACATGAAGATGTAATATTTTCCAGCAATTTTAAATTTGTGAAGCTTTTTGGTTATAAATAATCCTTACATATGTATTTAATGTACTTTAAATGGAAAGAAAACTTACAAATAACATATCATATTAGTTTAAAAGGGTCTTAGGCCAAGTAAGACTGAAAATAATTTAGGGTCAATTTAGGCCGTAGCACATATTTACATTTAAAAATGCATATTGAAGCTATAGGAAATACAAATTTGTGTCTTTTCTATCATTTCTATACTCAAGTGACATGATACAATAAATCTGAGCACAAAAAGACTCTTGCATTCAACTTTTTGTGCAGACAGTATGGTCTGATACAAAGATTTTTCACTTTTTAGTGAAAAACTTGCATGCAATTTTAGTCTCAACAGGCTTATATTTGAACCACATGCTATCCTACAGAAGAAAAGAAAGATATTATGTGAAATGAAACAGGTACAACAGACATTGTTAAGTTCTTTTTATACAAATTTAGTGAGATATTTATGATGGACTTCAACTTTTATGTACCAAGCTCCTCACATTTAACTTGATCCAAACAGGGCTTTAAACGAGGGTCATTTATACAACACATTTTGCACATATTGTCTGAGATAATCTTCTTTTCTGTAGATTCAGAGTTCACAAATGAGTAACACAACTGGATTAAAGCATAGAAACACAAATATTGACACATGAAAACCTGTCAGATAGAAAGTCAGAATGCCACTTATGCATCAAAATTGAAAAAGCTATGAAATGCTTATTTTGACCATATAATGCCAAAATTGGTCATTTTTGCAGAAATTCTATCAAATAAAAGTTTAAATCCTTTAGTTTTATGCTATTTGACAAATTGACACCATCAAATCATTCAGGGAAGTTGCAAAAGTACAGATTCTATATTTCCTGATTTGACCTCTTAGGTCCGAGTACACAGTTATTTCGTAGAGCATTTCTTTTAGACAATAAATAAAAATTAAAAAAATCCCACCTGCGCTTTCTCAATAATATTTTTACAGTGTGTTGTACTACTTTTGGGACAAATTATATCAAAATTATAGAAAACTTCATCGGCTCTAACTCAAAATATGGACAATTTTATGTTAAGGGGGTCTTGAAATCTTTTGACAGCTTCCGAAGTGCTTATTTTTAACCTTTTTCAGCTGGACCAAATCACTACTTTACTTTAAAATTCATGACCCAAATTTTTTTACAGTGTCATTTCACCCCCTTACTTGCTATTTGAGGCATAAAACATGGAGAAATAAATTTGGAAGGGGTATAAAAAAAATTGGCAAGTAACACACTGTCCACACTAAGGACTATATTCGTGGACAACGAAAATCAAAGGACGATAACTGTGTACTCGGACCACCTTATCGCTATTTAATCCAATCAGGAAAAAAACAGTCATTTAGACAACTTCCTGTTTGGGTCAACAGGCCGCAAACAAAGGTCATCAGTAACGAGCTGAGGGAGGGAAAAATTTAGAAAGTGATCAATAGGAAACTTTGATAGATTATGATCCACTTTTTCCAAACTCAAATTATAGTAAAAAAAATATTGTGTTTGAAGTATTTACGATGTTTTGAATAGGTCTCATTAAAAAGTATCATGCATGGTGCATTGTTTAAACAGGGTCCCAGATAGCTTCAACTGGATGAAAAAGTTGTGTAATTTTAGAACTTATCCGGAATGGAATAAATAGCGATTAGGTGTATAAAATAAAAACCCATCGATTTCATCAGTTATAAAATTGTGTTCTACGCATCGCCGGCGCTGATTAAGTCGGATGTGTACCAATTAAGTCGGATGCGTACCGGTAACCACTTTGGTGTCATATAATAAGGATCTCTTAAATTATTCCTATTTTTTTAGGAGCGCCCTCAACGGAAACAAGACGTTTCGGCCATGTAGCCCCGTTCGGCCTTGGTCTTTATTGAATAGAAAAAATGTATAATGGACTGAAAGGACTAAGGATGTAACGACCAAGGTTGAACTGGGGAAAGGCCGAAACTACATATGGCCGAACAGATTCGTGGCCGAAACCTCTGGAAAGTGCCCCCAAAAACATACCTGGATGAGCGCCTGCATCTAATTGTATTAATAGTGCTACCTGCATTGACCTGCCTACAGTTCAATTTACTCCTCCATAAAGGACTTAACAATAAAGCTCATATAATTGTACCAACAAGGCAATTGAAAATACCAGGAAGGATCAACAAATCCAAGCTTAAACATCATTTCCTCAGACCGCCAACCAGAACAGACTCACTCAAATTTAGGTTTATCCCGAATACCATTAAGGACTGGAACTCAATATCACTGGATATTTTCGACTAGATCAAATCTTCGACAGACCAAGTCAGATCATTTGCAGATATTGTTAGGGAGGTTGGGTATTTGGATTAATCACTATGTGATAGACGCGTGGTGTAATAATGTCTATTGAACGTGTCACCGTATCATATCAAAATCAAGATCAAGAGATCTACATGTACCTGATGAGCTCCTGAAGGTTATTGGTGCATTTTTTTTTCATCCTTGATGATTGAAAGATTGTTACTGCAAGCCGAAACAAAAGAGTATAATAACAACCTCAAATAAAAATTCTTCACTGTGCATGTACGATGCAGTCCCATGCATCAGTGCACCTAAGACTTGCTTCTCTTTGGTAAACTAATAAAACCAATAATTGGTTAATATTGCGTGAACAAATTCATGACATACTTTAATTTTATGAAATCTTCTTAATGTATGGTTTCAACCTTAAGATTTTGTGTAATGTGTGTCAAAAATTAAGCTGGAACCCCTGTTTTGACAGCTCTTCAAATGCCTCTGATTTTGTACCTGCCTTCTTAAAATAGTTAATTTTGATGATACAGGTCTGAAATCGGTAAGTGCACCCTCTGGTGCCTATCATCAACTTCCTGTCATCTATAGAAAAATGTACCAAACATTGATTAAGAAGGATTACAATTATTGATTGAAGTCCATTAATGGTGGAATTTGTGACTGAATTTTATAGCTGACTATGTTGTATGGGATTTGCTCATTGTTGAAGGCCACATAGTGCCCTTTAGTTGTTTTCACCCTTGTCATTTCGTCTCTGGTGAATAGTTGTCTCATTTGCAATCATATCACACTTCCTTATTTTTTTATGCTAAAGGGTCTTATATCATGTATATATTAAACTTCTCCAACTTTTGTACCTGACGATAGTTTTTCTTTATACATGATACATACATATGTCATGCGCACTGCGTTCAGTGTCATATTCTTATAATAATAATATTATCCAATCAAGTACTTAATTTGTGTTATTCATCTGTACTTTGAAATATGAAGTTGAAAAATAGTCCTTGTACCCTTTTGCAAGCTTTTAACATATTAATCTTATTTTATATCTTCAGCCATGCTTTGATAAGAAGTAGACTTTTGAGAGAAAATGGGAAATACATACCTCAAAAAGTAAGTGAAAATTATGATTTTTTTACAGGTGACAGATGTATATGTGAAACAATGTTTTTTTTATCTTTCTTATAGGCACAAGAACTTTTATGTCAAAAGAAAGCACACAACGTCAAGTAAAAGACCAATCTTTATTTAAAAGACTATATAGTTGAAGCTCAAAGAATTGTATTGTGAAAACGATCTCCATATGAATAGATGTAGCTTTAAAAGCAATGTGTAGTCAAAATGAGTTATGCCTCCTGGAAATATTAATTATATGGAAAATTGCATTGTTAGCGCTCACGTGTACAATTCTTGCCAGATTTTTATGAAACTTATATATCTATTGTTGTGTTGCATTGTACATGTAAGTGACAGGTAAAGTTTAATGTGCATATAACCTATAAAAGGCATTTACTTTTGCTTCTTATTTAGCCAATCACAAGCATTCAAAGCAGTCACTTCATATTTGAGTAAAGTAAAAAGACACAGTCTGTATGAATGTTGTTTTTAGATGTGATATAGATGTAATCCATGACAATCTATGTTCTGCAATGTTATTTCCCCCTCCCCAATAATCACACATACATGTACAATATATGGGAAGACAAATTGATTTTGTCATGTCCTTCGATCTGCTTTGTATGTCCATCTTTGTAAAAATATGAATAAATAAGTTTGTGATTATTGTAATCATAATAATGAATAAAAGCAATGATATTATTTGTATTTCAGAGTTTCTTAATGAGGAAGAACTTTTTTAATGATTCTAAGGAGGGATATTTTAAAAGAGAAAAAAGAGAAACTGCAACTAAAAATCCCATGACAGGTATATCATAAGATTTACAATAATGTTAAATGAATTTTATCATGTTTATTAAAAACGCAAAATCATTTATATTTGAGGATGCCATTTTGGTTGAATTTGTGGTTGTATATATATATATATTTGAATCAGAACACAGTTTGAAACATGCATGGATTCAGTCAATGATAAAAATCAATCTTCATAAATGCTTACCTTTTCAGAGTATTTATATGAATATGTAAATTAAGCAACAAATTTATAGATCAAGGATATATATATTTTCTAAGGTTTGAATAGTTGGCGAGGATGAAGAATGATAAATATTGGAAAATTTCAATACACATAACAGTAGATATTTCAAACAAACAGACAAATGCACATACATTCCATGCCATCTTCATCCCCTTTTCAAGCCCCCTTTTTCTTTTCTTTCAACTTATATGCAAGTATATTTCTATTCAACTTATATCCATATAATGTATAAGTATGTTCAAATATAATATTGTTATAATAGTAAATACTAGAACACACCATTAGGGTTCATGACTGAATTATAGTACGTACGCCTTATTTTTAGCCTGGATTTATTAGTATTTGTATTGTCATCTGATAAAGTCATGCTGATTATAAGGTACAAAATTTTCTCTGCTTTCAAAATCTTTCTGTTTGAACCCGTCCTGGTTTTCTTACTCCAACGGAAACTACATGTGTTGTAATATTAATTACGGGAAAACAAAAGGGCCTGGAATGGTGTAATTTTTAATCAACACCATAGTCCTATATTAGTTATATATAAAGTTGAATTCTTTGGTTAGTCGTTTTTATGTCATGCGGCTAACAAATTGGACCTCGTTATTTTAGTAGTATAGATGATGTACCCAGTACTTGTGTCTGATGCATTTTGATTTCAACAAAACAGTTGACCTTTAAACCAAAGAACATATAAATACCTTTTGTATACAGGTGACATACATGTAAATAATAATAAAATAGTAGGAAACTGGAATTAAGAAACATATACACTACAGTACAATACATGTAGACCACACCAATGAACAAGACATGGTCCTAATTGCATGACTTCATACAGGTGCAAAATGTGGTGTCCCGTGAGGTACTGTTCCTGTAAATAAGACTTCAATGCATGCACAGTATTCTGCATTTATACAGTAAAGGGAATTGCTACATTCCAGATACTGTGGCCTCATTTAGTTTTTTGTTAAACACATTGATTCATAGTTTGACTTCACTCACCAAATTTATGAGAATAAATACCCCACAAATAATAATGAACCTACATTATTCACAATGAAGAAGAAGGCTTCTTATAATACTTGAAATACATGTACATCTATTATATTTTAACAATTGTTTGCGGGGGACAAAGAAATACCGGGCGTCTGTCCGTCTGTGCGTCCGTCCGTCGGGTCTTGTTATTGCTCTCAAGTGTACAATTCTTACCAGAATTTTATGAAACTTTTATCATAGGTTAAGCAATATCTTTGACACTTTGAAAAACCGTGCCGATCAATTATTTTAAAAATAGTTATGCCCCTTGGAAAAAATAATTATAACGGAAATCGCATTGCATTTGCTCTGAAGCCTTCATTTCCTAAGATATTTATAAATTGTTTTAAAGAACAAAAAAAAGTGTTTTATTTAGTTATTGCCCTTGTACCTTGGATAGATAAAATATGTGCAACGCGGGGGACATTGGAACTCTGTTCTTTTTTAGCTCACCTGGCCCAAAGTGCCAAGTGAGCTTTTCTCATCACTTGGCGTCCGGCGTCCGTCGTCCGTAAACTTTTACAAAAATCTTCTCCTCTGAAACTACTGGGCCAAATTTGACCAAACTTGGCCATAATCATCATTGGGGTATCTAGTTTAAAAAATGTGTCCGGTGACCCGGCCAACCAACCAAGATGGCCGTCATGGCTAAAAATAGAACATAGGGGTAAAATATAGATTTTGGCTTATATCTCTGAAACCAAAGCATTTAGAGCAAATCTGTCACGGTGTAAAATTGTTTATCAGGTCAAGATCTATCTGCCCTGAAATTTTCAGATGAATCTGACAACCCGTTGTTGGGTTACTGCCCCTGAATTGGTAATTGTAAGGAAATTTTGCCGTTTTTGGTTATTATCTTGAATATTATTATAGATAGAGATAAACTGTATAAAAGCAATAATGTTCAGCAAAGTAAGATCTACAAATAAGTCAACTTGACCAAAATGGTCAGTTGACCCCTTAAGGAGTTATTGCCCTTTATAGTCAATTTTTAACCATTTTTCGTAAATTTTTGTAATCTTTTGCAAAAATCTTCTCCTCTGAAACTACTAAGACAAATTTAACCAAACTTGTCCACAATCATCATTAGGGTATCTAGTTTAAAAAATGTGTCCGATGACCCCACCCGCAAACCAAGATGGCCGACATGGCTAAAAAGTGGTAAATAGGGTAAAATGTAGATTTTGGCTTATATCTCTGAAACCAAAGCATTTAGAGCAAATCTGACAAGGATAAAATTGTTCATTAGGTCAAGGTCTATCAGACCAATCAGGCAACACGTTGTTGGGTTGCTGTCCCTGAATTGGTAATTTTAAGAAAATTTTGCAGCTTTTGGTTATTATCTTGAATATTATTATAGATAAAGATAAACTGTAAACAGCAATAATGCACAGCAAAGTAAGATCTACAAATAAGTCAACATGACCAAAATTGTCAATTGACCCCTTAAGGAGTTATTGCCCTTTATAGTCAATTTTTATACGACCGCAAAAATTAAAAATTTTTTGGTCGTATATTGGTATGACGTTGGCGTCGTCGTCGTCCGGCGTCGTCCGAAGACACATTGGTTTTCGCACTCTAACTTTAGTTTAAGTGAATGGATCTCCATGAAATTTCACCATAAGGTTCAATACCACAAAAGGAAGGTTGGGATTGATTTTGGGGGTTATGGTACCAACAGTTAAGGAATTAGGGGCCAAAAAGGGGCCAAAAATAAGCATTTTTGTAACTTTCAGACAATAACTTGTGTGTAAGTGTATGGATCTCTCTGACATTGTACCACAAGGTTCCATATCACAAAGGGAAGGCTGTAATTGATTTTGGGGGTAATTGCCTCAAAATTTTAGGAATTAGGGGCCAAAAAAGGGGCAAAAAACAAGCATTTTTCTAGTTTCATGACAATAACTTGTGTGTAAGTGTTTGGATATTTCTGAAATTGTACTACAAGGTTCCATATCACAAAGGGAAAGCTGGAATTGAGTTTGGGGGTAATTGCCCGAAACGTTTAGGAATTGGGGGCCAAAAAGGGGCCAAAAATAAGCATTTTTCTAGTTTCCAGACAATAACTTGTGTTCAAGTGTATGGATCTCTCTGAAATTGTACTGCAAGGTACCATACCACAAAGGGAAGGCTGGGATTGAGTTTGGGGGTGATGAATCATAAGGGGGTTCAAAAAATTGGGGGGGGGGGGATTTTTTTTTTTTTTTTTTTCTTTTTTTCCTTTTTTTTTTCTTTTAAAATTTTCCATTTTAAGTTGGTTATTTCTGATTTATATTTAAAAGCAAATAATAATGATATGGTAGGAGATACACACCAAACAGGATGTGTAAATTATTATATAATAAGTATTGTGCAATAGCAAGAAATTTTCAATTGCACAGTATTGCACAATAGCAAGAAATCTTCAATTGCACAGTATTGCGCAATAGCAAGAAATCTTCAATTTAACAGTATTGCGCAATAGCAAGAAATATCCAATAGCACAATATTGCGCAATAGCAAGAAATTGTCAATTGTACAGTATTGCGCAATAGCAAGAAATATTCAATTGCACAGTATTGTGCAAAAGAAGATACTTCGTATAAATTGCTTATTTCTTGATCAATTTCAATGGGGTTTTATTCTTGAATTCTTGGGGTTCTTTAATATGCTGAATCTAACCGTGTATTAAGTTTTTGGATTTTGGGCCCCGTTTTTAAATTGGTCCACATTGAGGTCCAAAGGGTCCAAAATTAAACTTTGTTTGATTTCATCAAAAATTGAATTATTGGGGTTCTTTGATATGCCGAATCTAACCGTGTATTTAGATTTTTAATTTTGGGTCCCGTTTTTTAAATTTGTCTACATTAAGGTCCAAAGGGTCCAAAATTAAACTTAGTTTGATTTTAACAAAAATTGAATTCTTAGGGTTCTTTGATATGCTGAATCTAAACATGTGTTTAGATTTTTGATTATGGGACCAGTTTTCAAGTTGGTCCAAGTTGGGGTCCAAAATTAAACTTTGTTTGATTTCAACAAAAATTGAATATATGGGGTTCTTTGATATGCTGAATCTAAACATGTATTTAGATTTTAGATTTTTGGCCCAGTTTTCAAGTTGGTCCAAATTGGGGTCCAAAATTAAACTTTGTTTGATTTCAACAAAAAATTGAATATATGGGGTTCTTTGATATGCTGAATCTTACCATGTATTTAGATTTTTTATTTGTGGGCCCGCTATCAAATTGGTTCATATTGAGGTCAAAAGGGTCCAAAATTAAACTTTGTTTGATTTCATCAAAAATTGAATTATTGGGGTTCTTTGATATGCCAAATCTAACCGTGTATTTAGATTTTTAATTTTGGGTCCTGTTTTTTTTAAATTGGTCTACATTAAGGTCCAAAGGGTCCAAAATTAAACTTAGTTTGATTTTAACAAAAATTGAATTTTTGGGGTTCTTTGATATGCTGAATCTAAACATGTGTTTAGATTTTTGATTATGGGACCAGTTTTCAAGTTGGTCCAAGTTGGGGTCCAAAATTAAACTTTGTTTGATTTCAACATAAATTGAATATATGGGGTTCTTTGATATGCTGAATCTAAACATGTATTTAGATTTTAGATTTTTGGCCCAGTTTTCAAGATGGTCCAAATTGGGGTCCAAAATTAAACTTTGTTTGATTTCAACAAAAATTGAATATATGGGGTTCTTTGATATGCTGAATCTTACCATGTATTTAGATTTTTTATTTGTGGGCCTGCTATCAAATTGGTTCATATTGAGGTCAAAAGGGTCCAAAATTAAACTTTGTTTGATTTCATCAAAAATTGAATTATTGGGGTTCTTTGATATGCCAAATCTAACTGTGTTTTTAGATTTTTAATTTAGGGTCCCGTTTTTTAAATTTGTCTACATTAAGGTCCAAAGGGTCCAAAATTAAACTTAGTTTGATTTTAACAAAAATTGAATTCTTCGGGTACTTTGATATGCTGAATCTAAACATGTGTTTAGATTTTTGATTATGGGACCAGTTTTCAAGTTTGTCCAAGTTGGGGTCCAAAATTAAACTTTGTTTGATTTCAACAAAAATTGAATATATGGGGTTCTTTGATATGCTGAATCTAACCATGTATTTTGATTTTGGACATTGGACCATAATAGGTAAATTAAAAAAATTGAAGTTCTTAGACCACATTCTTTCTGTGTCAGAAACCTATGCTGTGTCAAATATTTAATCACAATCCAAATTCAGAGCTGTATCAAGCTTGAATGTTGTGTCCATACTTGCCCCAACTGTTCAGGGTTCGACCTCTGCGGTCGTATCAAGCTGCGCCCAGCGAAGCATTTTATTTACAATTTTCATAAATTTTGTAAATTTTTGTAAATTTTTGTAAATTTTTACAAAATATTTTCCACTGTAACTACTGGGCCAAGTTCATTATAGATAGAGATAATTGTAAGCAGCAAGAATGTTCAGTAAAGTAAGATCTACAAACACATCACCATCACCAAAACACAATTTTGTCATGAATCCATCTGTGTCCTTTGTTTAATATGCACATAGACCAAGGTGAGCGACACAGGCTCTTTAGAGCCTCTAGTTTAAAAGTTGTTGTGAAGAGATTTCCAGTAATAAAATTGAGAATGGAAATGGGGAATGTGTCAAAGAGACAACAACCCGACCATAGAACAGACAACAGCAGAAGGTCACCAACAGGTCTTCAATGCAGCGAGAAATTCCCACACCCAGAGGCGTCCTTCAGCTGGCCCCTAAACAAATATATATACTAGTTCAGTGATAATGAACGCCATACTAAACTCCAAATTGTACACAAGAAATTAAAATTAAAAATAATACAAGACTAACAAAGGCTAGAGGCTCCTGACTTGGGACAGGCGCAAAAATGCGGCGGGGTTAAACATGTTTATGAGATCTCAACCCTCCCCCTATACCTCTAGCCAATGTAGAAAAGTAAACGCATAACAATACCCACATTAAAATTCAGTTCAAGAGAAGTCCGAGTCTGATGTCAGAAGATGTAACCAAAGAAAATAAACAAAATGACAATAATACATAAATAACAACAGACTACTAGCAGTTAACTGACATGCCAGCTCCAGACTTCAATTAAACTGATTGAAAGATTATGTCTTCATCATATGAATATCAGGCACAATCCTTCCCGTTACATACATGTATCATAAGTACAAGCAACACAGTGTAGGTGACTGGGTGGGTTTATCTTGCAATATATTAACACTGTGTGTATGATGTTTCTATTTTACCCCTGTATGATAAAATTAAGGCCATAATATGAAAAAAATAGACTCATTAAAATTTCTGTCTGTAAAAATTCAGTTGGCTGTTTTTAATCTGTCAGTCCGGCAAATCAGCTTTCCACACTTTTTTTCTTCGTTCTTAAAGATATTGATTTAATATTTGTTATATGGTTTTATCATGACAAGTTATAGATCAAGTTCGAATTTTGTTCCATTCTGATGATTTAGTCCAGAGTTATGGTCCATAAAAAAATCCATATCTAATGTTAGAGTACTATGTTAAACCATATTTAAGAAATAATTCATGGAAGCCATAGATTATGGCTTCCATGAATTATTTCGATTCTAATAGGACAAATACAGTAATTTAAAAACTGAAGCGAACGTAAGAATGCCGTGTGTATGGTGTTTCTATTTTACCCCCTGTATGATAAAAGCTACAAATTTCATATAAATCTAAGTCTTACATGAATTATTTCTCAAATAAGCAGTAGAAAAAATGTGTTCAATTCTCATAATTCTTAACCCAAACATTTATTTTTTGTTGACTACTCTTTACTGTCAAATCCAGAGTTGACATGTCGTAACTAAGGAGTTAGCCGCCATGTTGACTTGCTGAAATCCACAAATGTGCGAATAATGCAATGGAATAGAAAATGAAACAACACCTACCTCAAAACTCCATTTTAATGCAATATTATCCAAACTTAGGGAGTATACGCAACGAAAAACATTCAGCTTTAGAGTTTTCATTGGTATGACGTCATGTTATGACATGACGTTAATGCGCCAAGATCATTCATGAAATTTGGCGGAATTTTATTTTATTTTGATTTTATACATTTTTGAAGCTCTTGTGCATTAATTATTTTTGTTATGCAATATAATAGGAATAACGGTTTTGTAGTTTCTTTTTCAATTTCAATTTGGACACAACAAAATCGACATAGTGTTTGCACATAGGTTACAATACATGTGGATTTACGTGGGAGGTAAATAGCAACAGCCACCAATATGCACATCTCTGAGTCTGCGCTTAGTATAGATATATTGAGAATTTTATCACGGTGTTGTTTACAAAGCGAAAGAAGCACGTTATATTAGAATTCTATACAAAGAGAGATAACTCATTTTTTTAAAGAAATTCTTTAGTAAATTGTTTGAAAAATTTGTGCCAGTTTGTTTGTTTGTTATTTTGTATTAACTAATTTTCTGAATGCTATATATATATAAAAAATATTATTCAGTGAAATCCTTTAATTAGATAATAATCTATTTTCATTAAGGTATATAATATATTTCATTACATTACATTGTGTAGATAAAAGTTGTTGACACTTTATAGATAAGTTACAAATCTATATTAGTTTGTGACAAATGAAAGAAAAAATATTCGGAACTATTAATTATATTTGATTATAATTTGAAAATATATATACATTGTATTACATCATATCTAATTTTAGAGAACTATTAATCATATCCAATGTTAAGAGTGTTTTCCACAATTTTTTCATCATGCTTGAAGATATTGATTGATAATTGGTATATAGTTTTATCATGACAAGTTCCAGATCAAGTTCAAATTTTTGTTTTGGTCTGATAATTTTTTGCATGTTATGGTCCTTGGACTTGAAAAATTCACTCATATAATCAGTTATTCACACTGTTTTTAGTCATGCTTAAATATAATGACTTGATATTTACTTTTTGTTTACACCATGACAAGTTATAGAACAGTATAATTTAATTTTTACTCGGTAGGGGACTATGTATTGCCATGCAATACTCTCAGAATGCTTGTTTTATTTATATATTTAGTAGTTACTGAAATGATCTTGACAGATATATTTTGTTTATTTAACAGATCCCAGTATGATGACGGACATGCTTAAGGGAAATGTCACCAACGTTTTACCAATGATTGTAATAGGTGGCTGGATCAACTGGGCATTCTCTGGATTTCTTACAAGTATGTTATTTAAAAAGGAAATATAGTTTGACAGGTGCTTGTGCAATGGTCCTTTGCTAATTTGTTTTTTTGTCTCTTTCTAATCTGAAACACATTCATTGTAATGTTTGTAAATGTCAGATAATTTATATTTAAAAATAGAGCGCATGATTGAAATTTTAATAAAAGGAGATGTAGGATATGTGTCAATAAGATATTAGACCAATTAAAAAAAAACACCTACAGGTCAACATAGTCGTCAACTATAGATAACTGTATTTAATGTCCAGCATTTGTCGAACCTTTAATATTTTTATGCCCCATCTGGTGGCATTATAAATTTCGGTCTGTGCTTCCGTTTGTGCGTCCATCTGTCCCACTTCAGGTTAAAGTTTTTGGTCAACGTAGTTTTTGATGAAGCTGAAGTCCAATCAACTTAAAACTTAGTACACATGTTCCTTATGATATGAGTTATATAAAAAGAGTTTTGACCCAAATTTCACGGTCCACTGAACATAGAAAATGATAGTGTGAGTGGGCATCCATGAACTATGGACACATTCTTGTTATCAATAATTTAAAAAGAGGGGGCAGTACCAAAGGTATATTTAAACTGATATATAAGTCCATAACAATCTGACAATGCCATGGCAAAAAAACAAAAAGACAAACAGTCTACAAAACACAATATAGAAAAAACTAAATACTGAGCAACTTGAACCCCACTAAACACTGAGGTGATCTAAGATGCTTCGAAAGGGTAAGCAGATCCTGCTCCACACTGCTCATGTAAGTTGGGCAAACATACTAATTGAATTGGTGATGTTTAACTTGATCAAACCTGTAGTTTTTGTTTGGTTCAAGATAATTAAAAAAATATTTAATAAGATCAGGTTAAAATCATCAACAGGAAAATAATCATTGTTGATAAAAGGCAATAAAATAACTTTTACAATATACTTTTCTATATATTTAATCTTTTATAAAGAAGTTTAATATAAAATTCCAAATTTATTTAAAAATGTGTAAAGGTATGTGCTGATGTTTGTCTTTTTTATATTTTTATCACAGCAAAGGTGCCATTTCCTTTAACTCTTAGATTTAAACCAATGTTACAGAGAGGTATAGAGTTGAATTCCTTAGATGCATCATGGTTAGTATGCTTTTTACCTTTTTTATCAATTGATCTTTCCAATAAAAGAATGGAGCCATTATAGTAGAACATTTGTTCATTTGTCCATTTCATCACTGTAACAACCTTGTAATCATGTAGATCCTTGCTTGATAATGTTCAAGCATGGTTTGTGTTGAGGTAGATCTATGACAAAGCACTGCATTTTATGTTTAACAAGATTATCTCCCCTTATCTTATTTAAATAGGGGTGTAACTACCATTGTCTTTCCTTTATTAATCTTTATGTTGATAGCCATTTTTTTCAAAGTGCTGAATATACCTTTGTTTTAAATAAAGAAAATACTAGGCAAGAATAATGGTTAAGTGCAGCAATGTAAATTTCACACATTTTAATTCATATAAGGAAGTACACTTCTCTGGACATAAACAGGACAATTTCTCAACTTTTTTTCCCGTGTTTACTAGCATTAGATACTAGACATGTTTCCAAAATATCTTATAGGAGCACAAAATAAAAAAATAGAATGGTGTCTTAAAACACCCAAGATATATATGTTTATGACTCCAAAAAAAATTTCTGCAATGAATTTCTACAACTGTAAAACTCATGGGGATTCTTTTTTCGGTCCAATTTAACATGAAACCGGATGTGACATACTACGTTTTGGCTGTATTACATTTAAATAACTGGAAGATTATCTCCCCTTAGTAAAATTATTACAGTTGTTCATAGAACACATTAAAAGACCTTTTATTTTTGTTGCCTGAGAATTTAGTCCCCAAAATTATAGTGCTATTCTTCCTGTTTTTCTCTCTCTCATGTTTCCAGTTTATTTCTGAATATCTTATGCATGAAATAGGAAAAGAAGGGGTAAACTACAGACTGAAATTAATTTGATTCAGGGCTATTTCATTAAAATGGATTTGGGAATGTATGGAGGAACTTTCGAGGTCCCCCTACAACAAACTATTTTGAGCAATTTTGCATATCTCAAATTGACATACATTGTACATTTGTAATTGACCCATGACCCATGTCCAAAAATAAAACTTCCATTCCTACCTTCTCGCATTCATTTTAATGGAATTTCTGTCCCTGGATTCAGAAGTTACAATGCTGTTCCAGTCCAAAGGGGTTGCAGTTAAGAATATAAAAAGGCTGTCAAAATGATTATACAACCCCACTCAAGTATAATTGTTAATATATTGAGTGAGAGCAAGACATTTTCAAATTCTTGTTTATTTATTTATAGTTAGATATTTTTCCAGTGGAAAAATATGCACTGTAGAGTTGTATTAAGTTTACAATGTTATATTTTTTTGCATTTGCTAAATGCTTGAAAGAAGTTCATTTGTCTGTTATTGCGATCTGGGGTATATTTTCTCTTTAATTTTATCTTCACTGTTTTATAGTAAGAATACCTCCCTTTTGGATATACCTACTGTATTTATACTTAAAAATTAATTCATCTTAGCTGAAATAATTATTGAAGGAGGAAGAAAAACAGCTGATACTTCAAGTTTATTTTATAGGGTCAGTTCTGTATCCTGGTATTTCCTCAATGTGTTTGGTATCAGAAGTATGTACACACTTATACTGGGACAAGATAATGGTAAGTAAACCTATATTTAGATTTACAGGTGGCATATCTATGGTATTTTCAGTCAGAATATTCTTGGAATTAGCTTTCACACCAGTTGCTTAAAATTTCAGCAAGTGATGGTATTATGTACATTTATCAAATGGAATGATTTATGTATATTTTTTTATTATTTTTTGTCTCAATAGCCATCTTGGGCCAACTCTCAAGCCATTTTGTTAAGTAAACTGCCACAAAATTTAGTTACAAATTGAAAGGTTTTGAAGAAGTTGATAATATAATCACAAATATTCATTTGAAATGCAAATGCATTCAATATCAATCATATAGGGCCAAAAATAAAATAAAAATTGTTTGATGTTGCCTACCTACCCACCTAAAAAGCAGCCTACCCGAAAAAATTTATTACACAAATTGTTTCAAATTTTTTTATAAAATTTTTTTCATGCTTTAACATCGTTTTCTTGTCTAAAACATGTTACTTATGTTGTTGGCCAAAAAATAAAATCCCTACCTACCTTTGCAACCCTTACAAGGCATGGGTGGGCAACATCGAACAAATAATTTGTTAAGAGTGGCCTAAAGCCCTGCTTTGGATTTATTATATATTTGCGGGATACTAATTTTCAGGGATTTTGTTTGTAAGAAATCATGAATTTGGATGAACATTTCAAAAGATAGCACATTGCAACTTTTGTTGAAGTTAGATGTTAGTTGGAATTTATGGAAAATATTAGAATTTTTCAATGTATTTCTTTTTAATGCATCTATTTTAATATTTAAATAAAAGTTGTTTCTTTTAAGTACTTTTTATATACCAGTCACTATTGAAAAATAATTACTTGTGGAAGTAAATTTTCCAACTCAGAAAATTTGTGAGCTTGAATTTTGTTTATTACAGCTGCAGATCAGACTAAGGCCATGCAGGAACAAATGTCTGGAGCTGGAATGATGACACCACCTGACCCCAACAAAGCATTTAAAGCTGAATGGGAGGCATTGGAAATTGTTCAGCATAATTGGGTTATTCAGGGAGTAGAAGATGAACTGATTGATAGTCATATACAACCAGAAACAATTTATATCAAGAACAAATATGCATAATCTCATTATTTTTATAAATTTTTGTATTATGTGTTCAGTGTAATAAAATTGTAAATTCAATTTTTGTTTTGTAATTGTCATCCTTTTCACTTTATAGCTCATCTGACACAAAGGGTATTGATCATGATATTACATGGTATCACATCTGTCACCTGTCATCTGCTTTTGCTTCACATGGTGTTCATTGTCAGTTATCTGTCAATAATATAACAACACACAATAAATTCCAGGCGTCCGAAGTGCTTTTCTGTATTTACCTTCATCAGAAATGCTCAAAGCCAAGTATGTATAAGAACCGCAACAGTTTTCTACTGTCGTCTGCTGTTGTTTCACATTTTCTTCTCCTCTCTAAGATACCTCCTCTAGAGTTAATCTAACCTGGCAGTAACAATGTATTTAAAATCCTTTATCATGTCACCTGATAATAAAGCTGTAGTAACACTTTTAAAATGATCACTTCTGTCATTTTTGGAAAGTTGATCTGTCAATTTATATTGGGGAAGTCAACGAGTACTCGAGTATTCGAGTATCACTCGATAGTACCGAGTATCGAATACTAAAACGATACTCGACTAATCCGTTTCCTGTTAGAATATTGCTGTCTTCTTTATATAAAATATATATTCTTGAGAACCTCTTTCGGAAAATTAAATAGGCATCACTGATTAATCATACTAGAAAATAAAATATATTTTGTTTCGAATGCTTGTGCTAAATTGTCATTTAAAATGCCTCCGAAAATACGTGGGCTATACCTAGGCTAACACTTTAAACTAAACATGTCTTGGCCATTCCGTCAAATCAGTAATGTCGGAGCAAATATTTTCGTCTGCAAGACTGTAATTTACAAAGTTGCAAAACCGACTGTCCCCAATAATAGTTGACAAGAAAATGTTTCCAAATAAAATAAATTCCGTTGCATCCTCTTATGACCCTCATTGAATGGTTAAACTTCTAATCCTTACGCCTATGTAAAAACATTTAATTTTAATAATGATTTTTCCTTGTTATAATTTTTGAATAGGTGTTCATTAAATTATATTGATTAGATTATTGTTTTTTACTTAATAAGTACTTGTAGGTAATGAGGTATTAATTATGTTGTGGAATTCCTTGTCCTAGATACTTCTGTAGATGTTTTTTTGTCCGTTGAACAACAAACCACAGAAAGTAAAATACGAATTGTTGTGTTTCCGTGTTGTAGATATATTCCCGAGCGATTACTCGAGTATTGCTCGATAAAACCAACGAGTACTCGATTAGTAATTGTTCACCGAGTTGACATCCTTAATTTATATTATTATACAAAATGTCAAAATGCCAGATTTTGATTGGTTAATACGAGGGAGACAATTTACTCTATCCTATGGTAAATACTCTATTACCCTTCACGGAGACGCTTGATCAAGTGTGCGCTTTATTAAATACGGATGGTTGTCATGTACAAGACATCATAGTTTATTACTTTGAATTTGAAATTTAATAGACAGTAATAACAGAACATTCCGTATAATAAATCAAATAACACATATCTGAGAGGGTGATAGAGCAGATTGTAACCCCTCGAAAAGACATTGTCAACCTTGGCTTCGCCTCAGTTCACAATGTTTTCTCAGGGTAACAATGTGCTCTATCACCCTCTCAGCTATGTGTTATTTATGTAATGGTTTATGTTGCATCAGTTTACTATTTCACATCACAAACCCCTCAATATTAGGGTATACACCCCTTTAATGTTAATTTTGCAAATTCCTGGACTTAATCATAAGAAAACAAGATAGAGTATGTACATGACAAGGATAACAGGAATCACCAAATATATTGCACAGTACAACAGACCATACCAACCACTATTTACAAACTCCTTCCAGTAAATAATATACTCCTCCCAGTAAATAATATATTCCTCCCAGAAAATAGATATACAAACAAATAAAACAAAATGAACAACATGTGGTCCAGATAGCTTGTACAGACACAGCGTGGTGTGGTTGATAAAACCTGGTTTCAAATGCAATTACCTCCCCCTTTAATAAGATGTTTTTAACGTTAAACCCAAATTTGGCAATATAAAAACCTGCTCAATCCAGCTAGCAACATGATGACCACTAACTTGGAATGGAGAAATGAAACACATCTTATAATTTGGAAAGAATGGTAAGAATGTGCTTGCCACTACAGGTAGCTAGCTATGGTAGCCACAGTTGTTTAATACTGTTCCTGAAGAACACAAAAAAAAATCAGACAATCCTTACAGGTTTCATGAAGTCTCCATATATATTTTAAAAATAGAATACATCATTTTTATTACCTAAAGTTGTCAGTAGCTATCTAAAATTGTCAGACAATTTTAACTGAATTAGTATATTATGCCTGTAGTTCTTGCTGTTAAAGAATATAACACTGTAAAAGTAACTTTGAATTTTAATGCCTTTCAAAATGCTACTACTTTGTGATGTAAAACATCTGAAAATGCAAATTTATAAATCAACAAATAAAGCAAAGAAATCCCAGCCTCTTTTTTATACGACCGCAAAAAATTTTTTGCGTTTGTATAATGCTATCATGTAGTCGTTGTTGTCAGCATCAGTATCGTCGTCCGAAGACTCATTTGGTTTCCAGACAATAACTTTAGTTTAAGTGAATGGATCTCTATGAAAGAAGGTTCAAAATCACAAAAGGAAGGTTGGGATTGATTTTGGGGGTTATGGTACCAACAGTTTAGGAATTAGGGGCCAAAAACAAGCATTTTTGTAGTTTCAGGACAATAACTTGTGTGTAAGTGTATGGATCTCTCCGAAACTGTACCACAAGGTTCCATATCACAAAGGGAAGGCTGGAATTGAGTTTGGGGGGTAAATTGCCCCAAATGTTCAGGAATAAAGGGCAATAAAGGGGCCAAAAACAAGCATTTTTCTAGTTTCTAGACAATAACTTGTGTTTAAGTGTATGGATCTCTCTTAAATTGTACTACAAGGTTCCATACCACAAAGGGAAGGCTGGGCTTGAGTTTGTAGGTAATTACTCCAAGGGGGTTCAAAAATTTTTTTTGGGGGGGGGATTTTTTTTCCCAATTTTTTTGGAGGGTTTATATTTTTTCTTCAAAATTTATGAAATTTCAAATTTTTTGAAAAGCTTCAAGAAGAAATCTTCAATTGCTCAATATTGAGAATAGCACAGTATTGCGCAATAGCAAGAAATCTACATTGAGATCAAAAGGGTCCAAAATTAAACTTTGTTTGATTCATCAAAAACTGAATTATTGCGGCTGTATGATATGCTGAATCTTATTGAGCATTTAGATTATTTATTTTGGGCCCATTTTATCATGTTTATCTGAGGATTTAAAAAACCAGCACTGATGTAAATTGGTAAAAGCACACATTTTTATAATTTTCATATCCACTTCCCAGCTCAATATTATGCTTTACATGGTACAAGATTTAAAATGAATATTTTTGCAAACAACAAAGGACAACTCCTAAAATTTACACCCAACATATGGAACTCCATTAAAAGTATGGTACTTTGTTTTATTGGACTGCCTACATATTTCCTATATAGAAAATGTGTAAAATGAAATCCCTTCTGATCTGTCTACTAATGTGGAAGTAAACTTGACTTGTATAGAAAGTACACTTGATTATATAGGTAATAGCTTTCAACCAAACATTACAAGTATTTCACTTTAAGGCACCAACCATGCATCTTTTTTTTGTAGGGATGAAGCCTGGGTTTTTTTTTTCTGGACCAAACAACTGTTTTCAACTTAAATCAAAATTAAAAAACTCTTTCAATAACATGCAGGAACAGTTAACAAACTCAACAGTTGAATTTATTTCTTCAAAAATTTTCAGTGGAAACTAACCATTCTTCACTTCCCTTTGATTTTTTTTTCGTAAAAAATACAGAAACAAACTTTTTTTTAAACATGCCCCCCTAACCCCCCAAAAAATAAAAGATCGGTGCCTAAGTCCTTTATGTGTAATAAAATGTTCCTAACAAAAATTGGGTCTTATTACAGATATAATTCACTTGTTTTAGATTGTTCTTAATATGGCCAATAAGAATTCTTCTCTCAAAAGCAAGAAATATGTTAGCTTATCACAAAGTTTGTTACAAAGGTAAACAAGGACATTTTGACAGGTGATCACGTTCGTTATGGAATCTGACGATAATTTTAAAAAGCAAACAGAAATAGGCCCCCAGTATTCTAATGAACCTGTGTTTACACTACAATGTAACCAATGTGAGTCAACTGTATGTAGGAGAGGAATGAGTGCTGTACTACTAGCGAATGCTGAAGTCCAACTTTTTTCAACGGACTGTCCTGAAATCTGGTAAGGACTGGACTGGAGAAAACTACAATAATTATCTTTTATCAAACTTTTCACACACAATGACATATAATACAACATAATATAAGATATGTAGCACGCATGCTTAAAACAGCAGAGCATCTAGGGAAAGCATTGGTTAAATGATTATAAGCACCAAAGGCATTAAAGCAAGTCTAAAGTAAAAATTTTTATGAATGAGTTACATACATGTATGTACGTCAATCGTTGTATACAACAACATTGAACAATCAATTCTTACTGTGCAGTAATAACATTAGCATTGTGACATATTAAATGTATGGGAAAGAGTATGAATTTGAAAGTTGTCTTTACAAAAATTACATGCAAGAGAACGGGTCTCACTAATTAGCGACAAGTAGCGTCAAGAAGCGTCAAGAAGAATAAATTCAGCGACAAGAAGCAACAAAAAGACTATTTAGCGACAAGAAAACTTTAAAAAAATATTATTAGAATAAATATATTAAAAAAAAATATGCATTGACAGCAATAAAGAGATTTTCATTTTTTTTATTATATTGATAGATGAAGAAATTAATGAGTCAAGATAACATTTGGAGGTTTGCCTGTGATCTTATCAATTTCTTTCAAAGAATTAATATTGATGACAGCTTGCATATATCATCAGCAATATTTTGTTTGTTTAATAGGATAGGTACCTATGTATTCTGCTATTGCTTTATTCATGGTTTCAAGAGAATGGCCAGGCATTTTTTTCGAAGCAGCTGATTATTTTCTTGTAAGAATTACTTCTTTTCATAGAAGCATAATGACTCTTAAGGATGAACAAATTAGAACCATGGTTGGAGTAAAGGAAGTGTGTCCCTTATTGTATTGCTACAATAACATTCAATTAACACCTATAACTTTGTACACGCGTCAGACTATACAACTACATGCGCCAGAATATACAATAATTGTAAATAGTGAGCAACTGTTGAACACTCAACATTGTCTTTAATTACCTTTAATCTTCAATCAACTTTAAACTTTGCATAAACATCATACATATCGTTTGATAAGTCAATACCCAAATAAAATATTCACGTTTTAGTAACATTATCTTTTCTGGACACTGATTCACGTATAATGCATTTTCATGCAGTCAGTTTATTATATTTTAGACAAAAAGAGTGTTAAAAATTAATATCATACTAGGACAGGGAAATTTCTATATTTATCAATATCTATCAATATATTTAAAAAAAAAAATGAAAATCACTTTACTTTCCGTATACATGTATTAAAATAAATGTCAATGCATATTTTTTTATTATATTTATTTTAATAATATTTTTATTAAGTTTTCTTGTCGCTAAATAGTCTTCTTGTCGCTTCTTATCGCTAAAATTCTTCTTGTCGCTAATTAGTGAGACCGAAGAGAACTCTACTGTACATGTATTACAAATAACAAATAACATAAGCTCTGTAAAGCTTTTAACTGACACACATATAAATGACAAAACAAAACAATATAAGGTTAGCATAGGTAGCATTGCAATGGTAAAAGCACTATAAGCAATAAAGAAAGTCTTCTACATATGAAACCTCATTTAAGCAGCTTATCTGCAGCATATTATCAAAATAAAAGCACCAGCTAAAAGGATATATTTGAATAAAGAAATATAATATAGCTTATGAACAGAAGACACATGTGAAAGAGCTGTCGTTTCAGTTATTAAACTTTTGAACTGGTTCAAACTTGTTTGGGTACATGTATGTCATTTGCAGTCAATCAAGAATGTGGACCCAGCATATCTTACAAAATGTGAGCAAGAACCTTTTCCCCCCCCTGAGGATTTTATCAATATGATCTCTTTTAAAAGAATAATTAAGTATACTGGTATATTTTAAAATAATAATGTCGTCATGAAGATATAAAGGACTTTGTGTAGTATTTTGAAAATTTCTACAGCCTTACAAATGTTGGTTAACATGATCATTTATCAGTAAGTTAGAGTCTCTGATGATAGGTTCACATTAACAAATGTACTAATTTAAAAATGTATGTGATGGCCTAGGCCTCCAAAGATTTGAAAGTTTTGAAATTTTTGAGTCAATGTTGAATCTTCAGACAAGCCTCACATTTTGGTATGCCTTCATATGAAGTTATTTCATGCAATTATATGAGATACCAACATTTTTCAATAAAGGTGTCCTTCATCTTTGACAGTTGGAAAAGTCTTTTTCTAATTTAAATAAAACATGTAGCAAGCACAAGATAACATAAACAAATGGAAAGGATGCCTTTTAACCTTAAAAAAAAGTGCAAAACTATTAGTCTTGTTTTAAAAGGTAAAACACTTATTCAACTATTTTATTATTTTTACTAATAAAAGATTAGAATATATATAGAACTATTAATTCCTAGAAAAAATGAATTTATGTTAAATATTTTCAATTGTCCCTAGAGGGTCATTTTTAATTGGGGACTTGGTAGCCAAGTGGTCTAGGTAGTTCATCTGCAGCGATCACTAGCATGTCTTTACTAAGGTTGTGACCTCAACATCTGCTTGTGGAAGGATACATTTAACTTCTGCCTTAATTGACTAGGAATGCCAGTTTTCCTGGCGAAGGTCATTGTTCTCTCCAGGTACTCCCACTTCCTCCACCAATAAAAGTTGGCTGCCACAATATAGTCAAGTGTGCTGAAAGTGGCTTTAAAGACAATCAGTCAATTATCTTTATAAATGGCAATTGACCCGATAGCCATGGTCACATGGATCTATCTATCAGTGACATTTTAAGTTCTAATCTTATTGCTGAACAATCATTATTGAAACTAAAATCTTGAAATGCGATATTTTTTCAGTGATGTTGCCACAACAACCAACTTGTTCCTTGCAGAGAATTGTGATTGTTGGTTAGTGAATATGGCCTGTATTAATTGGTAAGTTCATTTACAAGGACAATTCTATTTCATTTTTTATATGTCTACATGCTTGCAAATATTACCTCTAATTGAAAAGTAAGATGATATAATAAAAATAAACAAAGTCGTACTGGAAAGGCAATTTTTCTAGTTATACTACAGTGTTATATTCCTAATTTTGGGGAACAAAGGAAATGTAGATCAATGTTTCAGCTTTTTTTGATTCAGCCATGCTCGATCTATGTGATCACTCCAGATTTTGAGATGGTGCAGAATTCTAAGTTGGAAACATATCATGAAACTAATTATGTGTTTTTGTCGAGCCTGCGACTTTTGTCGCAGAAAGCTCGACATAGGGATAGCGATCCGGCGGCGGCGGCGGCGGTGTTAGCTAACTTCTTAAAAGCTTTATATTTTAGAAGGTGGAAGGTCTGGATGCTTCATACTTTGTATATGGATGCCTCATGTTACGAAGTTTCCGTCAGTCACATGTCCAATGTCCTTGACCTCATTTTCATGGTTCAGTGACTACTTGAAAAAAAAGTTAAGATTTTTTGTAATGTTAGATTCTCTCTTATTATAAGTAATAAGATAACTATATTTGGTATGTGCGTACCTTGCAAGGTCCTCATGCCCGTCAGACAGTTTTCACTTGACCTCGACCTCATTTCATGGATCAGTGAACAAGGTTAAGTTTTGGTGGTCAAGTCCATATCTCAGATACTATAAGCAATAGGTCTAGTATATTTGGTGTATGGAAGGACTGTAAGGTGTACATGTCCAACTGGCAGGTGTCATCTGACCTTGACCTCATTTTCATGGTTCAGTGGTTATAGTTAAGTTTTTGTGTTTTGGTCTGTATTTCTTATACTGTATGCCATAGGTCTACTATATTTGGTGTATGGAATGATTGTAAGGTGTACATGTCTAGCGGGCAGGTGTCATCTGACCTTGACCTCATTTTCATGGTTCAGTGGTCAAAGTTAAGTTTTTGAGTTTTGGTCTTTTTTTCTAATACTATGTGCAATAGTTCAACTATATTTGGTATGTGCGTACCTTGCAAGGTCCTCATGCCCGTCAGACAGTTTTCACTTGACCTCGACCTCATTTCATGGATCAATGAACAAGGTTAAGTTTTGGTGGTCAAGTCCATATCTCAGATACTATAAGCAATAGGTCTAGTATATTCGGTGTATGGAAGGACTGTAAGGTGTACATGTCCAACTGGCAGGTGTCATCTGACCTTGACCTCATTTTCATGGTTCAGTGGTTATAGTTAAGTTTTTGTGTTTTGGTCTGTATTTCTTATACTGTATGCCATAGGTCTACTATATTTGGTGTATGGAATGATTGTAAGGTGTACATGTCTAGGGGGCAGGTGTCATCTGACCTTGACCTCATTTTCATGGTTCAGTGGTCAAAGTTAAGTTTTTGAGTTTTGGTCTTTTTTTCTAATACTATGTGCAATAGTTCAACTATATTTGGTATGTGCGTACCTTGCAAGGTCCTCATGCCCGTCAGACAATTTTCACTTGACCTCGACCTCATTCATGGATCAGTGAACAAGGTTAAGTTTTGGGGGTCAAGTCCATATCTCAGATACTATAAGCAATAGGTCTAGTATATTCGGTGTATGGAAGGACTGTAAGGTGTACATGTCCAACTGGCAGGTGTCATCTGACCTTGACCTCATTTTCATGGTTCAGTGGTTATAGTTAAGTTTTTGTGTTTTGGTCTGTTTTTCTTATACTATATGCAATAGTTCAACTATATTTGGTGTGTGGAAATATTTTATGATCTATTTGGCAGTCATGCAGGTTTTATTTGACCTTGACCTCATTTTCAAGGTTCATTGCTCAGTGTTAAGTTTTTGTGTTTTGGTCTGTTTTTCTTAAACTATAAGCAATAGGTCAACTCTATTTGTTGTATGGAAGAATTGTTAGCTGTTCATGCCTGCCTAGCATGGTTCATCTGACCTTGACCTCATTTTCATGGTTCATTGGTCAATGTTTAGTTTACTTGGTTAATGTTAAGTTTATGTGACAGTTGTAATAAAGCTTTATATTTAGGACTATCAACATAATATCAATGATTAGTAAAGAAGGCGAGACATTTCAGTGTGTGCACTCTTGTTATGACTTGCTGGAACTTTAGTTTATACACCATTTTAATCATTAACTGCCATCTTTTGACATGTTATTTTCCCTTAAAATTAAGAAAATTTGGTTGTTTATTTTTTCAGTCCCTTGGTTTCTTCTCTGTTAAAAGTGTATAAATACAAGTTTAAACCTTTTAGGCTAAAATAACATCCAAAGTTGTGAGAGTTGTCTATAAAAATGTCATCTGGAAGCTTGCATAAGAAAAAAATATTGAAAATGAGATAAAAAAAAAAATGTCTGACTACCTGCAGCTAAAAAATGGCTGGATCACAGCACCGACGATGCTTTGATTTTATCAAGAAAACACAATTTTTGTCGAGCCTGCGACTTAGGGATAGTGATCCGACGGCGGCGTTAGCTAACTTTTTAAAAGCTTTTATATTTTAGAAGGTGGAAGACCTGGATGCTTCATACTTTGTATATATAGATGCCTTATGTTACGAAGTTTCCGTCTGTCACATGTTCATTGTCCTTGACCTCATTTTCATGGTTCAGTGACTACTTGAAAAAAAAGTTGTGATTTTTTGTAATGTTAATTTCTCTCTTATGAGTATAGTAATAGGATAACTATATTTAGTATGTGCGTACCTATCAAGGTCTTCATACCCGTCAGACAGTTTTCACTTGACCTCAACCTCATTTCATGGATCAGTGAACAAGGTTAAGTTTTGGTGGTCGTCCATATCTCAGATACTATAAGCAATAGGTCTAGTAGTAAAGCTTTCATTTAGGACTATCAACATAATATCAATGGTTAGTAAAGAAGGCGAGACATTTCAGCGTGTGCACTCTTGTTTTGTTAAAATACAACTTTCAGATTCTAAATATTTATACTATTAAGCTATGACAAGCAAAACTGCAAGAATACGTGAAAACAACAACAAAGTATAGTAAGTAAAAAGTAAGATGCAAAATTATGTCAAGTTTTTTTTGGGGGTATAAATTTGGAAGTTACAATGTAAATGTATGTAGGAAAAGGCTTGAAAGGCAAGTAAAAGTAAATATATTAAATCATGCATCTATATCTTAAACAAGGAAATGTTGATGAAAACATTAATTTGTTATGAGCTGATTATTTGTGACATGCAACTATCTTTTCAGTGGGAATTGCCTAGGTTACAATGTCAGAGTGCCATGTCGTGATTGTCTTTCATCATCCAATAATGGCCATTTATGGATGTTTTATGTAGGTGCTGTTTCCTCGTATGAACGGTTGAATTATAAAGGTTTGTAAAAATGATATTTGTACACATATACATGTATATTGTAGAAACAGATGCTAATTACTACTATTATAATATGTAGATTTAATATAAAATGCTGAATAAAAAGAGATTTGAGGAATACATCAACTAAATAACAACCAGAAGACAAAACAAAAAAAAGCTAAAGGTCAGCATATACAGTCCACCAAAGGACAAGTATCTATATAATATGCTACGCACTTAACAGCTCAGAGTCTAGAAAAATTGTGAATATATGTAACAGAGACTATAAAAGGTCTGCCATAACAAGAGTGTAAGAAGGAATGATTTCTAGTATGCAGAAATAGAGTTTTCTTTGCTACAGTGTTATCAAGTATTATTTTACTAGCACCTATGGTTTTATGTCTTATAATATCAATTTTATATATAACAGTGTTTTTCTCACCTGATTTTGTGAATATTCTTTATAAACATGAAAATAATTTTTTGAAATTTTCAGTCGTCAAATTGAAATACAAAAACTTTCACTTTCATGCATTTTAAAGTACATTCTAATTTCATACTGTAGTGTGGTAAAATTTGTGGAAAGCTCTAAAAATGAATTTGTGTATTTCACTTTGCAGGTGAAGAAGTTCTTTTGTGGGGCAATTTAAATGAAGATGAAAAGAAATATGAACAGTTTTTGAAAGATCAAGATATATGTTGCAGATGATAGAGCATAAACAGAAAAAAAAATTTAGGGATGCAAATAGACAAAGAAGCTAAATAGCGATCATGATTTAAACATGATTTCTCTTGCCAGCTGATTAGTTTGAACACATTCAAATTTAATGATCCCTACATTTCCAAGATTAACCACCCACCTTGATTTGGTTTAATCTTACACATATGCCATTTGATCTGAAGATTCTATTCAAAAATATTGTTTGAGCCAGGATGCTTTTTTGAAATATCTTGAGAGATAGACCTTACACTGGAATTTCTATTTTTCATCACTTGATATAATTTTCACACTGGGCATGTGAAGGATTTTTATCTTTATTTGAAAATCAAGATATTGACTGAAAACTGTTATTTTTATTTGGGGGGGGGGGGGTGTTGTTGTTGTTGTTAAATTTTTTTCAAGGGAGAACACTGTACATTTTGTTATGAAATGAATTACAAATATCTTTTATGTCTTCTTTTTGAAGACAATTGTGCTTATGCTTCCATATGATTTTTTTTTAGAAAAAGTAAGAGAGTTTGTGTTAAATTTAAAATATGTTTCTTTATTAAACTAGATCTTTACCTTATATACAAATTTTCTGGCATTTTCACGATATATACCTCATCAACATTATATGCATAAGCTATTGTATACAAATTTTAGTGATTTATTATGGAATTCAGGAAGCCCTGAAGAAATATTTGTACCTGTATATATGCAATTTCAGCTTTCATTGATAATTGTGTGTTTATTCAAGTATTAAGATCATTAGTTATTGTTTTAATTTGTATAAGATATGCAACTGATACCACGTAATCAGTAAATAAAAAGTAGTAGAAATACTATCCTAAATAACTGCCTCAAGTAAATTTTTGAACTTATTTTTTTTTTAGCAAGAAATAAACATTAGCGTGTCAGGTACATTCAAACATCTTGTTTTTTTTAATTTTTTTTTTTCAAATTCAAATTATGTGATTTTTTTTTATACACATAATATTATCAAAGTTGTATGCACCAGTTGCACTTTTTCTAAAATTGAGAATCAACTTTCAACCATAGCTACCTACATTGTTACTTTTTCTGATTAACTTTCGATTTTTAAAACAAAGATTTAAAAACATGTATCTGCAGTAGATATAATTATGGATATGTTTTTACTTTGTAATAATCTTTTGAAAAACCATTATTTTTCAAATGGTCAGAAGAATTTTGAATTGAACTTTATTTTTGCTAGAAAATATGTCTTGGTTAAAGTATTTTTGCAGTAAATGGATAAACCCTAGGCAACCATAGGGCTTTATAGATTGAATATTGTAGATTAATAGCATAAAACATTCATATGATAGCCAATTTTCTTGGTCTCAATTTCTTTTGGAAATAGTGCTGACAGTTGAGAAAAAAAAATAGTTGCTGTCTTTGTTTAATGAAAGCAATCTGTCCCGTCAGTGCTCACAAGCACTTTGATTTGTTTATACTGAAAATGATGTGATGATTTTAACAAAATAAATGGCTAACACATGAATGGTTTATTCTGTAGGGTTACAAACTCAGGCATACAAAGTTTTAATGTACCAGTACACAGCTTTTGTATGTATTGTACAGTATATGTTAGATTGTTTATGTAAACTGTGATATCTTTTGTTTATAGTGCTGGCATTATTGTTTATAGGTATGTATTGCGGTTTCAGTATTTTAGAAATTTTCTCCAGTCCCTTTTGAGATTTCTTTTTAAAGAAAAACAGTAAAGTTGTCATAATAACTAGTATGTTTCCTTGCAAATCTGTATATTAATGGTTTAATATTTAAGAATAAGAAAAGGGCAAATGTGAGGTCATTACATGTATGCCAAAATTGGATCAAAATCTCAAATTTGTTTCAATAAATTCAGATTTAGACTAAATGATAACTTCTTAAAGTATCAGATTTCTGAGTAAGAATTCATTTGATTCTATTTTATTGCCTAATGTCTCTAAAATAAAATGAATTTCATGTCTACTTATAGTTGTTCATGTTTTTGGAATCGTTTAGGGTTTTGAGTAAACAGTAGTTGCCATTATTTTGTTTTTGTTGTTGTGGCGGTTGTAATGTTGATAATTTTTTCATTACTTTTAATTTCTGAGCAAAACATACCTAATGTAATGGAAAATTGTGATAATTTAGTTTGGGGGTCTGAGGGGTATGATTTCAAGAAATTTGTTTTTGTGTTTACCATTTTTATTCAGGAACGTGTGTCTATAAATTTTTGAAGTACATGTATATGTAATAAACATAACTTTTTTTTTGCAGTCCTGTGGAATATTTACCAGGTACTGGTACTCTATAACCATTACTTTTTGTAAGGAGAAACAGACAAATTTTTTTTTTAATTGTGGCCTAAGTTTTGATGCATAATACATGAAAACCAATCCTTGACATTATGGGTAGCAACATTGATACTAGATGACAAGGGAGATAACTATACTAAACAAAATAGAAAGGGAAAAATTACCTGTTTTCTCAGATCAAAAATAAACTTGTCTCATTGGCAATCATACCTCATCTCCTTATTTTTATATTAAATGCAAATTTAACTAATATTTTTTTATTATTTTTTTGTCTTATTTATTTCAAGTATAACCTTTCACCCGTACATTTCCCTACTCAATTTGTTTCTGGTCAATTGTACACATTTTTATGTATGAAACGGTAGTGCTTTTGCTCATGCAATCAAAATAGATATATGCATATGTAGTTACTTACCTATAGTGTGTATTGCCCAAAGTGATATTGATGAATTTATGTGTATTTTTTGTATAATTATTTAGATACAGCTACAAAATAGTAGATACCTATGTAAAGTTTATATACATATGTTTACATTTTTTTTCATGTTACACGAATACATTAAACTTATTTTCATTTGATCATGTGTCACTTTTTTACTGAAATTTTGTCAGCAAGACCAGGCTAATTTTTACCTGTGTTGCCAATGGTGAATACAGGTCTAGTAACTGCTGGACTCCATCCAACCAAAAGACCTTGAGTAAAAATTTTGTCATAGTTCTATTGGCTTTTATGTAATGGAATGGTCTGCAACTTGATAATGTTGAGTTGAAGCATGTAAGAAATAGTTACATCTGCCATTTGAAATTTTACAACACTCATTGTACAAGTACAATTTTCATCAAAGTTTTTCCTGGCTTCTTTGGAAAGTAATGATTTCATATTTGGTCTGCAGCTTGATAAAGTTGAGTTGTAGTGTAAAGGCAATTTCTACATCTGCCGTGCAGCCACTTCTTGTTCGCAGATAGTTTGAAATTTTACAACACAATATACAAGTAACATTTTTGTCTTAAGTTTTCTTGACTTCATTGAAAGGGGATGATAAGTTATGCTTTTGTATTCATGTGACATCAATCAATTGTATGCAACACAGGTTCAGAATGGATTGTTTGATGGATGTGGTATCTAGTGGGTAATCTGTTAACCATATTTAGGATGAGGACATGTTAAAAAAAATATGAATAATTTTTAAGACTAGATTGATGCACCTACACAACAATGCAGTTAGATTTTGTTATCTGTTTGGGTAATATTCATTTTAATTGGATACATTTCAGGAAATTAAAAATGTCCTGTGCGACCAGGCATACATGAAAACGAACAAGTAAGGTACTTGAGTCTTGAGAGATAATTAACTCAACAATACTATGTTCATGTATTACTGTAAATTTAGAAATTATTGCGTGCATTTATTATTGCGATTTTTGAAGAATGGACTAAAATGCAAAAATAATTATTGCAATTTTAGGAAAATATGCATACAGGTTTATGTATCAGATATCAGGATGTGAGTTCTTATGAATGAGATACTCATCCAATTGCATTATTCACAATAAGAAAACCTCATAATAACTTCTGAACTTACGGTAAATCATTCTGACAGACGTTTGTTCAGACACATCATTCTTACTCCATGCTGACACACCTTTGCTAATACTAATAAAATCTACATGATTAGTATACATGCAAATTCCAGTTTTAAAGTCCTTGTCTTGACCCAACAACAACAACTTGAGACAAACATGCTACCAAGAGACAGCTGATGCCGTTGTAATTGCAGTGCTTTTGAATATCCTCCATTCAACTAGGCTTTCAAATAAAGTAAATTTCACTAAAACAATGCATGCTGTTAAGCGTGAAATTTTTCGTGCTGAGCTTATTTTGCTCATTTTGCAAATAAGGTGAAATAATGAAAATATTCGCTAGTGTTATTTTATTCTTTAAAAAAAAGGAATGCAGTTTTGTGTGTCCTTATTTAGTATTGTTACATGTATTTTCATCATTTGTATGTTTTTTTTGCTCAGCTAAATTAATCAATGAATGATTGGCTTTTAAAGGAGAAATTTAAAGGTCCCATTGAATAGACTCCACAGAATAGAATAGGTAATGTATTTATAAAATTGGACAGGTAAAAAATTAAATACCTTGACAAAGAGGAACTGCTTCTGTGGAAAGGTTTTATTTCTTTTGCAATACAAAAATTAAGCAGCTATATCTATTGATGTAAATAGTGGATGGTTAGAAATTTTGGCATATTATAGTCTGTCAGTCAGACATGTACACTATTCAAATATTCCATACACCAAATATAGCTGACCTATTGCTATTTGTATTTGAAAAACAGACCAGAACACAATAACTTAACATTGACCAATGAACCATGAAAATGAGGTCAATGTCAGATGATACCTGCAGCTACCTGTTAGACAGTCATTTACACCTTATAATCTTTCCATACACCAAATATAGTTGACCTATTGCTTGTAGTACTTAAAAAACAGACCAAAACACAAAAACTTAACATGACCAATGAACCACGAAAATGAGGTCAAGGTCAGATGATGGCTGCCAGAAAGATATGTACACCATACATCAAATATAGCTGACCTATTGCTATGTGTGCTTGAAAAATAGACTAAAACACAAAAACTTAACATTGACCATGAACCATGAAAAAGAGGTCAAAGTAAGATGAAACCTGCTAGACTGACATGCACCCTTTACAATCATTCCATACACCAAATATAGTTGACCTATTGCTTAAAGTATCTGTGAAACAGACCTAATGTGCAACTTTAACCTTGATCACTGATCCATGAAATGAGGTTGAGGTCAGGTGAACCCCATTTGACAGACATGTAGACGTTGCAAGGAACACATATAACAAATATAGTTATCCTATTACTCATGACAAAAAACCATGAAAATGAGGTCAAGGACAATGGACATATGACAAACGGAACTTTGTAACATAAGGTATCTGCATACAAGGTATGAAACATCCAGGTCCTTTATCTTCTGAAATATAAAGCTTTATACAAATAGTCTACACCCCCACAACTGCTGGATAGTAATCCCAAAGTCTTGCATACTGTGACTTTCGTCGGAGGCGAGACAAAAAACTATTTGTGTTCACTGTAAATACCGGTACTAGGTTACCCGGTAACTATTTTTGGTCTATACAATCACAGTAAGCTGTACATGACTGCCTGACAGGATTCATTTAATCATGACCTCATTTTCAGATTTCATTGATCAATGTTAAGTTTGCCTGATTAAGATATATTTCTCAAATACTGTAAGTGGTAGTACATGGTCTGTAGAATCATTGTAAGATGAACATGACCATCAGACAGGAGTTATCTGATCTTGTTCTCATTTTCATAGTTTATTAATAATTGTGATTAGGTCAGTTTTTCCACTGCAATAAGTTATAGGTCAAATATAATGCATTATACAACAATCAATATAAACTGTGTTAGTCTGTCAGGGTTCACCAAAATGTGACTTCATTGTCATTGTTTATTTATGAATGTAAATTTTTCGGATTAGGTCATTTTATCTGTAACTTGAATCAATAGGTCACCAATATTTGGTGTATAGAATCATTTTTAGGTGTTCAATGCCATCTGACAGGGTTCATTTGACCTTGACCTATTACTTGTAGTTTATAAAACTATTAAGTTTTCATGAATAGGTCAGTTCTTGGTTACCATGAGTAACATGTCTAAATTTGAATCATTGTGGATTTACACATCTTTGTACACATTTACTTGATCTTGACCTCATTTTTATTGTTTGTTATGTCTGAACTTCAGAAGGAAGAATTCTTTTCTTAATTCTCATTCAACCTTGTCCTGGTATTAACTTTTTTTTTTATAGATTTATACTAAGTACGAAGGTTTAATAATAAAGACATTGTGTTCCACATCATCAGGACCTTTGACCTCAAAATCCCATTATTGTTTTTAGGGGGAGATTTTCTTGTCTGTGTCATCAATTTTTTTATCCTTTGAAATAGGCCTTAGAATATTTGGCATGTGGCACCTCAAGGTGGTGTGTTGTGTACCATAAAATATGACCTCTGTTTTGAACTTTCCAATAGTTTATGATACCTTGCTCTAACAAGGTCAATTTGTAAAGTAATGAATATCAAATGAACATAAGTTCAATGTCCTATACTGGAATTCAATAAAATCTGTCAGATAATTATCTTTAAATTCAATTATCTCCCCTTTAAGATGTCTGACCTTATAAATTTTGCTTCATATATATGCATCTTCCTTAGTTGAACCATTTTTATGTGTAATATCAAACTCCACCATGATTTAAGAGCTATTATGTGGATAAGGTCAATATCACAAGATGCGTTTCAATTTTTTTCATCATGAACATCTTTTTTTCGTATGATGTACATTTTAATGTCAGTCTTTTAAAATCTATCAAATATTGAAAGAGCAGTTGCAGTTACAAAGTCAGTTTAGTTTTCCTTCAAGATGTCAACCTGAAAATATTTTAATTCATGCATATCTTCAGAACTATGGTGTTACTACAATCCAATGTTTAAAACTATGTTTCTCTCTAGTAGTGTTTGGATACTTTTTCACTAGGTTGCTGTCCCATTGGTCTTTGCCCAACAACTCTTTGTGCCACATTTATATAAAATTTCATTCAAACTCATCCTAAAAGAAGTTTTCATAATTAATTGATAGATGTATGGGCAGGTGATTTCAAAATACATCCTCCGTAATGCAATTGTAATGTTTTCAATGTGTAGGGTTGTTTTTCGTCCTCAGTTTTCAGTTGCTTAATTTTGGATCTGTATTTCATATCTTATGTTGGTCTCAGGCATTCATGAAGTTGTATACAAAAATATCAAATATACATGAATATATTATTATCTCTTGATACTCATTGCAATATGGTCCTGAATATGCATTTTAATTTGCAGCTAGATGTTTAAAATTCAACAGCCATTTATCATCATCATTGCAATCTTCTGGATACACTCATCTATGTCTCAATGATTGAGATGGCTGTTTCTAAGTATTTAGAAAATGTAATTGAAAACTGAAACAAAATCATACTTATATTTTTATTTTTATAAATTTCAACAGTTTTTGACATTTTCTTATATATCAAAATTACTACAAAACACTTCTATTCTCATACAACTTAAGATAAAAATTTTACAACCATTTTCAACTTTCACACACTTCAAAATACTTCCTGTTTACCTTACTGACTAAATATATGCTACTGTAAACATGTATTTTTTTTCTGATGATATGGGCTTACAATAATTCTTACTTTGCAGCTGAAGTCCCTATTCAACTGTTTTTATTTTGAGGAATCCACTTCCTACTCTTGACTGTTTGAAATACTTCTATAAAATATTTAATTTCATCCTATTCAATTCTCACAATAATTTTTATAAAATTTTTGGTGAAAACATGTTCCAATTTCAGTGAAATATATACTCATAAATTATGTCCAAGCCATTAACATTGAGATTGTTTAACCATTTACTACACATTAAAAAAAAAAATCACCCTTTTTGAAAAAAAAGGAAATGAAAAAACTATGCCATTGTTAGGAAGAAATCTTAAAACTTAATAAAAATCAATAAACTTTCAACCAGGAAGTAATTTCCATACAATCTGATTAGAAGTGAATTCCAGAGAGGGTTATTTTTACACATCTGTCCATACTACATAAGTTTATGTTCACAAGCTTTTCAAATTCTTGTATATTTCTTATTAAGCTAAGAAAAAAACATTACTAAAACTATATTTGTACATGATCAGTCTCATAAATATAATATAATATTTCTGTGGTTATATTTCTGACTAGAATCAACCTATGCTCATAAGTTTCATAGTATAATGCAAGAAAATAAACCATTTACAAATGATATTCACCAACACTTTTTAAAGGTGAAAAAGCCCTAGCTTCAAAATATAAACTTTTTTTTTCGAAGTGGTTACTTTAAATAGCTGATTATTTAATTTTACCAACTAATTTATAAATTTATGTAAATGGTTCACTTTCAAGTACTCTTGCTATCTGAACAATGAATGAATGCACCTTTAATTTCAAAATCAATTTTTTAAAATTAGAATTTGAAGATACAAGTTATCCTTCTTGGAAAAGATGAAATGAGATTCAATATGGATGAAAAATAAATGTAGGTGTAATTACTTGTCGTTATTATACTGATTAAAATTGCAATTCCAAAATTAAATTCAATACAAGTATGGAAATAGACATGTAGAAGTAAGAAACAAAACTTAACTGAAATAGTGCCAAAATTCTGAATTTTAACTTTCTTCAGAATAATGAATGTACATGATTTACTTTTGTATAAACTTCTACATACAAGGAAAATAGATACTGAAAAAAATTAATATTCACAAATTTCTGTTATGGAGCAACTTGTAGTTATTGCATATACACTCAGAAGTAGGGTGGAGACATATGCTCTTATACTGGGATAAACTGACAAATATTCTGGATATTTCAAACATCACAAATTTTCCAATATCTCAACCTTTTTTCATAAAACTTTCAACCTTAACCAGAGATATCACACATAAGCAGTTACTTTGTAACATCAACTACATGCTATTTACTTTTCTCAGTACAAAATCTGTCTTTTCAAATCTTAAAAATTTGAATAAATGACTTTTTTCATCAAAGCACAAAACACTAAAAATACACATACCATAAGCCCTATATCAACTACATTTGCATAGTTAAATCTGAGCAAATATTAAACACCTTAGCACTGTTTGAAATATTTAACTAGTGAAAAAAAAAAACTACATTGAAAAAAAAAAATAAAACAACCTACGTTTTGCATTGTACAATCGTTCTGAAACGAAAAACACTTTTCACAGTTAAATTTTCATATTATGTTGCAAACTACTAATATTTCAAAATGACAACAGTTTCATAATTTTGCAATTCTTAATATAAATATTCTATAAAGAGAAAAATCAAACTAAAACAAAAATAACTGGCAAAGTATAGTTCTTGTATTGTACAGTCTCGATACATCTGCTGTATTGGCAAGATACTAATAAACCTTTAAATCAATATGGACAAATCTTTATGCAAAAATACTTCAAATATTTAATTATTTCTTTGAAAACTACAACTACATGCTGCAAATTCTACAACTACATGAACACATTGAATAACCAACACAATATTAACATTTGAAAACATGTCAATGCATGTCATGAAATCAGTCAAAATGAAAATGAACAAAAATTGAACAACAAAATGAAATAAAAATGGCTGACAGACAGATAACTTGCATTTAAATGAAAATCCATTGAAATATTCTCCCCTGCTGATCAAGCTGAAGAATTTACAAAAACCTTTCTAAACACTACAACTAAATAACTTTCATCCACTAGTTACGTAATTATGGCATGTTCTGTTAAAATAAAGGTAATTTACGAATTAATTTTTCATTTCATAATCTACAGAATTCTGTGACTTTCTATTTCAGTAGCTTTAACAGTCTGTCATCAACCTCAACTAGTGCAACCTTACTGGTAAAAAATTAACAAAAATCTACATGGTAAATCCAACTTAAAAATTTCTCAAAGCCACCTTTTCATGTGACCTGGTAAATAGAATTAAAATTTAATCAATTCAAAATGATACAACTTTACAACTTGGTAATTGGAACCTATGCAGTTTGTATACCGGTGTTTATTATAAAAGCTGTGTATATGTGGGGGAAAATCAAGTTTCTGGCTACTATTATTTGGACAACATCAACTTATTTTCAGTGACAAAAGTATAAAAAAAATATTTTAAAATATTGCCCTACATCAAAACAATCACAGAACTCAAGTGGAATGTTCTGTCACAAGCACCATTATATTTAATCTACAAAAATAAAAATTATACTAAAATGATTGAAAAATATAAGAGTTGTTCCATCAAAAAAATGTTCAAAAGTAAAACCACTAAATACTGCAATTTAGCATTCAGAGTATCTATTTATACTGAGGAAAAAGTAAAATCACAAAAATACTGAACTCCGAGGAAAATTCAATCGGAAAGTCCCTAATCACATGGCAAAATCAAATGACAAAACACATCAAACGAATGGACAACAACTGTCATATTCCTGACTTGGTACAGGTATTTTCAAATATAGAAAATGGTGGATTGAACCTGGTTTTATAGCGCTAAACCTCTCACTTGTACGACAGTCTTATCAAATTCTGCAAAAAAAAGGGTCCGCCAATAGCAGCATTTTAGAGCGTTCTTCCAAATGTTTTGATATGATGTAACAGTAATGAATGTTAAATTTTGGAAGAATTACCTGAATGACATTTCTGTTTTATTCTAAAAATAAGTCAAATGTAGATGTCTTTCCTGCTATTTTTATAGGGATAACAATAATGCCATAAAATTGTGGTAAATTGACAGACATGAGATGATATCAGATGGTGTAATGTTATATTGAAACTGAGTATTTTGTTTAAATGAGGAGAAATGAGATATTATTTTTTGCAAGCATTTTTTTTACCACTAAAATTTCAAAAAGGTTACAAAAATATTGTTTTCTTTGTAGCAATAAATTTTCCTTATTTCTATACTATTGATGAAATACTTTTGTGTAATGAAATAATAAATTAATAGCTACATGGGCAAGGTGAGCTAATGCAATGTCTGTCTCCTATTCTATTCTAAAACACTGAAACCTATAAACTTATTTGTCTATAAGTAAAATATATATTTTATATGGCCTAAATGAAATGAAATTTAACTTGTAAGGATTACAAATCTACAAACTTAAAAACATTCTTCAAACTAATATTCTTACATAAAAACACTCAACTAGATTAATTCCTAAATATTGCATAGTCTGTTCAGATTATCATTCTCTTCATATTTCAGCAAAAAAGGGAGAAATCTATCCTACATTACATAGAAAACTTATTGCTTAAAATTTTTGGAAGAAATTTCAATTTCAAACTTTTATTTATGAAATCTTATTGCTTTGTCCATATATGACTGTGCAAAAGTTGCCAAAAGATATCTTATTTTTCAAATTTTGTCAAGGTCATATTATAAAAATTCTGCCTTTATTCTAACATATTTAAGGAATGACTGTAATATTTTTTCTGTCTAAGAAGAAATAACATCAAAAATGTGGTGCACACTGAATAACCGTCGTAGCGGGTTATTTTAAAGTGTGCACCACATTTTTTATGTTATTTCAAATAGACAGAAAAAATATTACAGTCATTTCTTATAATTCAATTCTTAATTCCATTTTAAACCGGAGTAAATCATGAAAAAACGTTGATGACGTCAAGGTCACATGACAAAATTATGTCTATGTGCTGATAAACAAAACAATGTCAGCCAATCGGAAGACACGTTACATCCAAAATTAAATTATTTTAGCATGAAACAATTTACATAGAAATGCAACCAATACGGAGAACTGTTACACAGAAAAATGTTGTTTTGGTAAAAGTTCTAGTCCACAGGAAACAATTTCCTTTTAAATCTATCCAGTTTTGTAATAAAAAGGGTGTATTCACATCACCCTCCCAACCCCTGTCTTCGGAATAATGAATATGTATAATGATATCTAAACATTTTGCAGCAATTTGTTTTTGAATTTTTTTAACATAGTTACCATGGTAACTTGTAAACAAATCCATCTCTTTGGTAAAATATGATATGATTTTAAATATAAACAATGTCATCTACACAAAAAATGAAAGAAAAATCAAGAAAATATTTCCCTTTCCTCTAAAGCTATAACAAATGACAAAACTGGACAGTTATATACATCTGAGAACAGATATATATATATATAAAATGAGATCTTATATAAAACATGCATAATTATTGTTTTTATAAATCTGATATAATGAACATATTTCAAATTTCAAAAACACTATACTAAAATCTTTGGCACAATGGTAATATTTTTTACAGTGATAAAAGTTTTAAACAGTGAGCATTCTGCCATCTGTCAGAATAAAAATGATATTTCTATACAAATTCTATTTAAATATTCATTTAGTAACTTTAATTCACCTCAAAGTCTGAGCTTTGTTTCTTCAATAAATTTACAAATTCTAAACTGTGAATAGAAATATATCCTAAACTATTAAAGCAATCATAGAAATAATTTATCCGAGAAAATGTTGTAAAGCAATAAAATTATGGCACCATGAATGAAATCGGTGGCAATGCCATGTCCTGCACGTAACAGTAAAAATGTGACAACATTTGTATAAAATATCCTGGATAATACATATTTCACAGCTGAGTTGACAAATAAAAATTCAAACTTATTGTAATTTAAATTGAATAAAATGCTCCGCAGGGCGCAGCTTGATACGACCGCAGAGGTCGAACCCTGAACAGTTGGGGGAAGTATGGACACAACATTCAAGCTTTGGATTTGGATTGTGATTAAATATTTGACACAGCATAGGTTTCTGACACAAAATGAATGTGGTCTAAGAGCTTAAAAATTTTAAATTGGACATTCACCTATTATGGTCCAATATCCAAAATCTAAATACATGGTTAGATTCAGCATATCAAAGAACCCCAAGAACTCAATTTTTGATGAAATCAAACAAAGTTTAATTTTGGACCCTTTTGACCTCAATGTGGACAAAGTTGATAACGGGGCCCAAAAATCAAAAATCTAAATACCGGTACATGGTTAGATTCAGCATATCAAAGAACCCCATATATTCAATTTTTGTTGAAATCAAACAAAGTTTAATTTTGGACCCCGATTTGGACCAACTTGAAAACTGGGCCCATAATCAAAAATCTAAATACATGTTTAGATTCAGCATATCAAAGAACCCTAAGAATTCAATTTTTGTTAAAATCAAACTAAGTTTAATTTTGGACCCTTTGGACCTTAATGTAGACCAATTTGAAAACGGAACCAAAAATTAAGAATCTAAATACACGGTTAGATTCGGCATATCAAAGAACCCCAATAATTCAATTTTTGATGAAATCAAACAAAGTTTAATTTTGGACCCTTTTGACCTCAATGTGGACAAAGTTGATAACGGGGCCCAAAAATCAAAAATCTAAATACATGGTTAGATTCAGCATATCAAAGAACCCCATATATTCAATTTTTGTTGAAATCAAACAAAGTTTAATTTTGGACCCCGATTTGGACCAACTTGAAAACTGGGCCCATAATCAAAAATCTAAATACATGTTTAGATTCAGCATATCAAAGAACCCTAAGAATTCAATTTTTTTTAAAATCAAACTAAGTTTAATTTTGGACCCTTTGGACCTTAATGTAGACCAATTTGAAAACGGAACCAAAATTTAAGAATCTAAATACACAGTTAGATTCGGCATATCAAAGAACCCCAATAATTCAATTTTTGATGAAATCAAACAAAGTTTAATTTTGGACCCTTTGGACCTCAATGTGGACCAATTTAAAAACGGGGCCCAATATCCAAAAACTAAATACACGGTTAGATTCAGCATATTAAAGAACCCCATGAAATCAAGAATAAAACCCCATTGAAATTGGTCAAGAAATAAGCAATTTATAGGAAGTATCTTCTTTTGCACAATCCTGTGCTATTAAATATTTCTTGCTATTGCACAATACTGTACAATTGACAATTTCTTGCTATTGTGCAATATTGTGCTATTGGATATTTCTTGCTATTGCGCAATACTGTGCAATTGAAGATTTCTTGCTATTGCGCAATACTGTGCAATTGAAGATTTCTTGCTATTGTGCAATACTGTGCAATTGAAAATTTCTTGCTATTGCACAATACTTATTATATAATAATTTACACATCCTGTTTGGTGTGTATCTCCTACCATATCATTATTATTTGATTTTAAATATAAATCAGAAATAACCAACTTAAAATGGAAAATTTTAAAAGAAACAAAAAAGGAAAAAAAGAAAAAAAAAGGAAAAAAAAATAAATCCCCCCCCAAAATTTTTTGAACCCCCATTATGATTCATCACCCCCAAACTCAATCCCAGCCTTCCCTTTGTGGTATGGTACCTTGCAGTACAATTTCAGAGAGATCCATACACTTGAACACAAGTTATTGTCTGGAAACTAGAAAAAAAATGTGTTTTTTGGCCCCTTTTTGGCCCCAAATTCCTAAACGTTTAGGGCAATTACCCCCAAACTCAAACCCAGCTTTCCCTTTGTGATATGGAACCTTGTAGTACAATTTCAGAAAGATCCATACACTTACACACAAGTTATTGTCATGAAACTAGAAAAATGCTTGTTTTTTGCCCCTTTTTTGGCCCCTAATTCCTAAAATTTGGAGGCAATTACCCCCAAAATCAATCCCAGCATTCCTTTAGTGATATGGAACCTTGTGGTACAATGTCAGAGAGATCCATACACTAACACACAAGTTATGTCTGGAAGTTACAAAAATGCTTATTTTTGGCCCCTAATTCCTTTACTGTTATTACCATAACCCCCAAAATCAATCCCAACCTTCCTTTTGTGGTATTGAACCTTGTGGTAAAATTTCATAAAGATCCATTCACTTAAACTAAAGTTAGAGTGCGAAAACCAATGTGTCTTCGGACGACGACGCCGGACGACGACGACGACGACGACGACGCCAACGTCATACCAATATACGACCACAAAAATTTTTTTGCGGTCGTATAAAAATGAGTTACTTTCATTCATAATTCATAAACCTTTTTTCTCTCTTGGTTTAAAAAATATTTTCATCCCTAATAAGCTTACAAAACAAAGTCTTATAACTGTTCAATTAACAAAGATGACAATTTTTTTATACAAAGGGAGAAAACTTTTTAAATTACGAAAAACTTATCTAGGTACAAAAGTCTTTATAAATAAAAACTATTTTCTTCAACAAATAATTTTCAAACATCAAAATAATCAAAAAAATTATTTGCAATCTTTTTTTTTTTATGGCATAGCAACTGACTACATGTACATGTTTAATACATTTAGAAATGAATACAAATGAATTGATGAAATATGTATTATCACAGCAGTAAACATAGCACTAAAATGTCCTGAGATTTCTGTCAGCAGTACACTTCTTTGTCCATTGCTAACCTCACTTGCTCCAACTTGAACTGCAATCTATTTTTCTTTGCAAATTCATCCTCTTCTAATGCTTGCCATAACTAAAAACAAATAAAATAATATAGATTTTTTAAATAATGAGCCAGTTTATTTGCAATTTTTTTAAATCATACCTTGACTTTCAATAAATTTGTTGTTCTCTATATTTATTGTCGTAGAAAACAAGTGAGTATCAAGGGTAATCCTTTAGATGAAAACATCTACCACATACTCAGATCCATTTGCACATAAGGATTTTCTGATTGAGTATTCATGTTAAATGCCACCTTCAGCACTTTTGGCTATAACATTCATGGCAGTCAGTTTTTTTTTAGATTTGAGTCAAACGCACCCGCTCCTATGTGTGGGGTTCAAACCAAGGCTTCCAAAACGGTCATATATTTCGGACATTTGTATAATGTCAGGTAAAAGTCCGGCTGGGCAAAGCACGAAACGGTCATCTACTTTTTAGTTTTCAAGGCTTTCTTATGAGACGGTCATTTTAACATAATTAGCGATCTTTTTGACCCAACCTTTTGCCTTTAACAGCCACACATTTCCGGTCATAAAAGTGACATGATCATTAAGTACTATCAAAACAACCCCTACTTTAATACCTTTTCATTTTAATCAAGGCTAATTAGTTGTCGAACAGCTGCAATTTACCTGTTCAATTGACAGGTAAACTATTTTGAACCGGACATTGATCGGTCTATTCAAAGTTATTTTCTTATATTTCACCGGTTTGCATCTAATTAATTTAGTCAAAAAGATTTAAATTATCAGAAATACATTTTCAAATATGATTTGATGAAAAAATTAAAAAGGTGAAAATGAAAAATCGTCAAAACCACGTTGTTTGAACTAGTACAAGTGTGCGCATGTGCGCAGGTGTGAAATTTAAATATGCATCCTAATTTCTTCAAACAATACTTAAATTGTCATTGATGCCTTTATCTCACATTTATTTCAAATATTTTCTTGAAGAAATAACGTAGAATGAGCTACTTACACTCATTCATGCTTTGCAAACGTACACGGAATTTACGTATCCGTCTCTGGTCCATGTTTTACCATTGTCAAGACAACATCCGGTATTTTAAAAACGAAAGTAAAGTGTTTGACAACGTTATTTTGCACAAATAAAGAGTTTAAGGCAGATATAAGTACCCTAATGTTGCACACTTCGAATGATGCACTGCCAATTTAACAGTTTACGTCAGAACTTCGAATTTGAATCAAAGAAAGTTTAAATTAAATAATATCGTTTTTTTTTAATGTCAATCATTGGGATGGCCAACTCGGCAACTGATTACCATAATTGCCTTTTGTTTATTTAGTTTTTAGAGATTAAAATCGGGATAGTATATAAAATGTCCGGCTGGCTAAAAATAATTTCAAACTCATAATCTCAGTACAAATAATGAGAGTGAATTATGACTCCCCACCACAGAATTCATCCAAGTATCCTGACCACCTAAACACGATATATGTGTAGTAAATATATTGTACTGTGATCAAACATCCTGTTTGAATCTGGAGGAATCAAGCTCTGTTTCTGATAGAATTCAAACATCACTATTTGAAATTTGGTCAAAGGTAAGACAGAACCCTTTTTGGCCCCATAATATAGCATTTTTACAAATTTGTTGAAATTTAAACTTTTAGCTATTTATTGGATAATTACACCTTATGTAAGAATCCTGGGTTTTGATTGGTTGATAGCCAGTGTATTTTTCACCAATTTACTGTTATCAAATGAATATCGTTCATTTTTTAACGCCGCCGGGGTATATGCAAAAAGGATATGCCTTTTTTACCCTCTCTGCCGTGGTATTTGCCAAAAAATACTCTATCCGACTGGACGCTTGTAACGTCACAATCATCAATGCGTTTTTGAACGTTAACATTCGGTGTAATTTAACAGATATAGCATGTTCTTGAGGGGTATTTGCGAAAAATACCCCTCCTTAACATGATATATCTGTTCAAAGTAGGATACTTATGATCCATAAATATGGGCTGTTTTTGACAATACAATGCACATGCATCAGGTACTAGCATCATAAATTCATGTAAAATTACTGAAATCTTCACATTTTTAGCATTTGTGCTAATTTTAAGACGGTTTTTGTCTTAAATGGAAGTGGCCGCATTTGTGTTCAATCTTTATATTAAAATATATGATGTATTTGATGATAATACATAACATATATACAGGTTGAGACTGAACACAAATGCGGCCACTTTCATTTTAGGCATATTTGATAGATTTTTCATATTAAAGCTTGAATTTGAGCGTCATAAATGACCAAATCAGTTCAAATATTTTACATAAACTAATTGAATTGACTGAAGTAGACACTTAAAGTCAAGGAACAGTAAATGGGCTATGTCGCAGATTTTGCTAAAATTTTGCATACAACCTTGGCCCGTTGAACTACAACTGAAAATCGAAAAAAATAATGCATTTATCTCTTTTATTATCTGAAATATTGCAGATTGATTTCTTTATGATTATGATTATTTCACATCTTAAAAACAGAAATTTATGTATCAACAACATATAGTTTTTTAAGAAAAATCTATGGAGTAGATTAAGAGATTTGGCGATTTTAAGACAAATTTTAGAAGGTTTTTCGCCGATTTCATGTTCTTTCTATACAAATCTTCACCCATTTTGTAAGAATTCAACCAGTAATAATTCAAATGATAAATGAGATAAATGCATTATTTTTTCGATTTTCAGTTGTAATTCATTAAGCCAGAGTTGTATGCAAAATTTTACTGAAATCTGTGACATAGCCCATTTATGTTACTTGACCTTAAGCGTTTAAAAAAATGTCAAAAATCTTTCATCAGATGTACTTCGAATTTTAGGCCAAAACTAGCCTTTACCGGACCTTCTCCTTGATGTAGTACTTTCATAGAAAAGTATGAATGTAAAGGTTAAATTTTGATGGCCCCACTGACTTCAGTCGAGTCCATATAGTCTTACCCTTATCCGTCATTCCACAACAAACAGTTATACAGATTTTTTTTTCTAAATGCCTTCACACATTGAGCTGAATTTGAATCTAGATGATGAATTAAAGATCAAGTTCACGTTTGGTTTCCCTACGCTGATTTTTGACGAAATTACAGGCTTTGTACTTTGAAAATTTCCACTCCTTAAAATAGCTTCAAGCTTTTTTGCGAGCTGGGCCATTTGTGTCATTCAGACACATCTATTTTTTCTTAATTCTAATGTCACTTTACATAAATCCAACTCACCTCTTCATTATATTTCACAACATATTTATACAATTCATGTAGTGCAGCTGTAGTATTGAATTCATCTTGATGAACCTACAATGAAAATTGTTTAATCAGCAAAAGCGTAGTTCTAAATAAATAAATTTCAATATTTTATTGTACTATATGGGTACATTTAGCTCTATGATAGACATGAATGTAATGGGAAAATTTGCACAATTGAATGATGATGGTGATGATGGATGGCTGCTTAACGTCCAACGACAAATTAATATGCATATTCAGGACTAGATCATGTTAATGTAATATGAATATTAACCCTGCTTTGTACTAGACCGACAAGCTGAGACGGATTTTTAATGTGCTAGTTCACAAGGTAACAGTCCGCAGGAAGACATGTCATTGTACCCGGACACATTATTCTGACTCCGAGACAACCAGTCTTTGCTCTTACTCCTTAATGCTGCATGCTTAGAGGAAAAGCAGCAAATACTAATTTGAAAGTTTAGTTTTATCCCTGTCTTAAAAACAATCTTGCCTGAAAAGTTTAGGGAATATATTTTTATTTAACATAGCCCATAGTATAAGTCAATTAGACAAATAAATGATAAATATTTAGTGGCAAACCTTATGCTGATCTGGCCAGAAGATGAACTCATAATCTACATCACTCAAACTGATATAAGGAATTCAACAATATGAAAATGTGGGAAGATCTGTACTAATGCTATTTGTAAATATAATATTTTACCCTAGATTCCTCAGTCATCATGGCTGTCATGTCTTGATCACTGATGGCGGGCATCATTGTTATGTCTTGATAATACCGTTCCACCCATTTCTTAAATTTAGGAATATCCTTAGCAAATAATAGTTTACTAGAAGGTGAGTCCTTCCCCAATCGATGGGGGCTCTGTGAACACGAGTCCATGAATGTTTGAGCTACTACACTTAAACACGAGTCAACAATGTTTGATTTATAAATGTCAAATACAAAGTTTGGATTCTTTATCACATTCACCCAAAACCTCAGAGGCAAGCTGAAAACAAAAACAAAATATGTTTTACATTATATAGTAAAGAGAAAGATGATATGCACACTTGTTGAATTCACATACTAAATGAATCAGATTTTTATCCCAAAAAATATATGTACGATGGAACCTATCTTTAGAAACCTCTACTTCTGCTGCTTAAAACTCGTCTAAGACAATTTGTCTGTCACAAAAGGATTATTCAACATGAATTATGAAGACTTTTTAGGATTATAACTGCCATTCTTTAGAGGAATGTTTCCATCTCCATAGAGATGTTCAACTAATTTTCATTAAAATTCTAAAATATCAGTATATTTGTAATTCTCATTGACATTTTTATTATATTGCAAAATTGAAAACACAACGTTTGAGACTACATTTTTGAATAAAGATTACCAGGATTTCCCCAATCACAAACTTACCTATTGGATTTCCATGTATATACAACTTCTTGGTCCTGTATATTGTGTAACAATGCTTGATCATCTAAGAAATCAAACATATACTTAATGGCAAGAGGGAGTGCATTCCCTCGGTGAGCAATACTGAAAATTCTCTCAAACAAATCATCCACATACTGTTGCAGGGTACCCTTTGTAGCTAGTAACCTCGTCAGATATATCTCTGACACCATCTTGCTTCCACGATCCGTACCTTCTTTGTTGAAGTTCTCAGATTCATGGGGTCGCACCTATATAAAGAAATATTTGATAAAGACCTGTTTTTCATAATGTCCAAATTAACTGTAGACCTGTTTCATTTACTTTATACAACCAGCCATTTTTCGTTTTTTCTTAAGTTAACGAGTTCATCTGCCTTTCTTATAGAACTATAATAATCAGATTTATTTCTCATTCGATCTGTGAAACAACGAAAGGTATATACAATAGAAATAAGTACACAAAAACCACTTATCTGTATAATCCATGTTGTTTTGAAGTTTTGTATTGCTTTAACTTTATGATCAACTTATACCACATGCCAACAATAAAAATTATAGGTAACAGGTATCAAATAATTTTACTTTGGTTGGTTTTGTTTATATATAAAAATATTCCCTAAAACAACTTACAGTTAGCAGATTACTGTATAATGTAATGAGTATGTATCCAGATCTCAGCATATAGATATGATTAACTTACTAAATGATAAAATTTATTAACACCCGCTATCTCCATCTCTAGAGCAACATTCTGTGGTGTAACTGTTCTATTTAATGAAGGACTTCTGGTAGAAAAAGGAAAATTGTCTGAAATGAGAAAGTTAAGAGATTATAATTACTATAAGAGATTCTTCTAGTAGACCCAAAAAAAGTACAAAAATCACATTTGCCTATTTCCAACTATTTGAAATCTTCATTGGAGATTTTAAGAGCAAAAGGACCTAATGCTCCTCTTATATTGTCATAAGTGTTTTTAATCTACTACACATGTACTAAATAGTTTGAATGAGTATGTATGTGCTTAAATACCCTTTTAACTCATTTGAATGCCTATTTTGAGGTTAGTTTAGTTTAAATAGTAAAGAATTTAAAAATTCAGGTCGTCACATCCCCCATAAATCGTGGTTTATCAGATCTGCATTTGCCAATAAAAAAAAAAATAAAAAAAAAATAAGAGAACTGCAAAAGTGTTAATTATCTTTTGTTTAAGTACATATTCACTTCATTTTGATATGATCTGAACAAAAAAAAATTGCTTTCAACAATCAACTTAAATTGACTACTTCAAAAGGCATTTTTTAAGAGTAAATTTGGCTAATGAAATTTTGACTCACAAAACGTATGTTAAAATTATGAAGCCAATACTAACCATAGAATTTGGACCCTGATTTCTCTGATGAATTCAGTGAGGACTGATTAAACTGGACTGTCTGTTTTGGCACTAGTGACATGTAGGCTCCATCGTTTACCTACAATATAAATATCACATGATTAACAATAGTATCAAAATCAGCTAACTACTCCACTTGTGTCGGGTATCATAGCAGTAATCAAAGGGCTTGTATTGAAAGAACTCAGTGGTAAAGATAGGTTTCATTTTGCATTGTGAACTTTAAATGGAAAATTGCATTGTATTAAGGTTTATGACCCCTTCTGTAGCCATGTGTATTATGAAATTTTCATTTTGTACATATATCAAAGGGAAACTTCATTCTAAGCAATATTATTTAATGTTTTATTGCATTTAATAGAAAATGGGGATTTTGTGGCAAATAAAGGCAAGATTTTTGCAGAAAATCCACAGACTTTAATACAGAGATTTTTGTTTAAAATTTTGAGCATAGATTACTCACTTGTTTGTCCATGATGTGCTAGCGTTCATTGTTTACAAAAAGTCCTAAGCAAACTTTACATTCCTAAAAAGCCTTGTGTACATTCCTAAAAAGCCTTGTGCTGAGTCACTAAGTCGAGCGCACCCTAGAAGGTGTACTTGAATCTGTCCATATTTTCATTTGTTTTAACCAATATCTTAATTTATAAACTTGTTTTAAGGAAATCATTGCTAGTACTGCATGCAATAATTCTCTATCTATCAAGCACCAAATTTTCAAATATGAGAGTACAAAGGGAAAGGCTGTGGATTTTCTATAAAATTTCCATATGTTTAACATTGAAGCAATAAAAGGGAACATAATCCTTATGGAAAAGAAAATAGTAAGGAATGTTTGAATCGAGCTATCTTCCTTTGTCTATAGTTGTAGAGGTGTAATACCACCATTGATTTTCCCCTATTAGTCTTTGTTAAATTTGCACTTTTCAAAAAAATGTGCAGAATTTATCTTTGTTTCAAATAAAGAAATACTTGGCATGAGTAAAGTTTTATCCTGTCCAGTACTATAGACAAAATTTCACATAACATTTCATTGCATATAAGAAAATAACCATCACTGGAAGTTAACCAATCAAATTTTCCCCCTTTTTTAACCTGTGTACAAGCTTTAGTAACCATGTAACCTCAAGTTTCCAAAATATTCTATAGAAACCCCAAATAAAGAAATAATGGTGCTTTGAAATACCCAAGATATATGTTTATGACTCAGAAATGTTTTACTGCAATGAAATGTAGGATCAATTACCTACAACTGTCAAATTCAAGGGAATATTTTTTTTCGACCTATTTTCGTATGCAACCGGATGTGACGTACTATGATTTGGTGGTATTACACCTAAAGAAGACTTTTTTGTTGAATAAACTGAATGTGACTTTTTTCCTTTGTAATACTGGTTATTTCAAGCATTCCTGTCAAGTTTTGTCATAATCAGTTCAATAGTTTGAGAAAAATCTAGTATAATGTAAGACGACATCTACAGCGATTCGAGCAAAATTTCTTTGAAAAATTCAAACCAAGCCGCATCATGATAGAATATAGTGTGGACCAATAAATGATCAAATATTTATCTCATCTGCCTACAAACAGTTGAATATGATACAAAAGATGACTTTAGGATGATAAATACTACTAATGGACCTCTTATTCTTCCTTATAAAGTCTCTTTTGGTCCATTTATACCTCTCATTTCCTCAAAATTTCTACTTTTTAGGCCAATAAATAAAAATTTTGGGGTAACTTTCACTCATTTATGATAGGAATGTTATTATAAATGATTAATTGAAGTATTCAAGCTGCTTGAACTATCCGTATAAAAGTTTACTGTCTCCAAGGAGGTTTCAATAAGTTCTTGCGTAAAACTTAAATTTACGCCGCGTTCCAGAGAGGGACATAAAAAACTTCTCTTTTGGTGAATAATTTGTTGTTACTGCTTTAAAAATAATTTCATTTACTTAAAACTATATATTTATTAAAGTATTTCTTAGGAAAATTTTTCTAGTATAGCAGAATATAAGAAATAAGAAGAAAAAGCTCCCCAAGACTCCAAGTATGGCTTGTTCTGTCAACTAATATTCATGGTAAAGTCCTATTTTAAGGAAATTTTCTCATAAAATGTATTTTGGAGACTCAATCCACTCAGAATATTTCATTATTTGTAATATTTCACTTAAATAGCAAGAAATTTTAACACATGAGAGTACTCACAAGGTCAAAGGTGCATGTACAGCTTCCCATATAAGGTGTAATACCACCATTGATTTTCCCCTATTAGTCTTTGTTAAATTTGCACTTTTCAAAAAAATGTGCAGAATTTATCTTTGTTTCAAATAAAGAAATACTTGGCATGAGTAAAGTTTTATCCTGTCCAGTACTATAGACAAAATTTCACATAACATTTCATTGCATATAAGAAAATAACCATCACTGGAAGTTAACCAATCAAATTTTCCCCCTTTTTTAACCTGTGTACAAGCTTTAGTAACCATGTAACCTCAAGTTTCCAAAATATTCTATAGAAACCCCAAATAAAGAAATAATGGTGCTTTGAAATACCCAAGATATATGTTTATGACTCAGAAATGTTTTACTGCAATGAAATGTAGGATCAATTACCTACAACTGTCAAATTCAAGGGAATATTTTTTTTCGACCTATTTTCGTATGCAACCGGATGTGACGTACTATGATTTGGTGGTATTACACCTAGACAATAATAACAGATAGATTCATATGCAATGTACTACTTTCTACAACTTTCTTATGTATTTTCAATAAAATGGCTTACTTGACAACATAATTTTCATACTTGAATATCTGAGTATTTATTATGAATATCTAAAACAATTTCACCTCACTGTTCAATGTTGTTTGTACACATTGGTATATTGATATAAAAGAGGTCTGAAATATAGTAAATTTAGATATCCAGCCAGTGACGATAGGGCTCTTGCAAATCTTTACCCTCAAAACTAATTTTAACTTAGAAACTATGATTGATACAAAAAGTTACCATCACAGCTCTCACAATTATTTTTTAGATGCAAACTTGAAGTTCAAAGGTGGTATTTGATACTTAGATTTTCCCCACTAATTTATCTGTATCATTGTTCTCTGCTTTTTAAAAAATCTGAAACCAAGGGTTCGAAACATTTGGGAAAAAAACATGAACCAAAAAAAAAACCCAAAAGATTTTACAACTTTCAAGGTTTTGATAGAGAAAATCTTCTGAAAATCTCTACCTAAAGACATTATAATTCTTTTGCAACAGAAACCCAAACCAAACATATTTCATCAATCATATTTCAACATAACCAACTAACCTTATAATGTAATAAAGTATTTATCCTTCTGTACTCCCCTTCTTGTTTTGTCGTGTTGTCGTCATCTTGTAAAATTAAGCGACCTTTTGTGCCGCTGTTCCATTCTGTAGATGGATCAAACAACACTGTAACCATGGAATAATACATATAAATACCACTCTCAAACCTCTGCAGTGTAGCAGACAACAATCGTCATGGTGATGATGGTGATGATGATGAACAAGAAAATAATACTGAACAACAAATTTTGCAATTCCAAATCATAAGGCCCTAACATTAAATCATTCAAATAAATTCTTACTGACATCAAAATATTCTTGATTAATTTTTTTAAAGGCCTCAATTTTTCATTTAACAGATTTTTTTATTCAGGTCAATAAGGATATAAACATGCAAATTTAGATCGTTTTATATGTTATAAGTTATCTCCCCTTTTTGGTTTTAAATGCATAGAACCTCATGTTTTGTGACTTAAATAATTGCCTGAATGATAATTATGAATAAGTGCAAAATTTGTTGTTGAATGCAATACCATCAATGACAAAATTTGAATTTCTGTATTTCAAAACTAGATATTTCATTTCTCTATGCCATAGATTTTGGATCCAAACAGGTTAACTTTCATTGATGGTATTGAGAAAATGATATATGAAAAAACTAAAAATCTAGAACTAAAACTAATTAGAAGAAAAATAAACAAGAAATAAAGCAACAAACATACAAATAACAATTTTCCTTCACCACTGACATAACATTTTACCAGTACATGAGAAACACAACTGTTAGTTAACAAATTAATTATAATGCACATATAGTTACTATCTTGAAAAGTAACTGTCTTGCAAATCCTTTGTAGCCTAATTCGAATAAATAAATAACCTTTAGATATGAATGTGAAATCATTTAATGAACTAACATTATGTAGAAATAGTATTCTGACATGGGGCCTATATTTTTTTTTCAATCTGGTACATAATAGAGAAAGGTTTAGTATAAATGTTGTGTATCAGATTATGAGTCTGGATGACATAGTGACAGTTAGTCCTATCTTAAAAAAAACCAATGATAAGATTAATTTTTGTTCATAATTTTTCATTACAAACATTATTAAATCTATGTTTTACAATCTTCAATTTTTGTCAATAATCTTTTAAATTTGGCTAAACTGATAATTTATAAAACAACATTTTATTCAAGTCTTAAAATTTTTAGATCGAGATAGGCAATTATTTTCATCCCCCATCAAAATACTGCAAAACAATTAAAAATTTCTTCTCCCCTTCTCATTTTCCTCCTTAAAATACAGAAAAAAAAACATTTGGAGAAACAAAATGAAGCAGTTGAGAATTAAAGGTCATAATTTCATTTTTGACAAATGAACTGAACATTTTTTTTGTTTTCAGGCAAAAAATATATATTTGCCCACTTTTGGAAAATCAGTTTAGTAAACATTTACATGCAATATACTTTTTAACACATATGGAACACACATACACAAACACATTGACTAGAAGTTAGTGAGGCATGGTTGCTTCCAACACATCAGTCATAACCATGATTACACAGTAACTGTTGTTTTGACAGAAATTAGTACAGGCAAACTATTACAATATGCTAGTATGACACACACCTACCACCGTTACTAGCATGAGGATTTGAAAATACATCACAGTCAACTTGAGTAAAAGTCAGTTCACTTAGAAATGAAAAAATTGAAAGCGCATTTGCAACTTTAATTTTGTACACTATTAATCTTTAATATCTGTACAAAATTACAGGAATTAATTTTTTTTAAATTTTCATTGAACATTTTTTATTCATTGTTATGGCTGTTCCATTAAAACAAGTAAGATGTCCTGGAATGGCATTTTTAAATTTCTGCTGTAGTTGGTCGAATTGGAACTTTTCTACTTAGAAATTGAGAAAAGCTATGGTAAAGTTAGCTTAGTAAGCTCTTTCAACTGAGCAATATTGATATCAATACCTAAATTTGTGCTGATACCTCTAAATGAATTCAAATTAAATAAACAGTCAAAAGAAGATTGTTTTACACATGCATAGTTTTGGTTGTAAAGGTCCCTGGGTACCTCAAATGTTTCCTTGGAACAGCCTTTAACTTTTTATCAATATTCTGTTTTAACAAAAAATTTCCCAAATTACAGTGTATTTCTGAACATGTTTAAACAACCAACGTTACTGTGACATATTTTACGGTACAGGTTGTTAGTATATAACAAGAAATTATAGATTAGAATTGTAAGTAACTCCCTTAACCAAATATAGACCGATAACCACAGATAGCCACCATACACCGATCATCACTCAAGCTTGAGGTAAGGACTGCTGATTTGGAAATTTCATCATCATTTTGACAGTGAAAAATTTTAAGCAAATACACCAAAGAAATTTAACGATTACAAATCAAAATGCCAACTTTGGAGTTTAGCACCAGCCAAAAAGTGTTACCACTGCAAAACACACACACACCCTTTCGACCAATTGCAAACCAATTTCTCCATTAAAATCAAAATCTTTGAAAATGTCAATGCATTACTAATTTTTTTCACTATAAGATTGCAAATCAAATCAAATCTGAATTGAAGTTAGACAATGCAAAAAGTTATTTTTTAATAGATGCATATGCAATTATTAGAAATGGTTAAATTGACACAACTTGTCAGTATAAAATTAATCATATTAAAAGTTAGATATAAACTTGCAAATAATATTTTTTTCTGCTTACTATGCATAGATTAAGAAATGAACTTGCTATAAATAACTCTTCTAATTTTACATTCTGAAAAAAGATTTTCAATCGGAAAGTAGAAATAAAAATAAAAAAATCTACACACTGCAATACAACATCTGGGTGAGTCTTACCTAAATCTACATCATCTTTGATTGGTCGACTACTAAATGGAGCATTTTTATAAATAGCATCCAATATTTTCTCTTTCACTTGAGAAACAGTATCACAGTCTAGAACTTTAACAGGGTGTGCAGCCTGATACTGTTCCATGTCTTGCACATAAACAGTCTGAAAAAAATAATAAATATATAGTGAAAAAAAAAATGAGTTTAGTTTTCTCTAATTTTTGGCCAATCTAACTTTTCACCAACTGGATGATTAATTTATAAAATTCAAATGTTTGGTTCACTTCTTCTCCAATTAGGATGTCATATTTTCTTCTATCCTCTGATTTAACTACTGTGACATCATAGAAAATGTTGATCGTGCCAGATAACTGTGGATTCATTATTATTCATGGATTACATATTTGCGTAGATTTCATCGGTAAAGGTGGACCACGAGTCTAAATGTTCAACAAGAATAAGTTTAATATAGGGTTGTATGCAGACTTTAGAAAAACCATGAAATCAAATATCAACGAAAATGTAATTTTTCCTCAATCCATGAAATGTCGAACAGACAGATCACAAAAAAATATCCCCTTATAGTTGGTAGGAAACAACTTCCAACACTGTACATCATACAAAACAACATTTCTCCACTTTTTTCAATTAAATTACAAATATTTTTAAATGCTTGGCATGCCCTCACTGCTCACATTTTACATTTAAAACACAAATTAACCTGTGGTTGGTTAAAACTACTTTTTTTAAATCTCCATTTATCAATTTGCCATCTCTAATGCATTCTGGGTAATATTTTCAAAACCATCAATTAAAATGTTGTAATTGGATAAAATGGTTCTAAACAATGGAAATTCAACCAATGGGGGTTCTTTTCATCTTGGGTGGGGTACAAATAATGAAATTACCTATATTCCTTCAGATTCTGGAACCGCAAATTCTGATAAAAGTTTTTACCATTACAGTAACTTATACTAACCATCTGTCTATACTCTATCTGTTGTCTTATCAGTTTGTCCTCACTCAGAGAGTATCTTGCCTCACTTGTGGCAGAATCTACTGGACCTTTGGCCACCTGTTGTTTCATAGCTAAATACAACATAAAGAGAGGTTCACCAGCAACCTCCTGTAAAAAGTCAAAAGAAAAACTTAAAATGAGGAGGTAAGAATTTTTTTTCTTCAAATATTTTTTTCAAAGAAAGATTTCCAAATTATTGAGAGAAAAAAATTAGCAGGTTCCTACGATTTGAGAGTTGATAGTTATAATGTAGACGTTTATTAGATATCCAAATCTATTTCAAGCAGGTCAATGTAAATAAAATGCTTCGCTGGGGCGCAGCTTGATACGACCGCAGAGGTCGAACCCTGAACAGTTGGGGCAAGTATGGACACAACATTCAAGCTTGATACAGCACTGAATTTGGATTGTAATTAAATATTTGACACAGCATAGGTTTCTGACACAGAATGAAAGTGGTCTAAGAACTTAAAAATTTTTAATTTACCTATTCAAACCATATCATTATTATTCGCTTTTATATATAAATCAGAAATAACCAATTTAAAATGGAAAATTCTAAAGAAAAAAAAGGAAAAAAAAATCCCTCCCCCAAATTTTTTGAACCCCCTTATGATTCACCACCCCCAAACTCAATTCCAGGCTTCCCTTTGTGGTATGGCACCTTGCAGTATAATTTCAGAGAGATCCATACACTTGAACACAAGTTATTGTCTGGAAACTAGAAAAATGCTTGTTTTTTGGCCCCTTTTGGCCCCAAATTCCTAAACGTTTAGGGCAATTACCCCCAAACTCAAACCCAGCTTTCCCTTTGTGATATGGAACCTTGCAGTACAATTTCATAAAGATCCATACACTTACACACAAGTTATAGTCCTGAAACTAGAAAAATGCTTGTTTTTTTGCCCGTTTATGGCCCCTAATTCCTAAAATTTTCAGGGAATTACCCCCAAAATCAACCCCAGCCTTCCCTTTGTGGTATGGTACCTTGCAGTACAATTTCAGAGAGATCCATACACTTGAACACAAATTATTGTCTGGAAACTAGAAAAATGCTTATTTTTGGCCCCTTCTTCCTCAGCTTTTTGGTCAATTACCCCCAAACTCAACTCCAGCTTTCCCTTTGTGATATGGAACCTTGTAGTACAATTTCATAAAGATCCATACTCTTACACACAAGTTATTGTCATGAAACTAGAAAAATGCTTGTTTTTTGCCCCTTTTTGGCCCCTAATTCCTAAAATTTGGAGGCAATTACCCCCAAAATCAATCCCAGCATTCCCTTTGTGATATGGAACCTTGTGGTACAATGTCAGAGAGATCCATACTCTAACACACAAGTTATTGTCATGAAACTAGAAAAATGCTTGTTTTTTGCCCCTTTTTGGCCCCTAATTCCTAAAATTTGGAGGCAATTACCCCCAAAATCAATCCCAGCATTCCCTTTGTGATATGGAACCTTGTGGTACAATGTCAGAGAGATCCATACACTTACACACAAGTTATGTCTGGAAGTTACAAAAATGCTTATTTTTGGCCCCTTTTTGGCCCCTAATTCCTTTACTGTTGATACCATAACCCCCAAAATCAATCCCCACCTTCCTTTTGTGGTATTGAACCTTATGGTAAAATTTCATTGAGATCCATTCACTTAAACTAAAGTTAGAGTGCGAAAACTAATGTGTCTTCGGACGACGACGACAACGACGACGCCAACGTCATACCAATATACGACCACAAAATTTTTTTTGCGGTCGTATAAAAAAAACTTGAAATAAAATGAGAAATAATGCAATCAAGTTAAAAGTTTTTGTAAATTTCAGTCAAAATCTTTGTCAAAACCTACCTTTAAAAATTTATACAATAAAAATGTAAACCAATTAGTCAGCATTTTCTCTGCAACAGATTCATTCCTGAAATATAAATATTTAAACTGTTAGCATAGAAATATGTCTTGTTTGAGCAATCTTATCACAAACTTTTACAATTGTTGATGATGCCGATGTTTGACACAGCCTGCCTAGATCTCAATACAAAGACTCTCGTCACAGGCAATGACAAATATTTTCCTTTTGACCTACAAATCAAACTAATTTTGAACTTTGATCTAGTTTTTATCCTCAAATGTCTTGCCATAAAAAAGCCAGTAACAACTTGAATATAACTTACAAAATCAACGTTTTTTAAATTGTGTGTTGTTGGGATTGAGGTCACTTCTGATGATTACTTTATAATCTTTCTCATATTTTTTGTGCTCACTGTCAGTTAAAATACATGGAATGGATATGGCTTTTTTTTTACAATATTATCAATAGCTGAGATCAAATTGTAAATAGTGTTTATATTTTTATGATTATCAATGACTCTCAAAGGTGTAATGCAATTCTGCTTCCTTCGACTTTAATTTCAAGCTAGAATTTATATGAATAAATGGGGAAGACAAAGAAAAAACTTTAAAGTATCCAACATAAAGTCCTCAATGAATCTGTATTTCCTTGATTTAGTGTTTATCAGGTTCAAGCCCACACACGATATTATACTATAAATTACCTTCTAAACAGAAGCTTAGGTTCTTTCCTTCCATCTATGGATCTTTCTATTAAATCACTGAGTAAAGTTTTCAAGATCCTAAAATAAACAAGAAATTATTGTATCAGGATGCTGTTACGAAGTCTCCCAAACAAAGTTCCCATAATTACAGTAATTCCCAAGGTCGACGGACATTGGGCAACTCAAGTAAAAATTGGTTTGGTCCAGTGATATGCATTAGCGACCCCTGGGGACTGACTCTATATATCATTCAAATCTTCGTGAAATGACGAACAGGAATATATATGGTTTAAGGGTGGAGATCTCGACCATTTACAAGATATTAGAGCTTTCTCAAATGGCAGGGGGTGGGGGTGATCCCTGGGGACTAACCCTTTATTTCATACAATGTGCTTTATTACAACAAACCAGAATATATATGGTTTAGGGGTGGGGATCTTGACCACTTACAAGATAATAGAACTGTCTAAAGTGGCAGGGGGTGGGGGTGACCACTGGGGACTAATTTATTTCATTTGCTGTACTTTATCATGTAGAACATTTTCTATTATATAGATTGTGTCTATCACTAATTGTTTTCAAGTTATAATCATTTGAAAAAAATAAAAAAATAAAATCCCATTGGGTTCTATAGTAAACCCCTCCCTTTTTTTTGGTTCCTCAAAGTACCCCTTTTTAGACCCAAATGCCCAAACAAAACCCTGATTGGACAACTAGACATGTTAGTCTACATTTTGTGAAACCTTAAGTAAATCTGACTAGCAGTTTTAGAGAACGGGTGCAGAAAAGTTCATTAAAAAAGCGGCGGAAGAGGAAGAGGGAAGAAGAGGATGAGGAAGGGGAAGAGGAAGAATAATAATAATAATAATAACTGAGCAAAAACAATAAGTCTCTTTGTTTGGAAGACTTTATAAGTGAATTTTTAATAAATATGATTTCTACAACTACATCAAGGAAGATATAAATTTTCCTCACCAGAACAGTTAACTAGTGAAGACTAATTAGTCACATTGCTTGTTTAAAATTTCTGGCTAAAATTATTTCATCATAAAAAAATCTTTAATTGTAGAAAATAGTAAAAAAGAAACAGGAAACAAAATGTTTGATGTAACAGATACACAGCCTTTTGTCTAAAATTCAAATATTTAAACTTAACAAGAATGCACTCTTTGTTGTGCAAATCATACACCAGTTGTAATTCAAAGTATTGGAAAACAGGAATTGGTGTCTGACAGATTTGAAAAGCCCATACACCACACATTTCATCACTGTCAAGCTGCTGATCAAACATAGCAATCTGTTCAGTAGTTTCAAAGAAAAGTGTGAGAAAACATTTAAGTTCTTTCAACATATTGAAAAATTCAAATCATTGGCAAATCAAGAAGGTATCTGACAGATAAAAAAATGCTCACACATTACAACTCAGCACTGTCAAACTGCTTTAATACCAAATATAGTCAATCTGTTATGTATTTTATGAGAAAAGTGTGATGCAAATATTTGTTGGGACTAATAAACTGATGGACAAGCTAATTGCGATATAGCACCTTCTTCTAGAGTTGGGGTACAATGAATATCTACTTCATTATAACAATAAAAGTGACTACTTACTCTGTACTATATTCCATTTTAGTTTGTAATGCTACTGATATCAAGGATGCTACATTAACTTTGTCCTTCATGGAGAAATTTTTATGGGTTTCCAGAGTTCGTATAAAGGTCAACAGGAATGTCTTGTTACCAATCAGCTGAGAGAACAGCGCCAGTCCTTTCTCAACACTATCTCTTCTATTGTAGTCAACCTGCATAGGGATATTTTAGCTTGAATATATTTGCACAAAAAATAGTTTAAAAAATTCATATAATCACTTTCTTTTCCTAGCTAATGCAGATAAGATTTATTTGTCATTTAGGTGGCAGGTACCAGTTTTGGTGTACCAGAACATGTGTCCCACGCAGAAATTTGGTTATAGTTAAGCATTGAGGTATATAATTGCATCATGTGGACTGAAAAAATAAATGAATGTAAATTCTAGGCTATTGTACTACACAAGTAAGTAGTTGCATACACAGGTTGGGGATTTCCTTCACAAATGGGTCCAATCAGAAGTCAAAATTGTGGTCTCCTCACTTGACGGCATCCAATCAAAGTGGGGAAAAACTTCAGTTTTATGTAAACAAAAATATCTTGAGATTTTGATGGTAAGGATAGGTTCGGACAAGGCTCTAATTCACTGAATATCATTTATCTCTTGAATTTTGCCTAAAATTCTTGTCGGCTTTTAGCAGGATTCTGCAGGTAAGGATTAGATTGGTATCAGAGCATCACATTTTTTGCCTTATTTGCAATGCATTTATAAATTTTAAAATATCCATGCTGGACAGACACCCAAATTTAAAGGTTTTCTATATATTCACATAAGCACGCACACATCTTAGTTACTTGAATCCATACATTTTATTTGTATATAAGCTTGAATGAATTTTCAAGAAAATAAAATCATAAATCCATGAAATTCTAAAGATTTATTGTAAAATAACTGGTTTCTGCCACCTTAAGCCTAAACATGATTTTAACATATCACAAAATGTGCCTTTTTAAGGGTTCTACAGGTGTGTGGTGTTACATTTCTTTTATTCACAGTCAATGTATAGGTCTGTTTGGAAGAAAATAGTTTTTACATGGATTTTAAGAATTATCAAATATCAAGACAGATAACTCTGTATACCAATACAAACAATGACACTCAATTGATTAGTTTAGAAATGATTATATTCACCAAACAATGATTTTATATCATAAAATATATAGAAATAGCAATTACAAAGAGAGAAAAAAGTAAAATAAGCCTCAGCATAGCACTAGAAAAAGCTGATTATTCTGTATATTACCTGTTATAATGATTTATTTCACATGATATGGACATTTTCTTATTTATTTACTTTTTAACTATGAATATATGAATTCTTCTTTTTTTATAGGTCTACTACATAGTTGATACTGTTGGACAGGCTACAGAAATAAGAAAACTGGTCTCTCTCTCATCAGCAATAGTGTGGCAATTCTAAAATTTCAACATGCGGCCTACACAGCTAGCTCATGTGGAGAAGAGATATGAGACTGATTGCGAATAAATGTACACTTAGTTTAGTGCAGCATGGATCTACAAAGTGAAATATATGTACCAAAAATATTAGTTTATTCAAAACTAAGCCTTTTTCAGCACTGCAGTCAACAGAACAGTGATAGTGACATGAATTGAGACTATTTAATACCTCAAACAATGGAAAAATACTTCCTGAGATCAGTTGTAAGTGGTTTTATATCATGCATGAAACAACAAACTTAAGTATTTTTGAGAACTGTTGGATAATTCATACACTGTACCAGAAAACTCACACAATAAAATTTATTAAATATGAACACAATCCTTTTTTTCTATTTTTTTTGCATTCAAAGCAGTTTGACGGCAAAAGACACAAATATTGCTTTAATAAATTTGGTCTTACAAAGCCTATTAATGTTTTTTTTTGTGCCGTAACCATATGCACCGCATGTATTTTTAATGGTAAATGACTACAGAACTCAATCAGACTAAAAAAATGGAAATATATTCTTTTTAATAAGTAGTTAAAGGTGGCAGGTACCAGTTTTGGTGTACCAGAACATGTGTCCCACGCAGAAATTTGGTTATAGTTAAGCATTGAGGTATATAATTGCATCATGTGGACTGAAAAAATAAATGAATGTAAATTCTAGGCTATTGTACTACACAAGTAAGTAGTTGCATACACAGGTTGGGGATTTCCTTCACAAATGGGTCCAATCAGAAGTCAAAATTGTGGTCTCCTCACTTGACGGCATCCAATCAAAGTGGGGAAAAACTTCAGTTTTATGTAAACAAAAATATCTTGAGATTTTGATGGTAAGGATAGGTTCGGACAAGGCTCTAATTCACTGAATATCATTTATCTCTTGAATTTTGCCTAAAATTCTTGTCGGCTTTTAGCAGGATTCTGCAGGTAAGGATTAGATTGGTATCAGAGCATCACATTTTTTGCCTTATTTGCAATGCATTTATAAATTTTAAAATATCCATGCTGGACAGACACCCAAATTTAAAGGTTTTCTATATATTCACATAAGCACGCACACATCTTAGTTACTTGAATCCATACATTTTATTTGTATATAAGCTTGAATGAATTTTCAAGAAAATAAAATCATAAATCCATGAAATTCTAAAGATTTATTGTAAAATAACTGGTTTCTGCCACCTTATACAAGTTTTAATATTTTTACTTTCATGCTCATACATGTGTATTTTCAACTTTAAATAGGTATTTTTAACAATAAAAGTTTTCAAAAGTTTGATTCATAGAAAATTAAAATATTTACTCATAAAAAAACTATTGGTTGAAACCCCCCCCCCCCCCCCCACCACCACCATTAAGAAAACAAAAAAATGCAACATTTATAAAGAAAAACTTCAATATTCAGGGGTCAAATAAAAGTAACTTAATTACATAAAAGTACATTCAAACTTTAAATTCAATTAATGTATTACCTTTAAAAACATGTAATATTACTACTAATTAATTTCAATGGATGTGCTTCTTTTATATGCTTGGCATACTTATAATGCATGACATTTTAGGTATTTACCTCCAAATCTTTGATAACTGGATGATCAACTGTATTGTCTTGTGGGAACAAAACTCTCATACAATATGTCTGATAGTTCCAGAATGGTATTGATACTTGTCCATACAAATCATTGGTCAACTCTGTCATGTCTGTCTGAAGTTCTGCAAAGGCTGGAAAGTAAATATAAAATTGTCAATTATAATATCACATCATAATATGGTGAAAATCATTAAGTTGTTCCATACACAAGCAAAGATAAAAACAAATGCTTTTTTGACAGAAATAGAATTTTTTTTTCAAATTTCCATTCAAAAAACATATTTTTTTCTTTCTGTGTGATTTCATAAATATAATACAGTATAAAAAGAGAAAAAGTAAAAATTCATATTGAAATGACAAATTTTTTCTTCTTGACAGTTTCTGAATTTAAAACAGTACTTGAAAAAAGATGTAGTGATGTATAGGAGACAATAAAAGAAGAATGTGTCTGAGGATACGAATGCCCCCGCTCAAACTTGCTTAGAACATGTGAAAATACTTTTGGGACAACGAAAGGACAGAAGGTAAGACGATGGATGGACAGACAGACTGTCAAGGGTAACACTTAATGCACGATATTTAATGTAAGATATAAGTTATTTCCAGAAAAGCTGTATACAAATAATGCTATCAAAACTTAATTTCTTAAAGTTTTTTTTTCGACACCTATTTTATGGGGGGTCGAGAACCAGGGAAAAAGAGTGAAAATAGGAATATTCTGGGAAATTTTTTTTGACTGATTTATATCTGGGAGAAAGTGTCCACCCCTCACTACTAACCTTCTTTGCACTCTTTTGCCACTTTCAATTCTAAGTTGTCCATTTGATTTTGCATCTTTTTCATCATGCTGTCGTTCTTTTTTGACTTCACCCTGTACAAGCATAATACCATGATAACAACCAACAGCAGCAATCCACCACCAGCACTGATCAGGATAATATACATTGTAGGAAGACCAATCTCGTTTTCGCCATATTTCAGGTTTCCTAACGTCACCGTCAGATTTTTGCCAACACTTATCTGTAATGAATGAATGCAGAATTTAATTCAGAGTTGTTTTGACATAAAACTGTGTACGAAAATGACAAAATAGTTATCACAATTGCAAAGACCAATGAAATGATTTGTAAATTTCAATTTGCTTGTTTATCAATTTTACTAATTTCAGTTTCTCTCTATTCACTTCTGTTTTCAAGATAATATCCAAAAACATAAAAAGTTTATACTGATGGCAATTGCTTACATGATCCATAGTTAAAACAAAGGATGAAGTTGGAAGTCAGTAATTCCCTACAGCCTAATTCATATAGGAATGAAGCTTGTTAACCCTAATTGAAATCCTCAGTAGTTAGGTTTCAATTCATTTGTTTCCTGTTCAATCATCAAATATATTCCTTAATATCAAATTTCTGTTACTTCCTTAAATGATCAAAACAAAAACAGAAAAAAACTTTTCCGCATTCATAAAAAAATTGATAGCAAATTGACAATGCTGACTTTTTAGAATTTATTGAGCTACATAATGACCATTGTCTCCAATATATAACTTTGTAATCCACATCAAAACAGGACTAGCATATTAAAGTTAACCTTTTTTTCCATGTGTCCCTACGAAAATGCATGTATATTATACATTCAAGTCTTTTTACTTACAATCACTTCAGGATACTGTCCTCCACTCAAAGCTGTTGGCTGATTTTTAGGAGGTTTACAACTCAGTAAGAACTGTATGGATTTAACTTCACATTCTCCTTTACCAATCTGTACTTTCACTTGGTTGTGCACAAAGCCAGTATCTGTCAAATATTTACCCTGTGGAAAAAAGTTTTCAAAAAACATAAGGAATCTATTAAAATTGATTTTTATGACTCCTTTTTGAAAAAAATTGTCAAGCACATTTCAGACAATTTGTATTTTTGCTTTGAAAATATCTTTAAGGAGTATTGAAAATCATAAATAGCAAAGTCACAAGAAATACAATACAATTAAAATAGGTGCTCAATGCCATTAAATACTGGGGACTTTGTAAAAGTTTCATTGAAATCCATTGCATGGTTATCAAAATTAGCAAAGAAAAACTATAAGCTTTAACTATGTCAAATATTTCAAATTTAATACCATATCACAAAATTAAACTTACACCAATTGTCAGAAAATCATTTGTCCTTCCACCTGAGAATATCTTAGTACTGGGACTAAATGCCTCAAATTCAGGATCTGGATAGACTGTGAAGTTACCAAATTTCTGATAGGCTTTCACATTATCTAACATAAAACCATACTCTAAAACAATCGCTGGAGTCTTCTCCTGTTCCTCTGATCTCTTTCTACGATGTGTAAAGTTGATGGCGACGTAAGGTGTCCAGCAGGTCATTTCTTGTACAGTTGAACCCTTGTAACAATCCTACAAAAAAAAAACAGTGCAATCAGCAACAACATTCTTAAGCAGAAATATATTAGATAACTTTTCAGGAATATGCTACTATTGTATATAAGTATTTTATAAATTGTTAGTTCAAACACCAAATATACATATCCAGTAGGCTATTTCTGACAAATTTAAACCAAACAACATTTCAACATGTTTTTTTTATATTTATATGTAATAGAAAAGTAGATGTCTAATGCTAAATACCTAGAAATTAAATCTGAAATTCTAAATTTTGAATTCTATTTCATTATATTCATTTAAAACTTACTCCTTCATATGTTTCTTTGTTTTCTCCCCAGAAAACTATTCTTGGGTTCTGAATGATATGTAACCTTTGACCTGTCACATTGACAGGCATACCTCCACTAAAAGTATAATAAGAATAATATTAAATGTATGCTAAATACACTTTAATTGCTAGATTACAATTTTTTTCATTTTTTGTGATTAGTTAGTTTTTTCAACAGTTTATAGACTTTCCTACTCAAAACTATGTCATCTTTTCTTATTATCATTTACTACTTAATACAAGTACGCATTCAAGGCCATCTTTACCTTGTTGTGGAATAATCTTGTTAAAAAACTGTATTTTTCAACTATAATAGGAATCAACATTATGGGTTATTTTCAAAAGACGTTAATTCTAGGTTTTTCAAGCAATTAAATGAAATAAGCATAATCTGTCTATATTTCTTGTGTTATAATTCAAATAAATATAAACAAACCTTTTGATAGTTTTTAAGGGTTTTGCAATATAAATGATTGGGTCTTCCATATATCTAAATGTTAATGGACTAGATATTGACTGGAAGTCAAACGTCATGGTAAGTTTCCCAATCTTTGTTTTGTTTGAAGCTTGTGTCTCACAGATCACATTGTCTCGTGTTTTCCTAAAAGTCAAACAAATTAATCATAAAAATAATTTTTTTTAAATTTCATTTTATTAATGTAATATCAATTTAATTTCTGTTTCTCCTGAATTTCATATAAGACATATCACGTTGTGTCTGCTAATAGGCAGCAAATCAAGGAATAATATTCTAAATGTCAAAAGCTTATAAATAAAAAGAACTCTTTCAATTTGCAGTGAGTATGCAACAGCAAATCTTCCTGATTCACTTAAGAATACATTTTCAGCTATATCCATTCTATGAGTAAAATTTTTGTTTTAAACTGCCGATAAAATTTTGAAAGAATGGCAAATAGCAGTCATCATCTTAAAGTGCATGCTTTAAGTTTAAAGTGTATACCGTTTTCAATACATTGAAATATCATGTTGATTTGAGGCTTAAACATCAGGTATTAATTTTTGTGTTTTTTTTCAATGTCAATGAAATATTATATCCAACTCCAAACGCCAACAAAGTCTACATAAGGGATGAGTGTAGAAGATTACAAAACCCCACTTACTTTATCAAAGTACATGGTGTATTATCTATATAGACTGATATGTTAGTCCCAGCATTCATAGACTGTCCAGTGATTGTGATCTCAGTTCCTCCTGACATGGCTCCTTGAGTTGGTGATAAACTGGTTATGTTGGGTGTCTGTAAATATAAACAACATAGTTCATACATTTTTAAGCAAGTTGCAAAGAAACATGACAAAAACATTGACAATAATAGTAAGTTTGCTTTTTATTCAAAAGTAAAACATGAATTATAGATCGACAGGTGTTTACTAGTATAGCCTGTAATTACTTAATACTGAGGATTCATTTAATATTCGTGGATACCAATTTTTGTTGATTGAGAAAAATTGTATTTTCGTGGATATTTGATTTCATGGTTTTTCAAATGTTTGTATACAAGCCTATACAAAATTTGTACTTCGTTGCAAATTTAAATTTGTGGTTTACCTATATCCATGAAATCCACGAAAATTGGTATCCCAAGAATAATAATGAATCCACAGTAACCTGAATGCTGCAAGAATGCTTTTTGTATCTTAAATTCACAACTTTTCCCATTCAGCTTATACTGATCATTCATCATATAGTTTTTGGTCTCAAATCTGCTCATTTTGTTGCAATGTCCTTTCCACATTGTTATTTTTGACATACATACCACATAAGAAAATATCTGTTTAGACTCTGCTAGATACTGTCCATTGACTGTGACACGTACTGGACCTCTTTGTTGAAAGGCCTCAAAATATTCCCCCGTCTCACAAACAATCCTACAATTACAGATGTTCAGGTTAGATTGCAATTACAATGGTGTATTTTATCTAGTTACTGGAAAATGTGCCTGAATTTTGAAATGCTGGCTACAATATGCCTGTTGATATAGAAACATACTAGACCAAAAGTTATTTTCCAGAGCTGTCTTCATATTCTAAAGTGTATAATAAATCACTGATAAAAACTATGCCCACTGATTTTTAGATTCTACAGATCACATTGAAATTTACTAACCTAAGGATATGTCTGTTCCATTTGTATTTCTTAAATTGTTATAAAATAGGACATTAGTTTTTTCGTCTGAATTGTTTAACAATTTTTCATGTCAGGGTCTTTTATAGCTGACTATATGTTATGTGTTTGAGTCATTATTGAAGTCTGTACAGTGATCATTTGAACTCTGGTGGTTGGTTCTCTTATTGGCATCTTCTTATTTTAATAAGGGTAAGTGATTTAATTAAACTGTGTTATATAATTAATATTCTCTTTAGTTTTTTATAGTTCAAAACTACAAACCTGCTAGGTGGCTTATATTTATCTCTCAGTGGTGAACAAGAAATTCCTGCAACATCAACATAACTGACAATGTCTGCGTAAGTTCTCCCTAAATTTTCTCCTATGATTGTCAATTCTGTACCACCATTCTTTGGCCCTGATACTGGATTTATCTATAAAATAGAGAAGGATCCTTTAAATTTTACCACTATTATGAATATAGTCATTAAGCAAATAAACTGAAAGATCTTTTATATGTCAAAATGAAAATTTTCTTGACATGATTTCTATTCAACATTTAATCTGACCATTTCTAAAACTTTGTTAATACTAAGAATTGATTTATTTCTGTTATGACTGTTGGACATTCTTTAGACTATGACAATACTTGTTTTTTGGTGGTTTCATACAAGTACTTAAACAAACTAGAGGCTCTAAAGAGCCTGTGTCGCTCACCTTGGTCTATGTGCATATTAAACAAAGGACACAGATGGATTCATGACAAAATTTACAAAATTTATGAAAATTGTAAAAAATTGACTATAAAGGGCAATAACTCCTTAAGGTGTCAATTGACTATTTTGGTCATGTTGCCTTATTTGTAGATCTAACTTTGATGTACATTATTGCTGTTTACAGTTTATCTCTATCTATAATAATATTCAAGATAACCAAAAGCTGCAAAATTTTCTTAAAATTACCAATTCAGGGGCAGCAACCCAACAACGGGTTGCCTGATTGGTCTGAAAATTTCAGGGCAGATAGATCTTGACCTAATGAACAATTTTATCCTCATCAGATTTGCTCTAAATGCTTTGGTTTCAGAGATATGAGCCAAAAACTGCATTTTACCTTATGTAGTATTTTTTAGCCATGTCGGCCATCTTGGTTCGCGGGCGGGGTCATCGGACACATTTTTTAAACTAGATACCCTAATGATGATTGTGGACAAGTTTGGTTAAATTTGTCTTAGTAGTTTCAGAGGAGAAGATTTTTGTAAATCAAAGCACTGTAAGCGCTGTAGGCAGTTAACCAAAAACCAAGGCAAACATAATTATGAAAACTGTGGCTATGTTGCTTCATTTTTTTTAAGATTTAAAAGAACAAACATTAAACATTCATATATTGTGCATTTACGTTCATTTAATGAATTAATTATTAAGGCAAATAATTCATATTTTATCAAGGTTTTCCAAAGCAACGCATATATCAAGTATATTTTTAATGGTCATGTGTCTGCAGTGGTACAAGTTCGAAATGATTGCAGTTGTTCTAGTTGATAGTTAACGTTGGTATTAGTTGACTGTTAGTAGTTCAAGTTGACTTAGTACGAGCTTGTAATAGTATGCATGGACTTGCTTCCCTGGAAAGAAAACTGAGTTTGTGTTCTACAGTGCAAAAGTTATGAGACACAAATCAGACAAATGTTTACTACTACGGGGATCAAAGGTGAGGTCTGACTGACCTGCCCATAGTAAATGTAAATAACCCCCGCCTTCACCCCAAGTCCATGATGTCTAAGTTTGGAATAAAATGACAGGTGATTATAATAAAGTTGGTCAAACATTCTTGGGCTTGAAAGATATGTTTTCTTTAAAATGAGCCATATTAAAATGAAATTTTTTATAGAACCAGAAATTATTCAAAATATAATTAAGGTAAAGTCTTTAAACCTACTCATTTTTTGCATCAATAAAATTTTATAATAAACAAGAAATAATTGTAACAGAATGCTGTTACGAAGTCTCCCAAACAAAGCTCCCATAATTATTCATTCCCATGGTCGCCTGACATTGGGCAAAGTCTAGTACACATTGATTAGGTCTAGTAAAGTGATATGCATATGTGATGCCTATGAGATTGACCTTGTATGTCATTCAAATCTGTTTGAAATGACGAACAGGAATGAATATGGTTTAGGAGTTGGTATCTCAAACTTTTACAAGTTCTTAAAACACACACAAGAGGGGATGGGGTGACCTTAGGGACTACCCCTATATTTCATTTGATTTTTTATGTTGTCCCATACATGAATATATATATGGTTTAGGGGTGGGGATCTCGGCCGTTATCAAGTTTTCAAACAGGAGGGGGTGGGGTGACCCCAGTGACTTCCCCTATATTTCATTTGATTTGTTATGTTGCCAAATACATGAGTATATATGGTTTAGGGGTGGGGATCTCATCTGTTTCCAAGTTATCAAACAGGACAATATTTCATTTGATAAGTTCTGCTGTCCCATACATGAATATATATGGTTTAATTTAGAGGTCGGGATCTCGACTGTTTCCAAGTTCTCAAACAGGAGGGGTGGGGTGACTGCAGGGACTCCCCTATATTTCATTTGATTTGTTATATAGTCCCATACATGAATATATATGGTTTCGGGGTGAGGATCTCGACTGTTTCCAAGTTCTCAAACAGGATGGTTTACAGTGACCATAGGAGCTGCCCTATATTTCATTTGATTTGTTATATTGTCCCATACATGAATATATATGGTTTAGGGTGGGGATCTCGACCGTTTTCAAATTCTCAAACAGGAAGGGGTAGAGTGGCCCCAAGCACTCAACCTATATTTCATATGATTTGTTATATTGTCCCATACATGAATATATATGGTTAAGGGGTGGGTATCTCGACCGTTTCCAAGTTCTCAAACAGGAGGGGTGGGGTGACCCCCAAGGACTCCCCCTATATTTCATTTCATTTGTTATATTGTCACATACATGAATATGTATGGTTTATGGGATCATTATTTTTTTGTATGCTCCAATGAACAAATTATGTCTTTAAGAGAAAGGTATATACCTACATATTACACACAAAATCCTTCCCAATTGAAACTTACTGGTCTATTATCACACTGTAACGTGCCACTGCTAACAAAAGTGTGCATGTTTCTAAGACATATTGAAAAAATATTTTCATAATACAAAGCATGTTACAATAACTTCATATCCACGTTGCAATTAAGAATTTTGCAAACAAATCAACCAAATATGGTTTATTTCAATTTTATTGTATGATATCACTTATTTATTTATTGTGTGTCTTGCTTGTAAATGTATAAGTATATATGTAATTGTTAATGTATAATTGTTATCCTCTTGTAGCACCATACGTGTGCTTAAGTTTAAATAAATTGTCTTGTCTTGTCTTGGGATCTTGACCGTTTCCAAATTCTCAAACAGGAGGGGTGGGGTGACCGCAGGGACTCCCTCTATATTTCATTTGATTTATTATATTGTCCCATACATGAATATATTTGGTTTAGGGGTGGGGATCTCGACCATTTCAAAGTTCCCAAACAGGAGGGTTGGGGTGACCCCAGGGACTCCCCTGTATTTCATTTGATTAGTTATATTGTCCCATACATGAATATATATGGTTTAGGGGTGGGGATCTCGACTGTTTCCAAGTTCTCAAACAGGAGGGGTGGGGTAACCCTAGGGACTTCCCCCTATATTTCATTTGATTAGTTATATAGTCCCATACATGAATATATATGGTTTAGGAGTGGGGATCTCATCCGTTTCAAAGTTATCAAACAGGAGGGGGTAGAGTGACCCAAAAGATTCCACCTATATATCATATGATTTGCTTACATTCAGGTATCATATAATCTAGTTGCACTATTTGTGAAAACAAAGTAAGAAACTTCCAGCTATTTTAACTGACCCTTCAAATTGAGAAAAAAATTGCAGTAATATGTTTACACTTTAAAAGCATCTTACATGCATTATCAACATTTATCACTGATAAAGAAGATTTATACTGTCACCAGGAACATATATATTGTTAGATATACTGTTCCCAGCTGTCACATTGTATTCAGGGATTTGGACATTAAAATTTGTCAGAAAGTAATTTTGAGTTTCTGTATCAAATATTTTTTGCTTTTTCTTTCTTTTACATATATCTTTTGGTTTCCATTTCTAGTGTTTATATTTATTTACCATGCATAGATGTATTTTGTCACCTGCCTGAAAATTTTTTTTTTGTAGTTGATCTCCAAAACCCGGAATTACCCTTATCCGCTTCCGGAATCGGACCCGATATTGTAATTGTCTACACGGCATCCATTGTTTTTCGATGTTGTTTTTGTCAGTCAGATACGATTTTACTCGAATTTACACATTACTTGTCGGCGATTATCTGTATAAAGCTAGCGGTTGAACAAAATGAACATCGCTGTTCTGAATAATAAAGATGAAAATACGTTTTGAGATCGTTTATTTAGAGACTTTGGTAAAAAGGTTTGCAAAGTTATTTTTAATTTCTTTCAAGTGAAAGGTCCGTCGGGCGTAGCTAGTAACCAAGTCGAGAGTCCGATTGCAAAAGTGGAAGGTCGCGGACCTCGGACCACCGCTAATTTGAACCCCTGCCTCCAAATTGAAATGATACGAAAATTTCGTCTTCTAATTTGAAATTGCCGCCAACAGCATGAACAGTTGAACTTATTAATAGACTACTGACGTAGTTGTACCACGTATTGACGACAAACAATATTCCTACGACTTTTGCCATTTGGGAAATCTAAACTACTTGTCTTTAAAGATTTTCGGCGATTAAATATTTCATACAATTGTTTTTTGACATCTTAGCCAAAAGCACAGGGGATAATAAACTACATAAGGATTCCTAATGTGCTCTACTTCCTATGTGCAACTTCAAAACTTTTGGGTGGTTCGACGATCATTTAAGGTTTTTTCTGGTCATATTTTTGTAATCCAGAATTAAAAGTATGAAAAAACTATTCAATTAGTTATAAATAACATTATATCCAGCTAGATAATAACAATGGCACGTATTTCAGCATTTATTGGGTAGAACACAAATCTAGGGTGCTCGCATAAGGCAGCTTAACTGCCTAAAAATTACAAAAATTTACGAAAAATGGTTAAAAATTGACTATAAAGGGCAATAACTCCTTAAGGGGTCAACTGACCATTTTGGTCAAGTTCACTTATTTGTAGATCATACTTTGCTGAACATTATTGCTGTTTACAGTTTATCTCTATCTATAATAATATTCAAGATAATAACCAAAAACGGCAAAATTTCCTTAAAATTACCAATTCAGGGGCAGCAACCCAACAACGGGTTGTCCGATTCATCTGAAAATTTCAGGGCAGATAGATCTTGACCTGATAAACAATTTTACCCCATTTCAGATTTGCTCTAAATGCTTTGGTTTCAGAGATATAAGCCAAAATCTACATTTTACCCCTATGTTCTATTTTTAGCCATGGCGGCCATCTTGGTTGGTTGGCGGGGTCATCGGACACATTTTTTAAACTAGATACCCCAATGATGATTGTGGCCAAGTTTGGTCAAATTTGGCCCAATAGTTTCAGAGGAGAAGATTTTTGTAAAAGTTTACAGACGGACGCAAAGTGATGAGAAAAGCTCAATTGACCTTTCAGGTCAGGTGAGCTAAAAATGCTTTGAAATCTAGTAAGTAACTTATGATAAAAAAGCAATGGTCAAGCACTCAAACTTTTGAGAAGTAATCTCCTTTCATGTAGGAAATTCCATATACTGTCTGAAAAACCTCTTCTCTAGTAGATATCTCAAATCCTTGAAGATACTGTAAGGCAATCCTCTATACTTACGCTAATAATCTTAGGGTTAGGACAGGTAGAAGAACTATGTAACCAGATGGAGTCTCTACAATCGCCCTGGATACTACATCTTGAATCACACCAACCACAATTGTAATCTGTCGGGATGATCAAACAGGATCCACAATTGTTACCCATCATCTCACATTTATACATCTTTACTGTAAAAATTCAGACAAATCTCACATTTATATATCTTTACTGTAAAATATCAAACAAACTGACAATGTAAACCAGCCTTATGTATGCATCAAGTAAATTAATACAGTTACAAGTAAAAACTGAACATCGATATGCATTCTTTAAATTCAAAATTTAAAACTCCACATTTTTTTATGTGTCTGTCCCAAGCCAGGAACCTGTAATCCAGTGGTTGTTGTTTGATGCTGTCTGCTACATTTGTTTATGTGTCTGTCCCAAGCCAGGAACCTGTAATCCAGTGGTTGTTGTTGGATGCTGTCTGCTACATTTGTTTATGTGTCTGTCCCAAGCCAGGAACCTGTAATCCAGTGGTTGTTGTTGGATGCTGTCTGCTACATTTGTTTACGTGTCTGTACCAAGCCAGGAACCTGTAATCCAGTGGTTGTTGTTGGATGCTGTCTGCTACATTTGTTTATGTGTCTGTCCCAAGCCAGGAACCTGTAATCCAGTGGTTGTTGTTGGATGCTGTCTACTATATATGTTTGTGTGTCTGTACCAAGCCAGGAACCTGTAATCCAGTGGTTGTTGTTGGATGCTGTCTACCACATTTGTTATGTGTCTGTACCAAGCCAGGAACCTGTAGTCCAGTGGTTGTTGTTGGATGCTGTCTACCACATTTGTTTATGTGTCTGTACCAAGCCAGGAACCTGTAATCCAGTGGTTGTTGTTGGATGCTGTCTACCACATTTGTTTATGTGTCTGTCCCAAGCCAGGAACCTGTAGTCCAGTGGTTGTTGTTGGATGCTGTCTACCACATTTGTTTATGTGTCTGTACCGAGCCAGGAACCTGTAATCCAGTGGTTGTTGTTTGATGATGTCTACTACATTTGTTTTTTGTTATTGATGTAGTATATATCAGGCTGTTGGTTTTCACTTTTGCATCGTTTCACATTTTGTCATACTGAAATCTTTATTCACATCTTTGTTCTGTGGTCTTTATGGCTAGTTGTCTCATTGGCAATCATACCACATATCCTTATTTTTATATGTAATCATCATGTTGACTATCTAAAGTTAATAGTATAAACAGAGCTTCAATATTCATACAGGTAAACAAAATTCTAAAAATAGGGGCATAAAATAAAGTTCAGAAAACTATATTTACAAAATGTGTACCTGAATTTGATCTAAGTAGCATTTATTGTTTGAAACATAGTCACAATATAAGACAAGAATTTCATAATTCTGTTTCTTACCTTGAACATGACCAGGATTATCAAATGGCTTGTTCAAGTCTTTCGAACCCCATGTTATTTTGAATGGAACATTCCAGGTTTGTGTATTCTCAATATAAGAAAACTGAAAGCAAAGAAGTACATGTTGAACCAATAAAAATAATACATAAATTGTTCTTAATTTTTTACTTCACCACATTAACACAATGTACATTTTCTTTGAAGCTTGAACTATATGTAACTTTGCCTTGGTCCTGGCACCAAATATTATTTGACATTTGTGTAAATTGTAATATCAATGTTGAAACCTCACTGACAATTCATTGAAGTTTATACTTTAATAGAAATATGAACATGATACAAATATTTTGCACTAAGTATTGTTGAAATAATTTTTTTTTTTTATCTGTTTTAACATAAGAATTGTATGATTAGTGAGAGCGAGGAGCCATACCTCAGTATTTTCACATTCTACGATCTTTTCAGACTCTGTGTGTGATATAAGACGAGCTGTAACAAATCTTCCAGATCCTATGCTGAAGTAACAGTATATAGGGTACTGAAAAGTCTGTAAAATTAAAAAAAAAATAAAGATGCATATAATCTCAGCAAAAATATCAAATAAACAATTGTACTTGAATTAATAAATCAGGAAAATGTAACCGTTTGCAATCAAGTTTTATGATTCAGATCAAAACTTTCATAGGATGAAAAGCTGATCCTTGTTCAACAATCAATTTTGTTTATAAAAACAAAAATGGAATTTTTATATTGTATTATGGCATCATAAGTTTGGCGTGTTTGTGTATGACTATTTTGAATTTAAGGGTATTGATAAAATGAGTAAAGATAGGCTTTCCTTATCTGTTTCAACATTATTGACAAAACTGTTGCAACATTGAATTTCCATTTAATATGCCAAGTCTGGCTGCAAACAGAAGCATAGACATTTTCATATAAATCAATCCTTTAAAAATACACACACACAAAAAAAAAAGCAATTCAACAAGCTTTGATTGATATCATATTACGTACCCTCAGGTTATGAGCAAACAGGACGACTTTCTTGTAGTTTCCAGAGGGTACCAGTATCTCTGGATGTCCTTTACTTATCCTGGGACATTTGTCTGGTCCAACAGTATGCTTATGTAAAAATCCTCCACTCTGTAAAAATAACAAAGTCTTCTCTGTTATTTACAATTTAAATATGGGAATGCAATGAGCTCTGAAATCAAGAGCTATACCTAGTTTATATATTATACATTTTTGTAAAGAAAAAGAATTCATTGATAATCTGTATGTAATGCTTTAAAAAAAATATGACATTTACAAGGTTTTAAAGCCTCCATCTTTTATTCAACTGTACATTTCACTTTTAGAAATTTTCATTTTAAAGGTTTAGTTCATAATAATGGGTTGATAATAAAAGAATGAGTTTGCTCTCCTATGGATTTTTTCCCTTACCATTAACAATATGAAAATAATAAAAAGTGGTACTTGCTACATACCATGCAGTATATATATAATATTTTGAAAGTGCCTGTTCAGAAAGTCATAATGATTAATTTGAAATTTTCAAAATTCTGTGTATTCAAAAACTTGTTGTAAACATTTACAATTTCTTAATTATAATTTTTTAAATGCAATGTTAAATTTGTCAAAATCAGAATCTAGAAAATCTATGAGGCCTTTCTGTTCAACTTACATTTTAACGTAATGTGATAATATTTTGCATATAAAGGACAATCTGACACAGAAAGTCTTAAGTTAACAGACAATTGATAATTTAAATAATTAACAAGATCAAAGACCCTATGACACTGAATTAAATGTGGTTCTTTATACCAGAAACAACCAAGGACATTGCTTTATTGAAATCACTGTAGGTGTTTAGACAGATCTGTGATGCAAAGTCTTTGATTACTGATTCATTGTTTGACATCATTTAAAGATCTTCGCAGATCTGTCAGCAAACAGCAAATTTCCTGTTCTTCGAAAAATCTTTAGATTGTTTTCAATCTTATTAAAATATGACTTTAAGTAGGTCTGAATTATTTTTTTTTTTTAGATTTCTAATTCTTTTTGGTGGCAGACTTGACTTACATTCAAAGCAGCTACAAATTCATCTGTTTCGCTGCAATCCTGTAGTGGATAATATGTACACATGTGGTTCTTGATACACCATGTACAGTTGAACTTGCTCAGACTACACTTGTAACATCTGAAAAGAAATGAAAATTTTACACATAAGATGAATATTTATTTTGTAGAGACCATATTAGTACTTTAATTTCTAAATCTGAACACTGAACATTAAGCAAACAACAATCAATCCTATAAATTGGAATCCTGTCAGTCATGTACTTTTATCGATCAATATATCAACCTGAATCAAAATTTGGATTCATCTGATTCCAAGGAAAGTAGGTATATGTTGCATACGGGTAATCATTTTAGCAGCCTTTTAAGTGATGTAAGAAAAGGACAAATTTAATTTGGAAATACTTTCGTCACTTCTTTTGGTTTTATTTGCAAAGAAATAAGACCAAAATAAAAATAATTTCTTGTTTTCATCCAACTGTTTTCCCTAGAAATTTTTGAAGGAGGGAGATTGACTAACAAAGGATACTGGTCATAAAGTCTGAAGGATGAGGAATTGTACATGTATACAGCTAAAAGGAATTTCAAAATTCATTGGATGGGACCTGAACTAATGCATGGGGGCCACTTTACGTAAACCCTCTTGAGAAAACGACTGCTTGATCCTAAGGATTTGATTGATTAATTGCAAATCAACTTCCAGTGGCAAATATTTCAAGCATATTCAGGATGAGAACATTCCTAGAATTTAATTGTTTTAAATTCCTATGCTCAGAGCTGGATCTATAATACCTGTATTGATATATGTGAAAAACATTATCACTGAGGCATCACCTTAAAAAACCAATTTTCTGAGGAAACATTTACAGAGAGTCTGGTTAGTATCCCAGCTCAATTGAATAACAAATTTCAACATATACACTAATAACTAATGTCTGTTTTTGATTAAATCATTACCATATCATTTGGAAAAATATTATTTTTGTTATTTTCAGTGTTTATCTATAAAATAAAAAAAAAGCCTGTGTCTATACTGATAACTACATTAGTGATATGTTTTGTCTATGGCTCCTATTGATTATAATGAAAGTATCATTTTAAAGTCTGTATGATTGATGGACAGCCTGTAAAAATCTTAAATTGCTCTAAGAGAAGATGTATATAACTGTTTCACAGACCTATCATTATTTTCTTATCAGTATAAAATTACAAGTATCGTAATAATTCTCTATTTTTGCTATCTGTTTTGCACTTGAGATGTTGAGTTTTTTTTTTATTTCATAATTTTTACTATTTTTTTTTAATTGTGTATCCTCATACATCAGCTATTACTCTCAAATGCAATCCCACTTAGATAAACAGAAGCAATTTACCAAGCACCCTAGCAATATATTGTACATTTAGTTGGAGGCTTGGATTGTAATTTTACATTTAAAGTAAACAATCCAAATCTGTTTACCATACACCCTAGCAATATACAGTACATCTAACTGAAGGCCTGGTTTGTAATCTTACATCTTCAGTAAACAATCCAAGTGGTTTACAATACACCCTAGCAATATACTGTACATTTAACTGAAGGCCTGGTTTGTAATCTTACATTTTCAGTAAACAATCCAAGTGGTTTACCATACACCCTAACAATATATAGTACATTTAGTTGGAGGCTTAGATTGTAATTTTACATTTGAAGTAAACAATCCAAGCTGTTTACCATACACCCTAGCAATATACAGCACATCTAACTGAAGGCCTGGTTTGAAATCTTACATCTTCAGTAAAATATCCAAGTGGTTAACCATACACCCTAGCAATATACTTTACATCTAACTGAAGGCCTGGTTTGAAATCTTACATCTTCAGTAAAATATCCAAGTGGGTTAAACCATACACCCTAGCAATATACTTTACATTTAAGTGAAGGCCTGGTTTGCAATCTTACATCTTCAGTAAACAATCCATGTGGTTTACCATACATCCTAGCAATAAACTGTACATTTAACTGGTGGCCTGGTTTATAATTTTACTTTGACAGTAAACAACTGGAGTGGTTTACCATACACCCTAGCAATATACTGTACATTTAACCAGAGGCCTAGTTTGTAATTTTCCATCTTCAGTAAACAATCCAAGTGGTTAACCATACACCCTAGCAATATACTGTACATTTAACCAGAGGCCTAGTTTGTAATTTTCCATCTTCAGTAAACAATCCAAGTGGTTTACCATACACCCTAGCAATATACTGTACATTTAACTGGAGGCCTAGTTTGTAATTTTACTTTTACAGTAAACATGAGGGGATAATCTTTATCAATGTTTCTCATTCAGTGAAGGTTAATACAATTTCAGGTATACAGATACTTTCATTGCATGCTAAAAGTCTATGTTCCAAGAGTAGTACTCTTAAAATAGACAGAAAAAATAGGTTCACCAAATATCCATTATATTCTTTATTCATAATTCTACAAAACTTTTCCCTAATTTGCAGCAATGGAATCCAGAAGTGCAAATTGGAAGCCAGACAAGAGAAGTATAAGGAAAGTGCAAAGAATTATAAATTCAAATTTCTACAAAAAAGTGTGATAAACAGTAATTCCCACACCACCACTTACACTAATATAACCATAAATAGGTGACAACTCATTGCTGTGGGACAGATGGGCTTGCTAATGGCTTAAAACACATTATAATGAATATATTCATTTATGTACCAAGTCTAGACAAACTATCTAGGGAGAGATTCTTTTTTGTTTTTTCTTCAGTCAGAGTGATTGTTCTCATTAAACTTTGGAAATTACGATACATGTAAAGACAGTTTTGAAAATTGAATTCAGATTTACAGGCTGCTTGTTTAGCTATTAAAATTTCATTAATCACTTGTAAGAATTATCATATATGTCATATATGATTAGTTCTGCTTCTCCAATTCCAACATATCTTTCTTCCATATCAGACAACTTTTTTGATATCATCCTACAATATATTTTATTTCAATATTAATTTTAATCTTTGACTAAGCTTTTTTAAAAGATTTAATGCCATAAAATGTCAAAGATTATCATGTTTCTTTTAAAGAAAAAAAATTAATTTAGAAAAACCTATTTCTATTTTCAGGACTTTTTTCATTTAATTTTAATATCCTTACAGTATCTAAATTAATGCAACCTGCATCTAAAGTCATTTTATTGTAAGTTATAAATGTCGTTAAGCTGTCAAACCAAATGAGAGCAAACATTAAAGTATTGCAAAAACCCTTTTATTATAGACATGTAGTCCTAATTTTTGAATAAATTCCAGATTCTTCTTGCCTTATCTTTTCCAACTGTCACTGAAATTGCTTGATTTCAACCATGAACACTTTAATACCACCAGATACTAATACTTTTATTACCATTCCTTCATATAAATAAAACAAAGATGGCTGATTGATTGTAGCCAAATTGTGATTTATTCTTTTATAAATTGGAGTAAATTAATTGCAAGGAAAAAAACTCTGCATACAGAACAAGAGTGAATCACTAATCATTTATTGAATTGTTAAATCTTCTAATCAACCATGAGCAACAGTTGGCGGTGCATCTTCAGTCAATACTATCGTAGCGAAGGTCTATGCAAAGATTTTCAGAAGCATCCTGTTTCAATGGCCAATTCCAGTTCAATTCTCTAATCAACCCTAAGCAACAATTGTAGGCTTAAATTCTAATTCATCATTGTCAGTTGTGTCTGTCCCAAATGCTTTAAAGTGTGAACTGTCATATCTGTGTGACAGATTTCCTAATAGTCCCACCATATTACGACTAAATCAAATCAAGCAAAGTCTTAAAACTCCATGCATCTTCGTCATTCTAGCTGTAAAGTGTAGAAGTGACAATCTTTCTGTAAATCTACAAAATTTCGAGGCAAAGTCTCAAAACCTGATGCATCTTACTCATTCTAGCTGTAAAGTGTTCAATGTCAGTTTTCTGTGACAGTCTCTCAGTAAGTCTACAAAATTTCAGGGAAAGTCTCAAAACTTGATGTATCTTAAGTAATTTTAGATGTATTTTAGTGGTGAATGTCAGTTTTCTGTGACAATCTCTCTGTAAGTCTACAAAATTTCAAGCAAAGTCTCGAAACTAATGATACATCTTCGTCATTCTAGCTGTAAAGTGTACAGTATCAGTATTCTGTGACAATCTCTCTGCAAGTCTACAAAATTTCAAGCAAAGTCTCAAAACTTGATGCATCTAAGTCTTTTTAGATGTAAAATGTAGAATGTCAGAAATTTGTGATAATCTCTCTAAAGTCTACAAAATTTCAGGGAAAGTCTCAAAACTTGATGCATCTAAGTCTTTTTAGATGTAAAGTGTAGAATGTCAGATATTTGTGATAATCTCTCTAAAGTCTACAAAATTTCAGGCAAAGTCTCAAAACTCAACGCATCTTCTTCTTAGTCATGCCAGCTGTAAAGTGTAGAATGTAAGATACTGTGACAATCTCCCTGTAAGTCTACAATATTTCAGGCAAAGTCTTAAAACTCCATGCATCTTAAGTCATTCTAATGGTAAAGTGTACAATGTCAGATATTTGTGACAATTCTTTTGGTAAGTTTACAAAATGCATGTCAATCTATGCTTTATAGTGACAAGTGTACATCTGTAAATTGCATCACCCTCATTATGTCTGGTCCAAAAAAGAGTTTCATGTCTTGATGTCTTGTCAGAAGTGTTAACACATCATGTTTTGAAATCAGGTCAGAAAAGTGGTTCTCCTTCTGTTATGCCTTGTCAGCAGTATTATTCATGGTGTAATGTTAGTTGGAAAAGAAATTTCGTATGTTAATGTCTGATCATAATAAAAATATCTTTTCCAGCATTGCCAAAATGGTTTTTCTTGTTGAAATGTTTGATAAAAATTTTGTTTCCTAAATATATATATGTTATGTATAAAAATATAATATTTTTATACTGATATGTTTGTTCATATTTATATATACATCCTTAAATACCATACTGTCTGCCCGCAAAACAGCAATTATTTCATTCAATTTCAGGTAAAAAGGTTCACATGTACTGTTATCCGTAAGTCAAGTCACCAGATATCTTGATGTTAAACTAAGAAACTTATAACATGGATGAGGTTTCTTTTTGGACCTTAAGGGCATACGATACAGTTACAGGGGAGGTAATGACGTTGCTAACGTAAATTGTTATTTTCGCGACGTCAAACTGTGACTTATCGGGAAAAGATGCAGTTTTCGACTGATTTTTATCATTCAAACTGATTTAACTTGAAAACGAGTTCATGGACTCCTCTTTTTTAAAATGACATTTGTTTTGATTACGTATGAAGATTATGTTTACCAATTTTCATGAAAAAGTCAATAGTGCAATTTTTTTAAATTTGATAAATATACAGCAAAAAATGACGTTTTTTTTCTACAATCATAATCATTTGATTAATATGAGTTATTTGTAAAAATGAAATGTACAAATTTATAGAACGTTTATATAAAACAGAAATTACAAATAATTTAACAAAAAACAGCTTGCATTTATCTTTTAAAACAAAAAAATTATGTATTTCTATCGAAAAGAAAAAAAACGTCCACAAATCCGAAATTTGAGGAAATATCTGAAATTTCAACCTCAATTTACTCAAAAAGTAGCACATGATGGTATATTTTTTATTTCATATTTGATTTAATCAGGTAAAAATTAGCCTACATGCAAATTTTCATCAAAATTTCATTATGGGATCAAAACTGTATCGTATGCCCTTAATAAATTAAACACACTCAAACCAGTCTGAATAAAACCAGCACCCACTATCCAATTGCGTTTACAGGCCTACAAATGCAAGTGGATAGTGGGGACTGGTTTTAATCAGACTGCATTCAAACATATATGTTTATAAATCTGTATAAGAAAAGTTGGTGTTAATGAGAGCTTAGTCAGTATAAATTGGTACACCCTTTCAGAAAAGTTGTTGTTAATGAAATTTCAGTCCATATAAATCTGTACACCCTTCAGAAAAGTTGGTGTTATGAAAGCTTAGTAAGTGTAAATCTGTACATAGTTTTAGAAGAGCTGGTGTTAATGAAAGCATAGTAAGACATCTAATATACCAAATCAATATAATAAAAGCAATTTTTATCAAGTTATTTATAGTCCATCTTGTAGTAATACAATTTAAAGCGATTATGATACAATTATTATCTCTGCTAAATTAATCATATCAAAAAAGTTGCCCAAGATTTAGAGGACAATAGATTTGACACAGAAAATGATATAATTATTTCCATGGCTTATTAATCAGTGTCAAAACCTGTAAAGAGGCATCATTATATTTGCAGAGAATTTTTACGGAGCAAATATTGGCTAATTTGGACACATAATATCTGTGTAAATAAAAAATCAATCATATTAAATCAGGACCAATTTCCTGCAATCACGGAGAAAACATTGTTATGGTGACAATATCCAAGTGTTCTATACAGTTTAATGTTGTAAAATAATTTACATTGACAATGAAAACGGTTTTATGAACAAAAGTGTTTTACAATCAAAACCATATATACAGAATCTGTTGCATTCAACAGCACTTCATGGATTAACCTTAATAAGTAACAAAAGGAAACCAAAAGTTTTGAAAAAACAAAGATATTTAAGGAATGACTGTAATATTTTTTCTGTCTATGAAGATATAACATCAAAAATGTGGTGCACACTGAATAACTCGCGTAGCGGATTATTTTAAAGTGTACACCACATTTTTTATGTTATTTCGAATAGACAGAAAAAATATTACAGTCATTTCTTATAATTTAATTCTAAATTCCATTTTAAACCGGAGTAAACCATGAAAAAAACGTTGATGACGTCACGGTCACATGACAAAATTATGTCTATGAGCTGATAAACAAAACAACGTCAGCCAATCAGAAGACGTGTTACATCTAAAACTAAATTATATATATATAACTTAAGGAGAAGGTGGGAATGCCATATTTTAACATACGACAAGCTACCATTAAAAAAAAAAGCCTGAAGAAAACACACAAAGTTTCTCAGAGATCACTTTTGACTCTGGGGTTAGGTAAAAATTACAAAATTTTAACAAGATGATTCATGCATTGAATTGAACATTTCCTAAATAAATATGTCCACAAAATCGCGTTATTTGTATGCAAATTTGCATCTTGACATTTTACTCTGGTTACCTATCTTTTCATGTTTTAATTTACGATTAAAATCAAAGGATTTTCATACAGTCAGATAAATTGAAAAAGAACTTTTCTTATTTTCTTCAAACACGTTATACAAGGGTCAGCTTTGAGTCTGTATTATCCTGTTACAATCTGGCTGGCTTATAAAAGGGGGCAGGAATGATCACATGACAAATTCAGGTCAAGGTCCCCTTATAAAAAAATAAAATAAAATAACGTCAATCGATTTAGGAAAACTGATAAAAACATGTAACTATGCACCAAAACTACCATACGAAGAAAAAAAAAAAACAACAAAAAAGTTAACCTCCATAGATTAAAGAAAACCGATAAAAATATAGTGTATTATATCACAATGCAATGGTAACAGACAGGTGTACAAATATTTACCTAGACACCCTCAACACAGAAAATTATCAATGAAATTCTGGGCGACTGCAGTGTGAGTTTGAACTTTAGGTTAACTCCTTCAGGAAATACCTAATCTTACCTTGCATGTCTTAACACCCCTTCTGAATGACAACAGAATTATCGGTTATTGACTGAGTCATACAATGTCTGGCTAATAGTTATGATATGATAGTTTACTTTTGTTGAGTAAGGTCTGATAAACTGGACTTTAAGAAACTGTTATTTAAAAAAATACAAGTCTACCTAAAAAAAATCTGTTATCATAAAATTTATATGTTAAACTATCCGCTACCAATCAATCAATTACAAAAAAAGTGCAAACTGTCAATTTCAATAATTAGTTGGACAGTGTAGGATTGTAGGTGAACTAATTTTTTTCTTAGCAGTGCTGACAAATACGTCTATAATTAAAAGTTAATGTTTAAGCTCTGTTTTTTTTAAGGTGGTTGCAGTTGCTTGTACAATTTTTATTTTTTTGGAGGAAATATTTTTTGTAATGATGGAGGCCATATTTGATGGTGGATATTTAGTCATCTTATAGGGGATTACAAACACATCATTTTCTTAAAATTCTATAGCAATTGGACCAAAACAGGATTTTGTGACTTTTTTTATCTCTTTCTAAAAATTTTACTCCTTAGTGCTTTTTTAGCAATAGCCCCAGCTTTGGTCTGGTAATAGGTAATCAAACACAACATTTAAATTAATTCACCTATGGTTCTAACTCACTCAGAGATTTCAGAGGAGAAAATTTCTTTTAAAGTTAATGAGAAATGACAGACGACAGACATCAAAGTGATGGCAAAGCATCACACTAACCTTTGGGCCAAGTTTCAAGTCATTAAGTGAGCTAAAAAAAGAAGCTAAGAGCAAGTATATCATGCATTATCTAGCCTATTTATATCAACTTTCAGGATAAGAACAAGTACAGAACTCCGATCGTAATTGACCCTTGTTGGAAGATCATGTCTGTCAACTGAAACACCGGAAGAACTCTCTTTGCCCAACTTGATTGTAATTGACAAAAGAAAGAATAATAACAATCTTTTATCTTATGAACATGAAATGTAATATATGATAAAATAAACCCTATTTCCTCAATTTGTGTCAACACCTTAAGTACCAATAAACTATTGCTTTGTGTTATAATTCAAGTAAGTCTAGGACTGTCTGGCATATTGTTAACAATTTAAAAGACTACTGCTTAAAATATCTTTACAAAATATTGTACAATTGTAGAATATATAAAAGAGGCGGAAGATACTCAAGGGTAAATTTACACTATGGATTCATTATAATTTGAGGTGTACTCATTTTTTGAGGATTTCATGGGTACAGGTAAACTATATTGTTAAGAATCCAGCAAATAACAATATTCCCTTAGGCTTAATTGATGAATGTTGTAAAAACCTACATCATAGCAAAAGATAGAACAGACAAGCAACATCACCTCCCCTCCCCTCCCTCCCTCCCCCCCCCCAAAAAAAAAACCAAAAACAAATAAAGATAGTTAAGTTTTTACACAACTAACAATACCTCTTGTCCTCCACCATCTAAAAACAAAATCATATACTTACGCATCATCACTGTGTACCTCACAATCAAAGAAGGTGAAGTTAGTGGACACAAACAAACGTTTGTCGATGACAACTGACAACTTCATAATTATGTGATCTGAAATGGAAAAAAGAACATCAACTATGATTTAAAACCATGAAAGAAGCTTCGAGACGTCAGTTTCTATATATTAGATAACGCTTACCTTCACTGTTGTTACTATTCCCAACAATTTTTGTGTTATCGTTAATTAAGTTTTTTTTTGGAATGGCGTTGGAAATAACAGGTACTAATTTTCCCATTTCAAATCTTATAGAATTACATATCACATAATTGTTATTTGTCACCAGCAAAATGACAGGTATCATTTGTGGAGCAGAAACTTATATAACGTACCCTTCCTGAGCACCTGACTTAATCACTACTAGATAACGATTGGTTTCATGTTGATCAATTTAAGCATCTTCTGACATTTTTAAAACCAAAATGTTTGGAAATTGTGATTTTGATAGCATAAGAGATATCTTACCAAAGAAATAAACAATCTTTCAGGCAGGAAATATATACAACTTATCTCACAAACAGAACTGACATTTCCCTTCATATCAGTTTGATTATTAAAATTACAAAAAATTAAATATCTTATCAGATCAGATGCAACAGTCAGAATTGCTGTCCTAATTAATATTATTTATCAAATATTTGTCACTGCACATTAAGCAAACATCAATCAATCAATCAATCTGACAAATTATTGTTGAACCAAAGATTTGTAGATGCTTACATCTTTACTTTGAACTTAGATATGATGAAAAGACAAGCAAATGAACAAATGAAATTATCCACTACCTACAAATGTACAAAGATGCTTAGCAAATAGTAATCAATCAATCAATCCACTACCTTAAGGATGTACTTGGGTCAGGTTTAGGAATTGCTGTCAGATGTTAGGACTCCTTGGTTTTTTTCCTACAATACGGGCTAAAATATTTTGCCCCATTTTCTTTTCATATAAAACTTCAATAGCTCATAAAAGGTCATTTAAAAACAAAAATTTAAGCAGATTCTAGATTTCTTTTCTTTCGATTTGAGACCCAAATAATACCAATGCAAATATAAGGTAAAAGTCTGAGTCAACCTTTTCGCGCCATTTTTAAATAAAATGTTCCACTGGGCGCAGCTTGATACGACCGCAGAGGTCGAGCCCTGAACAGTTGGGGCAAGTATGGACACAACATTCAAGCTTGATACAGCTTTGAATTTGGATTGTGATTAAATATTTGACACAGCATAGGTTTCTGATACAGAATGAATGTGGTCTAAGAACTTAAAAATTTTTAATTTACCTATTCAAACCATATCATCATTATTATTTGCTTTTATATATAAATCAGAAATAACCAATTTAAAATGGAAAATTTTAAAGAAAAAAAAAGGAAAAAAAGGAAAAAAATTTTTTTTAAACCCCTTGTGATTCATCACCCCCAAACTCAATCTCAGCCTTCCCTTTGTGGTATGGTACCTTGCAGTACAATTTCAGAGAGATCCATACACTTGACCACAAGTTATTGTCTGGAAACTAGAAAAATGCTTGTTTTTAGGCCCCTTTTTGGCCCAAAATTCCTAAACGTTTAGGGCAATTACCCCCAAACTGAAACCCAGCTTTCCCTTTGTGATATGGAACCTTGTAGTACAATTTCATAAAGATCCATACACTTACACACTAGTTATTGTCCTGAAACAAGAAAAATGCTTTTTTTTGCCCCTTTTTTGCCCCTTATTCCTAAAATTTTGAGGCCATTACCCCCAAAATCAATCCCAGCCTTCCCTTTGTAGTATGGGACCTTGTAGTACAATTTCAGAGAGATCCATACACTTGAACACAAGTTATTGTCTGGAAACTAGAAAAATGCTTTATTTTTGGCCCCTTTTGGCCCCTTATTCCTAAAATTTTGAGGCAATTACCCCCAAAATCAATCCCAGCCTTCCCTTGGTGGTATGGTACCTTGCAGTACAATTTCAGAGAGCGACGACGACGACGACGCCACATCATACCAGCGTTCGTATAAAAATTAAATATATCAAATCCATAACCTATCAATATTTTAGCTTATTTTGTTCCTTAACTTATGCTCTTCTGACTTATAGTATCAATTTTAAATTCTAGATTTTTTAATTTCACCTAAGTACATCCTTAACTACCTTGCACAAAGGTATAATAATATGACTTTTTTTTCTGAAAGGTCTCATAAGTAACAAGTTCAACTGATTATAGTATTAATTGATTTTTGGTGTTTAATGCCACTTTCAGCACTCTTGGCAGCCAGTTTTAATTGATAGAGGAAGTAAGAGTTCAATGACCTTTGGAAGGATATTATTATATTATTATAGTATTACATTTATTTATTTGCTATTTCAAAACTAAAATGCAATTAAATAAAATGCTCCGCAGGGCGCAGCTTGATACGACCGCAGAACAGTTGGGGCAAGTATGGACACAACATTCAAGCTTGATACAGCTTTGCATTTGGATTGGGATTAAATATTTGACACAGCATAGGTTTCTGACACAGAATGAATGTGGTCTAAGAAATTAAAAATTTTAAATTGGACATTCACCTATTATGGTCCAATATCCAAAATCTAAATACATGGTTAGATTCAGCATATCAAAGAACCCCAAGAATTCAATTTTTGATGAAATCAAACAAAGTTTAATTTTGGACCCTTTTGACCTCAATGTGGACAAAGTTGATAACGGGGCCCAAAAATCAAAAATCTAAATACATGGTTAGATTCAGCATAAAAAAGAACCCCATATATTCAATTTTTGTTAAAATCAAACAAAGTTTAATTTTGGACCCCGATTTGGACCAACTTGAAAACTGGGCCCTATCAAAAATCTAAATACATGTTTAGATTCAGCATATCAAAGAACCCTAAGAATTCAATTTTTGTTAAAATCAAACTAAGTTTAATTTTGGACCCTTTGGACCTTAATGTAGACCAATTTGAAAACGGAACCAAAAATTAAGAATCTAAATACACGGTTAGATTCGGCATATCAAAGAACCCCAATAATTCAATTTTTGATGAAATCAAACAAAGTTTAATTTTGGACCCTTTGGACCTCAATGTGGACCAATTTAAAAACGGGGCCCAAAATCCAAAAACTAAATACATGGTTAGATTCAGCATATTAAAGAACCCCAAGAATTCAAGAATAAAACCCCATTGAAATTGGTCAAGAAATAAGCAATTTATACGAAGTATCTTCTTTTGCACAATACTGTGCAATTAAATATTTCTTGCTATTGCACAATACTGTACAATTGACAATTTCTTGCTATTGCGCAATATTGTGCTATTTGATATTTCTTGCTATTGCGCAATACTGTGCAATTGAAGATTTCTTGCTATTGCGCAATACTGTGCAATTGAAGATTTCTTGCTATTGTTCAATACTGTGCAATTGAAAATTTCTTGCTATTGCACAATACTTATTATATAATAATTTACACATCCTGTTTGGTGTGTATCTCCTACCATATCATTATTATTTGCTTTTAAATATAAATCAGAAATAACCAACTTAAAATGGAAAATTTTAAAAGGAAAAAAAAAGGAAAAAAAAAAAATCCCCCCCCCCAAATTTTTTGAACCCCCTTATGATTCATCACCCCCAAACTCAATCCCAGCCTTCCCTTTGTGGTATGGTACCTTGCAGTACAATTTCAGAGAGATCCATACACTTGAACACAAGTTATTGTCTGGAAACTAGAAAAATTTGTAAGGGTTCCGCGGAACCCAGTGTCTCGCCTACTTTTGCTGTTAATCACAGGCTCAACAAAAATGAGGAAAAAAATTAATAAAAATATTCCTCTCTATACTATCTTTTGATTGTAAGTAGCTTCTGTCCAAGTTTGGTAAAAATCCAGGATAGTTTATGAATCTAATAAATGTTTTAAAAACTTAAACTGCAGACTGTATGTAATGTTAACTGGAAGAAAAACTAAGTCCATTTATAAGTAAAATATGGAAAAAATGGAACAAAATTTTAACAAAATTTCCTTCTAGATACTAGCTTTTAATCATAAACAAGCTTCTGTCCAAGTTTGGTACAAATCCAGAATAGTTTAAGAAAGTTGTTAAAATTTTAAAAACTTTAACCACAGAGTGAATGTAATGTTAACTGGCAGAAAAACTAAGTCCATTTATAAGTAAAATACGGAAAAAATGGAATTTTTTTTTTACAAAATTTACTTCTGGATACTATCTTATGATCATAAACAAGCTTCTCTCCAAGTTTGGTAAAAATCCAGGATAGTTTAAGAAAGTTATTAAAATTTCAAAAACTTTAACCACAGAGTGAATGTAATGTTTCCTGGCAGAAAAACTAAGTCCATTTATAAGTAAAATACGGAAAAAATGGAATTTTTTTTTTACAAAATTTACTTTTGAATATTATCTTATGATCATAAACAAGCTTCTGTCCAAGTTTGGTAGACATCCAGGATAGTTTAAGAAAGTTATTAAAATTTCAAAAACTTTAACCACAGAGTGAATATTTGTGGACGCCGCCGACGACGACGACGCCGACGGAATGTAGGATCGCTATGTCTCGCTTTTTCGACAAAAGTCGAAGGCTCCACAAAAATGTGTTTTTTGGCCCCTTTTTGGCCCCAAATTCCTAAACAATTAGGGCAATTACCCCCAAACTCAAACCCAGCTTTCCCTTTGTGATATGGAACCTTGTAGTACAATTTCAGAAAGATCCATACACTAACACACAAGTTATTGTCCTGAAACTAGAAAAATGCTTGTTTTTTGCCCCTTTTTGGCCCCTAATTCCTACAATATTGAGGCAATTACCCCCATCATCAATCCCAGCCTTCCCTTTGTGGTATGGTACCTTGCAGTACAATTTCAGAGAGATCCATACACTTGAACACAAGTTATTGTCTGGAAACTAGAAAAATTGCTTATTTTTGGCCCCTTTTTGGCCCCCAACTCCTAAACGTTTCGGCAATTACCCCCAAACTCAATTCAAGCTTTCCCTTTGTGATATGGAACCTTGTAGTACAATATCATAAAGATCCATACACTTACACACAAGT